ACCCATCCCGGGGGATCCACCCCAAAAAAACCCATCCCAGGGGATCCATCCAGGAGCCAACCTTTGGAATGGGAATCAATGAAATCCCAATAAATCTCCACCTCATCCCGGGATTTCAGCATCAGGAGGGGTCTGGGACACCCTGGATGTGGGGAATTTGTGGAATGTGTGGAATATCCAGAGCTGGATCAGTGAATCCAACTCCTGCCTGGTGACATCCAGAGTTTGGGAACAAGTTCCCTCTGGAACTTCCATTCCCACGGGGAATGGATCAGGAATCACCCCCAGGGATCAAGAATCATCCCCAGGGAATGGATCAGGATCAGGAATCACCCCCAGGGAATGAATCAGGGATCAGGAATCACCCCATTATTTTATTTTATTTTATTTTATTTTATTTTATTTTATTTTATTTTATTATTTTATTTTATTTTATTTTAAATTTTATTTTATTTTATTTTATTCAATTTTATTTTACTCAATTTTATTTAACTTCATTTTATTTTATTTTATTTTACTTTATTTTATTTAACTTTATTTTATTTTATTTAACTTTATTTTATTTTATTTTATTTTATTTTACTGTATTTTTAATTTTATTTTACTTTATTTCGTCTTATTTTATTTTATTTTATTTTACTTAATTTTATTTTATTTTATTTTATTTTATTTTATTTTCCTGTATTTTATTTTATTTTCCTGTATTTTAAATTTTATTTAACTTTATTTCATTTAAATTTATTTTATTTTATTTTATTTTATTTTATTTTATTTTATTTTATTTTATTTTATTAATTTTTTCGTGTGTGTTGGGGGGCCCAATTTCCACCCGAATCCCTCCCCGTTATCCCGCGGATATCCCGGATGGATCCACGCGATTCCCACGCGCGGCATTCCAGGAATGCGCTCCCTCAGGGATCGCTCCCTCCCTCCCCGCCTTCCCAACCCCCCGCAATTCCAGCGGCTCCGCCTCTGGAATCGTCACCGCCCCGGGAACGTTTTCAGCGTTGCCAGGGAATGAAAACAACAACAACGAACCCGCGGCCACCTCCGGGGCCACGTCCGGCTCCCCTGGGAGAGGATTAAACAAAGGGAATTAAAAAAAGGGAATTAAAAAAGGGAATTAAAAAAAGGGAATTAAAAAGGAATTTAAAAGGAAATAAAAAGGGAATATTCCCTTCTCCAGGTGGCAAAGGGAGATTCTGATCCCACCCGGATCGCCCCCCAACCCCGGACCGGGGCACCAGGGTTGGGTTGGGCCTCACCCCAAATCCCCACCCCCCAAAACCCCTGACTAATTTACTGCCTGGATTCACCTGCCTAAATTTACCTGCCTAAATTTACCTGTCTGAATGTACCTGCCTGAATTTACCTACCTGAATTCACCTGCCTGAATTTACCTACCTGAATTCACCTGCCTGAATTTACCTACCTGAATTCACCTGCCTAAATTCACCTGCCTGAATTCACCTGCCTGGCTTTCCCTGCCCAGGTTTACCTGCCTGGATTTACCTGCCTGAATTTATCTGCCTGAATTTATCTGCCTGAATTTACCTGTCTGAATTTACCTGCCTGGGTTTCCCTGCCTGAATTCACCTGCCTGAATTCACCTGCCTGGTTTTCTCTGCCCAGGTTTACCTGCCTGACTTTACCTGCCCAGGTTTCCCTGCCTGGATTTACCTACCTGAATTTACCTGCCTGGTTTTACTGCCCAGGTTTACCTACCTGAATTTACCTGCCTGAATTCACCTGCCTGAATTTACCTGCCTGAATTTACCTGCTTGAATTCACCTGCCTGGCTTTCCCTGCCTGAATTTACCTGCCTGAATTTACCTGCCTGGTTTTACTGCCTGGCTTTCCCTGCCCAGGTTTACCTGCCTGAATTTACCCACCTGGTTTTACCACCTGGCTTTCCCTGCCTGGATTTACCTGGTCAGGTTTACCTGCCTGAATTTACCCACCTGGTTTTACCTGCCTGGCTTTTCCTGCCTCGATTTCCCTGCCTGCCTTTCCCTACCTGCCTTACCCTGCCTGGTTTTACCACCTGGTTTTCCCTGCCTGGATTTACCTGCCTGGTTTTCCCTGCCCAGGTTTTACCACCTGGATTTCCCTGCCTGGTTTTCCCTGCCTGGCTTTCCCTGCCTGTATTTCCCTACCTGCCTTACCCTGCCTGGTTTTACCACCTGGCTTTCCCTGCCTGGATTTCCCTGCCTGGCTTTCCCTGCCTGGTTTTCCCACCTTTCTTTCTTTCCCTGCCCGATCTGCTCCTGCTGTGCCTCTCAAACCCCCCCCCTTTGTGCCGATCCAACCCCAGGACAAGGAGGGAGCTCCTTCCTGACCCCAAATCCCCCCTCCAGCCTCGACCCCTCTTTCCTCCCGACATCCCAGAGCTGTTTCCCTGGAGCAGCTGGAATGTTCCCTCCCCCATTCCAGGATGGGATTAATCCCGTTTTTTTTGGGGGGTGTCTGTGACCACTCATTTCACACTCACAGTGGATTGGGGTGGTTTTCTTTTTAATCACAGAATAAACGAGGTCGGAAAAGAGCTCTGAGTCCAACCTGGGAGGGCGGGAGCCGAGCCAGGCACGGGGCCAGCAGGAATCCTGCAGGAATCCCGCAAGAATCCCGCAGGAATCCCGCAGGAATTCCCACCTCATCCCTCCCCCTCCGCCTCAAATTCCCCCCTTTATTTTTCCCCCCTCCTTAAAAAGCCCCTTTTTCCCCCCGGGGAACAATCGGGCTCTGCAGCTTCTCCCCCGCCCTCCAGAGCCGGATTTGTCACCAGGCTGGGGCCACTTTGGGGCCAGGAGTTTGGGTTTGGGGCCAGGAGTTTGGGTTTGGGGCCAGGAGTTCGGGTTTGGGGCCAGGAGTTTGGGTTTGGGGCCAGGAGTTTGGATTTGGGGCCAGGAGTTTGGGTTTGGGGCCCGGAGTTCGGGTTTGGGGCCAGGAGTTCAGGTTTGGGGCCAGGAGTTTGGGTTTGGGGCCAGGAGTTCGGGTTTGGGGCCAGAGTTTGGGACCAGGAGTTCGGGTTTGGGGCCAGGAGTTTGGGTTTGGGGCCAGGAGTTTGGGTTTGGGGTCAGGAGTTTGGATTTGGGGCCAGGAGTTTGAGTTTGGGGCCAGGAGTTTGGATTTGGGGCCAGGAGTTCGGGTTTGGGGCAGGGAGTTTGAGTTTGGGGCCAGGAGTTCGGGTTTGGGGCCAGGAGTTTGGATTTGGGGCCAGGAGTTCGGGTTTGGGGCCAGGAGTTTGGGTTTGGGGCCAGGAGTCCAAGTTTGGGGCCAGGAGTTCGGGTTTGGGGCCAGGAGTCCAAGTTTGGGGCCAGGAGTTCGGGTTTGGGGCCAGGAGTTCAGGTTTGGGGCAGGGAGTTTGGGTTTGGGGCCAGGAGTTTGGGTTTGGGGCCAGAGTTTGGGGCCAGGAGTTTGGGTTTGGGGCCAGGAGTTCGGGTTTGGGGTCAGGAGTTTGGGTTTGGAGCCAGGAGTTGGGTTTGGGGCCAGGAGTTCGGGTTTGGGGCCAGGAATTGGGTTTGGGGCCAGGAGTTTGGGTTTGGGGCCAGGAGTTTGGGTTTGGGGCCAGGAGTTTGGATTTGGGGCCAGGAGTTTGAGTTTGGGGCCAGGAGTTGAGTTTGGGGCCAGGAATGGGGTTTGGAGCCACTCTTATCTCCCCATCCTGCTGACGAGGAGGGGGGAGAAGCCGAAGGATGACACATCCAGGGCAGACTTTGCAATCATCTGCTGGGGAATTTACGACCTGATAGCGAGCTCTGGTTCCCCTCTCCCCTCCCTTCCCCTCCCCTCCCCTCCCCACCCCTTCCAGACTCTTTGAAAATGGACAACACCCTTAAAGCTCTTTTTTTTTTAAATTATTTCACCCCCCTCTCTGCTTTTTGTCAGAGAATTCCCCCCCAAATTCCAGCAGGAACTCAAGAATTCCAGGCAGGAATTTATTCCTGTCTCTCCCTTTTGAGCAAACTGGGGGGGGGGAAAGGGGGGGTATTCAAAATTCCCCTCTCCCCCATCGATTTTAAGGGGTTTTTTTTCAGGATTAACGAGGGGAGCGAAGGGAAAAGCCCAAAAAATAATAAAAAAAAGCAGGGCCTGGAGAGCTCCCAGGGCCGCCTAAGCCGGGTTTGGTTGATGTTAAACCAGGCTGAGGCCTCTTTATCAGCTCCCTCTGGGCCCCAGAGGAGCCGCTGGCAGAGCTGGAATAAAAAAAAAAAGAAAAATAAATCGATTGTGTTCCCTGCGTGTCCCCAACCCCCCCCTCTCGGGGCATTCCAAATGGAGCGGGGGCAGAAAAAAACCGGGAGAATCCTTGGGGAATGGGGGCAGAAAAAACCGGGAGAATCCTTGGGGAATGGGGGCAGAAAAAAACCGGGAGAATCCTTGGGGAATGGGGGTGTCACTCGGGGGGCAGGAAAAAAACGGGAGAATCCTTGGGGAATGGGGGCAGAAAAAAACCGGGAGAATCCTTGGGGAATGGGGGTGTCACTCGGGGGGCAGAAAAAAACCGGGAGAATCCTTGGGGAATGGGGGCAGAAAAAAAACGGGAGAATCCTTGGGGAATGGGGGTGTCACTGGGTGCTCGGGGGCAGAAAAACCGGGAGAATCCTTCGGGAATGGGTGGGGGGAGCCCGGAGGGGCCCAGAAAGGGCCTGTTTGGAGGAGGAACTCTGGGATCTCGCGTCCCACGCGTGTGCCACCCTGGTGCCATCCACCTGTGCCACGCACCTGGCGCCCAGGTGAGGAGCGCGGGGTGGCACCGGCGCCAGGTGTGTCCTTGTCCCCTTCCCGGAGGAGGGGGGGGAAGGTGGGAAAGGCTCGGCCGGGCACACCCAGCTCGGCCGGGCAGTAAAACGATCCCTGTCTCGTCACCCTCGGGGCCAAGCCCAGCTCTTTCTCTTCCTCCCCCTCCTCCTCCTCTGTGGCCGATAAAAGGGACACCCCGCTCGTTTCACCCCCACTTCGCTCGTGGGCAGCTCCTTCCCCCTGAGCTTATATTTTTAATTCTTTTTATTCATTATTTTTTTGGGGAGAAATTTTGGGATTTTGGAGGCGCCATGTCCCGCTCCGTGAGCTTCACCTCCCGCTCCGTGGCCGCGCCGGCCGTCACGCAGGTGCGGGTCAGCTCCGTGTCGTCCACGCGTGGCCTCGGCGGCCCCTCCGCCCGCGGGGGGGGCTTCGGCAGCTCCAGCCTCTACAACCTGGGCTCCTCCAAGAGGGTCTCGCTGGGAGGGGGCGGCTCCTTCGGCCTCCGAGCCGGCTCTGGGGGCTTGGGGGGTCCCGCGGGGATCCAGGAGGTGACGGTGAACCAGAGCCTGCTGACCCCCCTCAACCTGGAGATCGACCCCAACATCCAGAGGGTGCGGCGGGAGGAGAAGGAGCAGATCAAGAGCCTCAACAACAAGTTCGCCTCCTTCATCGACAAGGTGAGGGCCCCGCGGGGAGGGGATAATCGGACATCGGGGAGAGGGGAAAGGTGGGGCCAAAAATCTGCAACAGGTGGGGCCAAAAATCTGCAACAGGTGGGGCCAAAAATCTGCACAAAGGGGGAACCAAAATCTGCAACAGGTGGGGCCCAAAATCTGCACAAAAAGGGGACCAAAAATCTGCACAAAGGGGGGCCCAAAATCTGCAACAGGGGGGGTCCAAAATCTGCACAAAGGGGGAATCAAAATCTGCACAAAGGGGGACCCAAAATCTGCACCAGGTGGGGCCAAAATCTGCCCAGAGCTCTGGGTGGGGCAGGGGGGACCCCAAAATCTGCCCAGAGCTCTTGGGGAGCTGCTGAGCAACAGGGGGACCCCAAAATCTGCCCAGAGCTCTGGGAAGGGGGGCAGGTGGGACCCAAAATCTGCACCAGGGGGACCCAAAATCCGCTCCGAGCTCAGGGGGAGCTGCTGAGCAAGAGGTGGGACCCCAAAATCTGCACCAGGTGGGGCCAAAAATCTGCCCAGAGCTCTGGGTGGGGCAGGGGGGACCCAAAATCTGCCCAGAGCTCTGGGGAGCTGCTGAGCAACAGGGGGGACCCCAAAATCTGCACAAAGGGGGACCCAAAATCTGCACAAAGGGGACCCAAAATCTGCTCCGAGCTCGGGGGGAGCTGCTGAGCAAGAGGTGGGACCCCAAAAACCTGCTGAGAGCTCTGGGGGAGCTGCTGAAACGCCCAAATGGGACCCCAAAAATCTGCTGGGAAATCAGAAACAGGCTGGGGGTCAATCCCGGAGGACGGGGGGTAAATTCCTGAGGACGGGGTGGGGTTTGCTCTGTCCCTAAATCGGGGCAGGGACCCGGGGGTCCCTAAATCGGGGCAGGGACCCGGGGGGTGTCCCTAAATCGGGGCAGGGACCCGGGGGGTGTCCCTAAATCAGGGCAGGGACCCGGGGGGTGTCCCTAAATCAGGGCAGGGACCCGGGGGGTGCCCCCAAATCAGGGCAGGGACCCGAGGGGTGTCCCCCAGACTGGAAAAGGGACCGGGGGTTTGTCCTTTGTCCCTGAAAGTGGAAAAGGGGACTGGGCTCTGTCCCCAGACTGCCCCTGCCCTGCCCTTTTTGTACCCGGGTGCCGCCCAAAGGTGGGTTCAGCCCTTCAAAACCCCCAAATTCGGGCAGGGAGGGGCTGAGCCCCACCCGGCCCCCAAATTCGGGCAAGGGGAGGGGCTGAGCCCCCCCTGGCCCCCAAATTCCAGCAGAGGGAGGGGCTGAGCCCCCCCCCCCCCCCTAAATTCGAGCAGGGGGAGGGGCTGAGCCCTCCCCAGCCCCCAAATTCGGGCAGAGGGAGGGGCTGAACCCCCCCGGGTGGGGCCGAGCTGCCCCTGCCCCACCTCCCCCAAGGCAGATCCCGGGCAAACCCCGCTCTGGCATCCCCGAAATTCCAGGAATTCCTCCACCCCGGGGTTGGTTCGAGGTCTGGCAGGAAGGGGGGGTTTTGGTTTCTGTCGAGTGTCAGCCCTGGCAGAGGCTCCAAATCTTCAACCCCTGCTCATCTTCAGCCCCTGCAGAGCCCCAGAGACACAAACACACCCGGCCTGGAGCGGCTCCGGCCCTTCCAGCCCCCCTTGGAGCTTCCCACCAGCATCCCAATCCCTTTGGAGCTTCCCATCAGCATCCCAATCCCTTGGGAGCTTCCCACCAGCATCCCAATCCCGGGAGCTTCCCACCAGCATCCCAATCCCTTTGGAGCTTCCCACCAGCATCCCAATGCCTGGGAGCTTCCCATCAGCATCCCAATCCATTTGGAGCTTCCCATGAACCACCCAATCCCTTTGGAGCTTCCCATGAGCATCCCAATCCCTTGGAACACCCAATCCCTTTGGAGCTTCCCACCCAAACCCAAAATCCTTTGGAGCTTCCCATCAGCATCTCAAACCCTTGGGAGCTTCCCATGAGCATCCCAATCCCTTGGGACACCCAAACCCTTGGGAGCTTCCCACCCAAACCCTTTGGGACTCCCAAACCCTTTGGAGCTTCCCACCCAAACCCAAAACCCTTTGGAGCTTCCCATGAGCCACCCAATCCCTGGGGAGCTTCCCACGAGCATCCCAATCCCTGGGGAGCTTCCCACCTGCATCCCAATCCCTTTGGGACATCCAAACCCTTTGGAGCTTCCCACCCAAACCCAAAATTCCCTGGAGCTTCCCACGAGCATCCCAATCCCTTTGGAGCTTCCCAAGAGCCACCCATTCCCTTGGGAGCTTCCCATCAGCATCCCAATCCCTTTGGAGCTTCCCACCAACATCCCAATCCATTTGGAGCTTCCCACAAGCCACCCAATCCCTTTGGAGCTTCCCACCAGCATCCCAAACCCTTTGGGATACCCAAACTCTTTGGAGCTTCCCACCCAAACCCAAAACCCTTTGGAGCTTCCCACCAGCATCCCAATCCCTTTGGAGCTTCCCATGAGCATCCCAATCCCTTGGGACACCCAAACCCTTTGGAGCTTCCCACCCAAACCCTTTGGGACTCTCAATCCCTTGGGACACCCAATCCTTTGGAGCTTCCCAATACCCACCCAAACCCTTGGGAGCTTCCCACCCAAACCCTTTGGGACTCTCAATCCCTTGGAACACCCAAACCCTTTGGAGCTTCCCAGGAGCCACCCAATCCCTTGGGATACCCCATTTGGAGCTTCCCACCAGCATCCCAAACCCTTGGGAGCTTCCCAGGAGCCACCCAATCCCTGGGACACCCAAACCCTTGGGAGCTTCCTACCAACCACCCAATCCCTCAGGATATCCCCTTTGGAGCTTCCCAATGCCCACCCAATGTTCCCTTTGGAACACCCAATCCTTTGGAGCTTCCCACCCAAACCCAAATCCTTGGGAGCTTCCCATCAGCATCCCAATCCCTTTGGAGCTTCCCACGAGCCACCCAAACCCTTGGGACACCCAATCCCTTGGGACACCCCCTTTGGAGCATCCCACCAACCACCAATGCCTTGGAACATTCAAACCCTTGGGAGCTTCCCAGGAGCCACCCAATCCCTTTAAGGACTCAAACCCTCTGGGCTTCCACCAGCACCAATCCTTTGGAGCTTCCCACCGCAGCCAACCCAAAACTCCTTTGGGACACCCCACCATAGGACACCCCTTGGAGCTTCCACCACCAATCCCTTGGAGCATTCAAACCCTTGGGAGCTTCCCAGGAGCCACCCAATCCCTTTGGGACATCCAAACCCTTTGGAGCTTCCCACCCAAACCCAAAATCCTTTGGAGCTTCCCACCAGCATCCCAATCCCTTGGGAGCTTCCATGAACATCAATCCTGAGACACCTCCTTTGGACTTCCACCAGACCCAAATCTTGGAGCTTCCCATCAGCATCCCAATCCCTTTGGAGCTTCCCACCAGCATCCCAATCCCTGGGGAGCTTCCCACCTGCATCCCAATCCCTTTGGGATACCCAAACTCTTTGGAGCTTCCCACCCAAACCCAAAATCCTTTGGAGCTTCCCATGAGCCACCCAATCCCTTGGGACACCCAAACCCTTGGGAGCTTCCCCCCAAACCCAGAATCCTTTGGAGCTTCCCATGAGCCACCCAATCCCTTGGGACACCCAAATCCTTTGGAGCACCCAATCATTTGGGACACCCAATCCCTTGGGAGCTTCCCACCCAAACCCAAAATTCCCTGGAGCTTCCCACGAGCATCCCAATCCCTTTGGAGCTTCCCAATAGCCACCCAATCCCTTGGGACACCCAAACCCTTTGGAGCTTCCCACCCAAACCCTTTGGGACTCCCAATCCCTTGGGACACCCAAACCCTTTGGAGCTTCCCAATGCCCACCCAATCCCTTGGGACACCCAATCCCTTCGGAGCCACCCCCACCACACCCCATCTCCCCCAAATTCCCATCGTCTCATCCCCCCTCCCCAATAACCCTCCCCCCCGTGGGGGTCTCCCCTCCCTTTCCCAGGTGCGGTTCCTGGAGCAGCAGAACAAGATGCTGGAGACCAAGTGGGGGCTGCTGCAGGAGCAGAGGAGCCCCCGCAGCAACATCGGCCCCCTCTTCGAGTCCTACATCGGGAACCTGCGGCGCCAGCTGGACGCGCTGCTGGGGGACAAGGGGCGGCTCGAGGGCGAGCTCAAGAACATGCAGGACCTGGTGGAGGACTTCAAGAACAAGTAACGAGTCCCTCAAACACCCCAGAGCCTCACCCCGGGGTGTTTTCCCAGATGGGAATTGCTGGGGGAAGGGGGCGTGTTTTCGGGGCTGGAAGTGGAGTTTGGGGTCTCGTCGGGGTTGAAGTGGCATTTGGGGTCTCCTTGGGGTTGGAAGTGGAGTTTGGGGTTTCTCAGAGCTGGAAGTGGAATTTGGGGTCTCCTCAGGGCTGGAAAAGGAGTTTCAGGTCTCTTTGGGGTTGGAAGTGGCATTTGGGGTCTTCTCGGGGTTGGAAGTGGAACTTTGGGGCCTCTTTGGGGTTGGAAGTGGAGTTTGGGGTCTTCTCAGGGTTGGAAGTGGAGTTTGGAGTCTCCTTGGGGTTGGAAGTGGCATTTGGGGTCTCCTCAGGGATTGGAAGTGAAACTTTGGGGTCTTCTCAGGGTGGAAGTGGAGTTTGGGGTCTCCTCAGGGTTGGAAGTGGAGTTTGGGGTCTCTTTGGGGTTGGAAGTGGAGTTTGGGGTTTCCTTGGTGTTGGAAGGGGCATTTGGGTTCTCCTCGGGATTGGAAGTGGAACTTTGGGGTCTCCTCAGGGTGGAAGTGGAGTCTGGGGTCTCTCAGAGCTGGAAGTGGAGTTTGGGGTCTCCTCAGGGCTGGAAAAGGAGTTTCAGGTCTCTTTGGGGTTGGAAGTGGCATTTGGGGTCTTCTTGGTGCTGGAAGGGGTATTTGGGGTCTTCTCAGAGCTGGAAGTGGAATTTGGGGTCTGTCAGGGTTGGAACTGGAGTTTGGAGTCTCCTTGGGGTTGGAAGTGAAATTTTGGGGCCTCTTTGGGGTTGGAAGTGGCATTTGGGGTCTTCTCAGGTCTGGAAGTGGAGTTTGGGGTCTTCTCAGGGTGGAAGTGGAGTTTGGGGTCTCCTCAGGACTGGAAGGGTCGTTTGGAGCTGCAGGAGCCCTGTGGGTTCCACAGGCTGGGAGGTGATCCCTGGTTGTTCCAGGGGCAGGGAACGGAGCAGGCTGGGAGGTGATCCCAGCCCATCCCAGGTGATCCCAGCCCATTCCAGGCTATCCCAGCCCATTCCAGGTGATCCCAGACCATTCCAGGAGCAGGGAATGCAGCAGGTTGGAGGGTTATCCCAACCATTCCAGGGGCAGGGAATGCAGCAGATTGGCAGGTGATCCTGGCTCATTCCCTGATCCCACCCCGTTCCAGTCTATCCCAGCCCATCCCAGTCTATCCCAGCCCGTCCCAGTTGATCCCAGCCCGTTCCAGGGGCAGGGAATGCAGCAGGTTGGGAGGTGATCCTGGCTCATTCCCTGATCCCAGCCCATCCCAGTCTCTCCCAGCCTGTCCCAGTTGATCCCAGCCCGTTCCAGGGGCAGGGAATGGACCAGGTTGGGAGGTGATCCCAGCCCATTCCTGGTAATCCCAGCCCATTCCAGGTGATCCTGGCCCATTCCAGGAGCAGGGAATGGACCAGGTTGGCAGGTGATCCTGGCTCATTCCCTGATCCCAGCCCATTCCAGGTGATCCCAACCATTCCAGGGGCAGGGAATGCAGCAGGTTGGCAGGTGATCCTGTCTCATTCCCTGATCCCAGCCCATTCCAGGCGATCCCAGCCCGTTCCAGGCAATCCCAGCCCGTTCCAGGCAATCCCAGCCCGTTCCAGGCTATCCCAGCCCGTCCCAGGCTATCCCAGCCCATTCCAGTTGATCCCAGTCCATTCCAGGCTATCCCAGCCCATTCCAGGCTATCCCAGCCCATTCCAGGTGATCCCAGCCCATTCCAGGAGCAGGGAATGGACCAGGTTGGGAGGTGATCCTGGCTCATTCCCTGATCCCAGTCCATTCCAGGCTATCCCAGCCCATCCCAGTCTCTCCCAGCCCATCCCAGTCTCTCCCAGCCCGTCCCAGTCTCTCCCAGCCCGTCCCAGTTGATCCCAGCCCGTTCCAGGGGCAGGGAATGGAGCAGGTTGGGAGGTGATCCCAGCCCATTCCCTGATCCCACCCCGTTCCAGGCTATCCCACCCCGTTCCAGGCTATCCCAGCCCATTCCAGGCTATCCCAGCCCATCCCAGTCTCTCCCAGCCCGTCCCAGTTGATCCCAGCCCGTTCCAGGGGCAGGGAACGCAGCCCCTGCCCTGCCATTTCCCAGCCCCGGGAGGTGCCCGGGGAAGAAAAGGCCCTTTGTTCCCAGGGAACAATGGGAGGCACCGGGAGAACTGGATGGGGCAGGAACCGGGAACAAAGAGCCCCGGAAAAGCCGCGGGGCGGGGCCGGGAGCGGCGATCCCGGAGATTCCCGAAGAACCCCTCGGGAATTGGGGATTTTCCCTCGGCCCATCCACAGCCTGAGCTGTTTGGTTGTTCCCAGGGGAGTTAAATCCCAGGTTTAATCCCATTTCTCGTGGATTTGAGGTTATATCCATGGGTTTATTTACTGTATCCATGAAAAGCCAAATCCTATGGAGAAGGGAAGTGGGAATTCCTTGGGTGGGGTTTGAGGGAATTCAATGCCTGGAGATTCCCGAAGAACCCCTCGGGAATGGTGTTTTTCCCAAGTTTTTCCCAAACCCATCCACAGTCTGAGCTGTTTGGTTCAATCCCAGGGGAGTTAAATCCCAAATTTAATCCCATTTCTCGTGGATTTGAGGTTATATCCACGTGCTTGTTTATTGTATCCATGAAAAGCCAAATCCTATGGAGAAGGGAAGTGGGAATTCCTTGGGTGGGGTTGGGGGAAGTCAGTGCCCGGATTCCACAGTTCTGGAGCCAGGCTGGGAGAGCTGGGAATGTTCCCCTGGAGAAGGGAAAGATCCAGTTCCATTCTGGAGGAATTCCCTGAGGGATTTGCCCTTCCATCCTGGAGGAATTCCCTGAGGGATCTGCCCATTCCATCCTGGAGGAATTCCCTGAGGGATCTGGAGGAATTCCCTGAGGGATTTGCCCATTCCATTCTGGAGGAATTCCCTGAGGGATCTGGAGGAATTCCCTGGGGGATTTGCCCTTTTATTCTGGAGGAATTCCCTGAGGGATCTGCCCTTTCATTCTGGAGGAATTCCCTGAGGGATTTGCCCTTCTATTCTGGAGGAATTCCCTGAGGGATCTGCCCTTCCATCCTGGAGGAATTCCCTGAGGGATCTGCCAGTTCCATCCTGGAGGAATTCCCTGAGGGATCTGGAGAAATTCCCTGAGGAATCTGGAGAAATTCCCTGAGGGATCTGCCAGTTCCATCCTGGAGGAATTCCCTGAGGGATTTGCCCTTCTATTCTGGAGGAATTCCCTGAGGGATTTGCCCATTCCATTCTGGAGGAATTCCCTGAGGATTTGCCTTTTATTCTGGAGGAATTCCTGGGGATCTGGAGGAATTCCTGAGGATCTGGAGGAATTCCCTGAGGGATTTGCCCTTTTATTCTGGAGGAATTCCCTGAGAGATCTGGAGGAATTCCCTGAGGGATCTGGAGGAATTCCCTGAGGGATTTACCCTTCCATCCTGGAGGAATTCCCTGAGAGATCTGGAGGAATTCCCTGAGGGATCTGGAGGAATTCCCTGAGGGATTTGCCCTTTTATTCTGGAGGAATTCCCTGAGGGATCTGGAGGAATTCCCTGAGGGATCTGCCCTTCCATCCTGGAGGAATTCCCTGAGGGATTTACCCATTCCATCCTGGAGGAATTCCCTGGGTTTTCCCTCCCTCTCTCTGCTCATCCCTGGTCTCCAAAGGGCCACATTCCCAGGGTTGTTCCATTCCCAGGGTTGTTCCATTCCCAGGGTTTGTTCCATTCCCAGGGTTTGTTCCATTCCCAGGGTTTGTTCCATTCCCAGGATTGTTCCATTCCCGGGATTTGTTCCATTCCCAGGGATTTATTCCCTGCAGTTCCTCGACTTCCAGAGGGACAAAGCCTGGGAGAGGGAAGGGAAGGAAGGGGGAGGAGCCCTGAGGGGGAAGGAGCTCCCTTGGGAGGCAAATTCCAGGGATTGTGTAAACAAAGGGCTTTGCCCTGGAAACGGCCCTGCCAAAACAAACGGGGGAGGGAGGGAGGGGGGGAGGGAACATCTGGAGATCTTTGTGGGAACACCCCAAAATCTGTAGGGGAACATCTGGAGATCTTTATGGGAACACCCCAAAATCCGTAGGGGAACTCCTGGAGTTCTTCAGGTGAACATCTGGAGATCTTTAGGGGAACATCTGGAGATCTTTGGGGGAAAACCTGGAGATCTTTAGGGGAACACCCCAAAATCTGCAGGGGAACACCCAGAGATCTTTAGGGGAACATCCCAAAATGTTTAGGGGGACATCTGGAGATCTTTAGGGGAACACCCCAAAATTTGTAGGGGAACACCTGGAGAGCTTTAGGGGAACATCTGGAGTTCCCCAGGTGAACATCTGGAGATCTTTAGGTGAAGATCTTCAGGTGAACATCCCAAAATCTTTAGGGGAACATCTGGAGATCTTTAGGGGAACATCTGGAGATCTTTAGGGGAACATCTGGAGATCTTTGGGGGAACATTTGGGGATCTTCAGGGGAACACCTGGAGATCTTTAGGGGAACACCTGGAGATCTTCAGGGGAACATCCCAAAATCTTTAGGGGAACATCTGGAGATCTTTAGGGGAACATCTGGAGATCTTTAGGGGAACATCTGGAGATCTTTGGGGGAACACCTGGAGATGTTCAGGGGAACATCTGGAGATCTTCAGGTGAAAATCTGGAGATCTTTATGGGAACACCCCAAAATCTGTAGGGGAACACCCAGAGATCTTTAGGGGAACTCCTGGAGATCTTCAGGGGAACACCCCAAAATCCATAGGGGAACACCTGGGGATCTTTAGGGGAACATCTCGAGATCTTTAGGGGAACATCTGGAGAGCTTTAGGGGAACATCTGGAGTTCCCCAGGTGAACACCTGGAGATCTTTAGGTGAAGATCTTCAGGTGAACATCCCAAAATCTTTAGGGGAACATCTGGAGATCTTTAGGGGAACATCTGGAGATCTTTAGGGGAACATCTGGAGATCTTTGGGGAACACCTGGGGATCTTTAGGGGAACATCTCGAGATCTTTAGGGGAACATGTGGAGATCTTTAGGGGAACACCTGGAGATCTTTAGGTGGCCACCCAAAGAAGCTCCCAAAAAGGGAGAGAGAGGAGAGAACTGGGACAGCCCTTCCTGGGGACACTTTTCCCTTTGTCCAGGCTCTGATTTCATGGAAATCCCCCCCTGGTTTTTTCCTGGCAGGTACGAGGATGAGATCAACAAGCGGGCGGCGGCCGAGAACGAGTTCGTGGTGCTCAAGAAGGTGGGTCTGGGGATTTTTGGGAATGCTTTGGGTGGGAAGGGCACCTTAAAATCCCACCCCATCCCATCCCATCCCATCCCTGCCGTGGGCAGGGACACCTCCCACCATCCCAGCTCTTCCAGGGGTTGGGATTCCGATTATTCCCGATTATTCCCGATTATTCCCGATTATTCCCGATTATTCCCGGGGGTCGCAGCTCCTGCCCCCGCTCCACCTTCGCTCCCTGTCCCTATTCCCGCTTTTCTCCAGCCCTGCCGGAGCCTCCCGAGGTGCCATCCCGGGAATTCCCCGTCCCACCTGGCAGAGGAGGCTCCGAGGTGCCCTCAGGGATTGGGGGAGGGTTGGGAAGAGGGGACAGAGAATTCCCAGGGGGGATTTTGGTACCCTTGGGTGACTTTTCCCGAGGTTTCCTTGGGAACAGGGATCCAGGGGGATCCTTGGGAACAGGGATCCAGGGGGATCCCTGGGTTTGGTTTTCTCCCAGGATTTGGTTTTATCCCTGGGTTTGGTTTTATCCCTGGATTTGGTTTTATCCCTGGGTTTGGTTTTATCCCTGGATTCGGTTTTGTCCCTGGATTTGGTTTTTATCCCTGGGTTTGATTTTATCCCTGGATTTGGATTTATCCCTGGATTTGGATTTATCCCTGGATTTGGTTTTATCCCTGGGTTTGGTTTTATCCCTGGATTTGATTTTATCCCTGGGTTTGGTTTTATCCCTGGATTCAGTTTTATCCCTGGGTTTGGTTTCATCCCTGGATTTGGTTTTATCCCTGGATTTGGTTTTATCCCTGGGTTTGGTTTTTATCCCTGGGTTTGGTTTTATCCCTGGGTTTGGTTTTATCCCTGGGTTTGGTTTTATCCCTGGGTTTCGTTTCTCCCAGGGTTTGGTTTTATCCCTGGATTCAGTTTTATCCCTGGGTTTGGTTTTATCCCTGGGTTTGGTTTTATCCCTGGATTCGGTTTCTCCCAGGATTTGGTTTTATCCTTGGGTTTGTTTTATCCCTGGGTTTTGGTTTTATCCCTGGCTTTGGTTTTATCCCTGGATTTGGTTTCATCCCTGGATTTGGTTTTATCCCTGGGTTGGGTTTTATCCCTGGATTTGGTTTTATCCCTGGGTTTGGTTTTATCCCTGGCTTTGGTTTTATCCCTGGATTTGGTTTTGTCCCAGGGTTTGGTTTTATCCCTGGGTTCGGTTTCATCCCTGGATTTTGGTTTTATCCCAGGATTTGGTTTTATCCCTGGGTTCGGTTTCATCCCTGGATTTGGTTTTATCCCTGGGTTTGGTTTCTCCCAGGATTTGGTTTTATCCCTGGGTTTGGTTTTATCCCTGGGTTTGTTTTATCCCTGGGTTTTATCCCTGGTTTTGGTTTTATCCCTGGGTTTGGTTTTATCCCTGGGTTTGGTTTTATCCTTGGGTTCGGTTTTATCCCTGGATTTTGGTTTTATCCCTGGATTTGGTTTTATCCCAGGATTTGGTTTTATCCCTGGGTTTGGTTTTATCCCTGGATTTGGTTTTATCCCTGGGTTTGGTTTTATCCCTGGATTTGATTTCTCCCTGGGTTTTGGTTTTATCCCTGGGTTTGGTTTTATCCCTGGATTTGGTTTTGTCCCTGGGTTTGGTTTCATCCCTGGATTTGGTTTCTCCCAGGATTTGGTTTTATCCCTGGGTTTGGTTTTATCCCTGGGTTTGTTTTATCCCTGGGTTTTATCCCTGGTTTTGGTTTTATCCCTGGGTTTTATCCCTGGATTTGGTTTTGTCCCGGGTTTGGTTTTATCCCAGGATTTGGTTTTATCCCTGGGTTTGGTTTCATCCCTGGATTTGGTTTTATCCCTGGATTTGCTTTCATCCCTGGATTTGGTTTTCTCCCTGGGTTTGTTTTTATCCCAGGATTTGGTTTTATCCCTGGGTTTGGTTTTATCCCTGGGTTTGGTTTTATCCCTGGGTTTTATCCCTGGGTTTGGTTTTATCCCTGCTTTGGTTTTATCCCTGGATTTGTTTTATCCCTGGATTTGGTTTTATCCCTGGATTTCGTTTCTCCCTGGATTTGGTTTTATCCCTGGGTTTGGTTTTATCCCAGGATTTGGTTTTATCCCTGGATTTGCTTTCATCCCTGGGTTTGGTTTTATCCCTGGGTTTGGTTTCATCCCTGGATTTGGTTTTTCCCAGGATGTGGACGCTGCCTACATGAACAAGGTGGAGTTGGAGGCCAAGGTGGACGCCCTGACGGACGAGATCAACTTCCTGAGGGCTTTCCATGAGGCGGTGAGGAATTTGGGTGGAATTCTCCTAATTAGTGATGGTTTAGATGGAATTATCCCAATTAGTGATGATTTAGATGGAGTTCTCCTAATCAGTGACAATTTGGATGGAGTTCTCCTAATCAGTGACAATTTGGATGGAATTCTCCTAATGAGTGATGAATTAGATGGAATTCTCCTAATTACTGATGGTTTGGATGGAGTTCTCCTGATCAGTGACTATTTGGGTGGAATTCTCCTAATTAGTGATGATTTGGATGGAGTTCTCCTAATCAGTGACATTTGGGTGGAATTCTCTAATTAGTGATGGTGGAATTCTCTGATTGACTTGGATGGAATTCTCCTTATTATGGATGACTTGGGTGAAATTCTCCTAATTATTGATGACTTGGGTGGAATTCTCCTGATTATGGATGATTTTGGTTGGAATTCTCCTGATCAGTGACAATTTGGATGGAATTATCCTGATTATTGATGATTTTGGTTGGAATTCTCCTGATCAGTGATGACTAGGATGGAATTCTCCTAATCAGTGATGATTTAGATGGAATTCTCCTAATTATGGATTACTTGGGTGGAATTCTCCTGATTATTGATGACTTGGATGGAATTCTCCTTATTATGGATGACTTGGGTGAAATTCTCCTGAGGGTTGATGATTTTGGGTGGAATTCTCCTAATTATTGATGACTTGGGTGGAATTTTCCTGATGATTGCCCATTTTGGGTGGAATTCTCCTGATGATTGCTGATTTTGGGTGGAATTCTCCTGATGATTGCCCATGTTGGGTGGAATTCTCCTGATGATTGCCAATTTTGGGTGGAATCCTCCTGATGGTTGCCAATTTCATCTGGAATCCTCCCTCTCCCCCCCTTTCCCTGCTCGTCCCTCCCTCTCTCCCCGAAAAGGGCGGGATCTTTTGGCTCCCTCAGAACCCCGGCATCGAGGTGCGAACTCCTGTGTGTGTGTGAGTTGTTTTTATCCTTCCCCCACAGGAGATCAACGAGCTGCAGGCCCAGATCTCGGACACCTCGGTGGTTCTGTCCATGGACAACAACCGGAGCCTGGACCTGGACGGGATCATCGCCGAGGTGAAGGCGCAGTACGAGGACATCGCCAACCGCAGCCGCGCCGAGGCCGAGGCCTGGTACCAGAGCAAGGTGAGAGGAGGGGGACACAGCCTGGATCCTGAGGGTCCAGGGACAATTCCAGAGCACTGGAGGGGCTCCAGGAGAGCTGGAGAGGGATTTGGGATGAGGGGATGGAGGGGCGGCACACAGGGAGTGGATTCCCGCTTGCCGGAGGTGGGAGGTTAGGAGGGGGATTCCAGTTTGGGATGGATCCAGTTTGGATGATTCCAGTTTGGGGAGGGGCTGGGATGGAGTTCCCAGAGGATTCCCCATCCCTGGGAGTGCCCAAAGCCAGGCTGGAGCCCCCTGGGATGGTGGGAGGGGTCCAAGGTGGGACTGGATGGGATTTAAGGTCCCTCCCAACCCAACCCATTCCAGGATTCCACGATTCTGGATCCAGGCTGGGAGAGCTGGGAATGTCCAACCTGGAGAAGGGAAGGATCCAGGGAGAGCTCAGAGCCACTTCCAGGGCCTGGAGGGGCTCCAGGAGAGCTGGAGAGGGATTTGGGATGGAGGGATGGAGGGACAGCACACAGGGAATGGCTTCTCACTGCCAGAGGTGGGAGGTTAGGAGGGGGATTCCAGTTTGGGGAGGGAATTCCCAGAGTTGTGGCTGCCCTTGGATCCCTGGGAGTGCCCAAGGCCAGGTTGGATCCCCCTGGGATGGTGGGAGGGGTCCCTACCTGTGGAAAGGTGGGACTGGATGGGATGGGATAGGATGGGATGGGATGGGATTTAAGGTCCCTCCAACCCCACCCATTCCAGGATTCCACGATTATGCAGCCAGGTTGGGAGAGCTGGGAATGTCCAACCTGGAGAAGGGAAAGGTCCAGGGAGAGCTCAGAGCCCCTTCCAGGGCCTGAAGGGACCATTCCAGGATGGGATGGGATGGGATGGGATGGGATGGGATGGGATTTAAGATCCCTCCAACCCAAACCATTCCAGGACTCCGCAGCTCCTCCAACGTGCCCGGAGCGGGAGAGAGCTTTTAATCCCACTAATTAACCCCCTCCTGATGTTTAATTAACCCCCTCCTGATGTCCAATTAACCCCCTGCTGCCCCCAGTACGAGCAGCTCCAGCTGACGGCCGGCAAGCACGGGGACGACCTCCGGAACACCAGGAACGAGATCACCGAGATCAACCGGGCGATCCAGAGGCTCCAGGGGGAGATCGAGAGTGCCAAGGCCCAGGTGAGGAGCTGCAGGTCCTGATCCCTCTGCTGATCAGGGAAAAAAGGGCTGGAGCTGTGCCTGGGATGGGTTTTTTTAGGGGAAAAAAGGTTCTTCCCTCGGGACGGGCTCCTCGGGGTTCGGGAGCGACCCCCAAAAGATGGAGGGGTTTGGGTAAAATGCCCTCAGGAGTTGGGATTTTGGGATTTTGGGATTTGGGGGGTTTTTTTAGCCCTTGTGCAGGGTCAGGAGATGGAGATGATGGTGCTGGTGGGTTCGACCCTAATCCTGACAGGAACAACCCCAATCCTGACAGGACTGACCCCAATCCTGACAGGAAGGACCCCAATCCTGACAGGAAGGACCCCAATCCTGACAGGAACAACCCCAATCCTGTCAGGACTGACCCCAATCCTGACAGGAATCCAATCCTGACAGGAATGACCCAATCCTGACAGGAACGACCCCAATCCTGACAGGAATGACCCCAATCCTGACAGGAATGACCCCAATCCCGACAGGAACGACCCCAATCCTGACAGAACCAACCCTGATCCTGTCAGGAACGACCCCAATCCTGACAGGAACGACCCCAATCCCGACAGGAACGACCCAAATCCTGACAGGACCGACCCCAATCCTGACAGGAACGACCCCAATCCTGACAGGACCGACCCCAATCCTGACAGGAACGACCCCAATCCTGTCAGGACTGACCCCAAACCTGACAGGAACGACCCCAATCCTGACAGGAACGACCTCAATCCTGACAGGAATGATCCCAATCCTGGCAGGAAAGATCCTGACAGGAACGACCCCAATCCTGACAGGAACGACCTCGATCCTGACAGGAACGACCCCAATCCTGCCAGGAATGATCCCAATCCTGACAGGACCGACCCCAATCCTGTCAGGAATGACCCCAATCCTGACAGGAATGACCCCAATCCTGACAGGAACGACCCCAATCCTGACAGGAACGACCCCAATCCTGACAGGAACGACCCCAATCCTGACAGGAATGACCCCAGTCCTGACAGGAATGACCCTGATAGGAACGACCCCAATCCTGACAAGAATGACCCCAATCCTGACAGGACCGACCCCAATCCTGGCAGGACCGACCCCAATCCTGACAGGAATGACCCCAATCCTGACAGGAACGACCCCAAACCTGACAGAACCAACCCTGATCCCGACAGGACTGACCCCAATCCTGACAGGACCGACCCCAATCCCGACAGGAACGACCCCAATCCTGTCAGGAACAACCCCAATCCTGACAGGAATGACCCCAAACCTGACAGGAACGACCCCAATCCTGACAGGAATGACCCCAATCCTGACAGGAACGACCCCAATCCTGACAGGAATGACCCCAAACCTGTCAGGAACAACCCCAATCCTGACAGGAATGACCCCAATCCTGACAGGAACGACCCCAATCCTGACAGGAATGACCCCAATCCCGACAGGAACGACCCCAATCCCGACAGGACCGTGGGCTTGGGGGGGAGAAGGAGCAGGAATCACCCCCAGGATGGAGAACAGGGAGGATTGCAGATCCCAAGGACAGGGCTGGGGTGACCCCACAGGTTCCTCCTCTCCTCCACTTCCCTCCCCCCCCACATTTCCTGGGGCACACCCGGGAATTTCTGGTTTGGTTTTTTTTTGTGTGGGGTTTTTTTATTTATCGTTCCATCTCGGGGTTTTGGGGCCCCGCGGGTGGAACTGGAGCTGCTGGGAGGGGAGGGGAGGGCAGGGGGGTAACCTGAGCTCCCCGGAGCTCCCCCGATAAGGCCGGTGATTCATCCCCGCCTTTGTTTGGTTTCGGGGCGGGGGAACCGAACCCAGAGCGGCTCCCCCGGGGGGGACGGGGAGGGCACAAAACAAAGCTCGTGGGGAGGGGCGGGGGCACAGCCGGGGGTTCTGGCACCGCGTGGGGCCCTCGGGGGTGTTTTTGGGGTGGGTCTGTGGTGTTTGGTGGCTCCTGGTCCTCTCCAGGTCCTGCTGCCCCTCATTAAAGGTTTTTTGGTTGCCCCAGACGAGCTTTGGGGTGAATCAGGAGGTGAAGAGGCAGAGCTGGGGGTTCCAGCCCCACGTGGACCCTTTAGGGGTGTTTTTGGGGTGGGTCTGTGACATTTGGGTGGCTCCTGGTCCTGCTGCCCCTCATTAAAGGTTTTTTGGTTGCCCCAAACGAGCTCTGGGGGTGCAGGGGGTTCTGGCACCTTGTGGGGCCCCCAGGAGTGGTTTTTGGGGTGGGTCTGTGGTGTTCGGGTGGCTCCTGGTCCTCTCCAGGTCCTGCTGCCCCTCATTAAAGGTTTTTGGTTGTCCCAAAAGAGCTCTGGGGGTGCAGGGGCAGAGCTGAGGGGTCTGGAACCTTTAGGGGTGTTTTTGGGGTGGGTCTGTGATGTTTGGGTGGCTCCAGGTCCTCTCCAGGTCCTGCTGCCCCTCATTAAAGGTTTTTTGGTTGCCCCAAACGAGCTCTGGGGTGAATCAGGAGGGGCAGGGGCAGAGCTGAGGGGTCTGGCACTGCATGGACCCTTTAGGGGTGTTTTTGGGGTGGGTCTGTGACATTTGGTGGCTCCAGGTCCTGCTGCCCCTCATTAAAGGTTTTTTGGTTACCCCAAACGAGCTCTGGGGGTGCAGGGGCAGAGCTGAGGGGTCTGGCACCACGTGGGGGCCCCAGGGGTGGTTTTTGGGGTGGGTCTGTGACGTTTGGTGGCTCCTGGTCCTGCTGCCCCTCATTAAAGGTTTTTTGGTTGCCCCAAACGAGCTCTGGGGGGAATGAGGAGGGAAAACCTGAGCTCTCCCGGGGTGGGGAGGGGGGGAAGCTGAGGGAAGTTGTCCAAAAGTGCAGCCAAGTGTGGAGAAAGAGGGTCTTGCCTTTTGGGGATGGGATGGGATGGGATGGGATGGGATGGGATTGATGGGATGGGATGGGATGGGATGGGATGGGATTGATGGGATGGGATGGGATGGGATGGGATGGGATGGGATGGGATTGATGGGATAAAATTGAATGGATGGGGTAAAATGGAAGGGATGGGATGGGATGGGATGGGATGGGATGGGATGGGATGGAATAGATGGGATGGGATGGGATGGGATGGGATAAAATGGAATGGATGGGATAAAATGGAATGGATAGGATGGGATGGGACAGGATGGGATGGGACAGGATGGGATGGAATGGAATAGATGGGATAGGATGGGAAGGGATGGGACAGGACGGGATGGGAGAGATAGAATGGAGTGGATGGGATGGGATGGGATGGGATGGGATGGGATGGGATGGGATGGGATGGGATGGGATGGGATGGGATGGGATGGGCCAGGACAGGATGCCCTCCCTCCTCCCCACCCAGCCCCCCAAAACCCTCAGAGCGTGTCTGGGATCATCCCACCGACCCCCAGCGCCCCTCAAACCCCCAGAGGAAACTCCGGGCAGCCAAACCCGGGTGGTTTTTTTGTTTGTTTGTGTTTTTTATCCTTTTCCTCCCCGGTGGGAGCGGGAGGAGCCTCCCCTGACCCCCTCCCCTCTGCCCACAGCGGGCCAAGCTGGAGGCGGCCGTGGCCGAGGCGGAGGAGAGGGGGAGCTGGCCCTGAAGGACGCACGGGCCAAGCTGGCCGAGCTGGAGGACGCCCTCCAAAAAGCCAAGGCCGACATGGCCCGGCAGCTCCGCGAGTACCAGGAGCTCATGAACGTCAAGCTGGCCCTGGACATCGAGATTGCCACCTACAGGAAGCTGCTGGAGGGCGAGGAGAGCAGGTGGGGGGAAAAAAACCCCGAAAAAAAAGCCCTTTTTGTGGGTGGTTTTTGGTGCTGGAGGGGCTTTGGTGGAAGAGTCTGACTGGGAAGTTCTGGGGGGTGAAATATTGATAGTTTTTGATAGTTACATAGACCAAAAAACCCAAAAAAAGCCCTTTTTGTGGGTGGGTTTTTTGGTGCTGGAGGGGCTTTGGTGGAAGAGCCAAACTGGGAAATTCTGGATGGGGGGAAAAAATGTTGATGGTTTTGATGAAAATAAGCAAGGAAGGGAAAAGTTGTTTTCCACCACTCATGGTGTTGTGGTAGAACATTCCCAGGTGGAAATCCCTGTGGAATTTCAGGTAGAAATTCCAGGGCTCTCTCACCCCTGGTGGGAGGGGGGTTCCTCCTCCCGGGGCAGGAGCTCCCTGCCTTTGGAATGCCGGGAATGCCGAGCCTGATCCCTCCCTTTGTCTCCTCCCAACAGGTTGGCCGGGGAAGGAGTCGGCAACGTCAACATCTGTGAGTGGGGGCTGCTGCTTGGGGGGGTTTGGTTGGGTTTTTGGGGGGGTTTCTTGGTTATTTGTGGGTTTTTTGGGTTGTTTGGGGGCTTTCTTGGTTGTTTGGGGGGGTTTGTTGGTCATTTGGGGAGGGGGTTGAGTCGTTTGGGGGGTTTTGTTGGTTGTTTTGGGGGTTTGGTTCATCATTTGTGGGGTTTTGTTGGTTTTTTGGGGGGGGTTGTTGGTTGTTTGTGGGGTTTTTTTGATTGTTTGGGGGATTTTTGGTTGTTTTTGGGGTTTGTTTGTTGGGGGTTTTGTTGGTCATTTGTGGGGGTTTGAGTCGTTTGGGGGGTTTCTTGGTTATTTGTGGGTTTTGTTGGCTGTTTGGGGGGGTTTTTTGGGTTGTTTGGGGGGTTCTGTTGGTTTTTGGAGGGTTCTGTTGTTTTTTTGGGGGGGTTTGTTGGTTGTTTTTGGGGTTTGTTGTTTGTTTGGGGGTTTCTTGGGTTTTTGGGGTTTCTTGGTTGGGGGGTTTGGTTGTTCGTGGGTTTTGTTGGTCATTTGTGGGGGTTTGTTGGTTGCTTGGGGGTTTTGTTGGTCATTTGTGGGGGTTTGTTGGTTGTTTTGGGGGTTTTGTTGGTCATTTGTGGGGTTTGTTGGTTGTTTTGGGGGTTTGTTGGTTGTTTTGGGGTTTTGTTGGCCATTTGGGGGTTTGTTGGGTTTTTGGGGGTTGATGGTTTTTGTAGGGGTTTTGGGGGTTTTTGGGGGGGTTCTGTTTGTTGTTTTTGGAGTTCGTTGGTTGTTTGGGGGGTTTCTTGGTTATTTGTGGGTTTTTTTGGTTGTTTGGGGGGTTTTGTTTGTCATTTGGGGGGGGTTTGGGTTGTTTGGGGGGTTTTGTTGGTCATTTGGGGGGTTTTGTTGGTTGTTTTGGGGGGTTTCTTGGTTATTTGTGGGTTTTTATGGTTGTTTGGGGGGTTTTGTTGGTTGTTTGTGGGGTTTTGTTGGTTGTTTGGGGGGGGTTCTTGGTTATTTGTGGGGTTTGTTGGTTGTTTGTGGGGGTTTTGTTGGGGTTTTTTTTGGGGGGTTGGGTTGTTTGGGGGTTTTGGTTGTTTGTTTGACGGGTTTTGTTGGTTGTTTGTGGGGTTTTGTTGGTTGTTTTGGGGGTTTGTTGGTTGTTTTGGGGGTTTTTTTGGTTGTTTTGGGGGTTTGTTGGTTGTTTTGGGGGTTTGTTGGTTGTTTTGGGGGTTTTGTTGGTCATTGGGGGGGTTTTTTGGGTTGTTTGGGGGGTTTTGTTGGTTGTTTATGGGGGTTTTGTTGGGTTTTTTGGGGAGTTGATGGTTTTTGTAGGGGTTTTGGGGGTTGTTTATGGGGTTTTTTTGGTTGTTTGGGGGGTTTTGTTGGTTGTTTTGGGGGCTTTGTTGGGTTTGGGGGTTGATGGTTTTTGTAGGGGTTTTGGGGGTTGTTTGGGGGGTTCTGTTGGGTTTTTTGGGGGGTTTTGTTGTTTCTGGGGTTGCAAATTAAAAAAAAAAGAAAAAAAAAAGGGGGGGGAGGTTTAGGTGGGATTTGGGGAAGAATTTCCACCCTGGGAGGGTGGGGAGGGGCTGGGATGGAATTCCCAGAGGATTTCCCATCCCTGGGATGGATTTCCCATCCCTGGGATGGATTTCCCAGAGGATTTCCCAGGGATGGATTTCCCAGAGGATTTCCCATCCCTGGGATGGATTTCCCAGAGGATTTCCCATCCCTGGGATGGATTTCCCAGAGGATTTCCCATCCCTGGGATGGATTTCCCAGAGGATTCCCCATCCCTGGGATGGATTTCCCATCCCTGGGAGTGTCCAAGGATCCCCCTGGGACATCAGGAGACGTCCCTACCCACAGCCAGGTGGGGTGGGAGTGGGATAACCATTCCAGCATTCCACAGAGAACTGGGATAACCTCTGGAATTCACCCCCATTCCCATTTCCCGGGGTTTTTTTCCCATCCCAGGTTCAGAGGGAGGATCTCAGGGTGGTTTTTTTTCCCCTTCCCAGCCGTGCTCAGCTCCAGCTCCGGCTCCAGCGGCTTCTCCAGCCCCGCGGGATTCCTGGGAGGAGCCCTGGGAGGCGGGATGGGCAGCGGAGCCCTGGGATTGTCCTCGGGGGGAGGAGGCACCAAATCCTACTCCATCACCACCACCACCACCTCCAGCAGCCGCCGCAGCGTCAGGAAGTGACCCCGGCCCCGCTCCCGGGGAAAAGGAGGGAAAAGAAGGGAAAAAAAGGGAAAACCCTCGGGAAGAAACGTCCCGGTGCGTCCTCACCGGGATAAATTCCACCCTATCCCAAAAAAAAAAACACAAATAAAGAAACAAACAACGAGTTCCTGCCACGGCCACCCCCGCGCCGGGATAATCCCACCGGGAGCGGGATCCGATCCCACCGGGAGCGGGATCAGATCCACCGGGAGCGGGATCCGACCCCACCAGGAGCAGGATCAGCCCCTCCCTCTCTCCCCCCGGGGTGGGATTTTTTTGGGGGGATGAAGGAGAAGGGGGAGGGGTTACCTGCTGTTACCTCCGCCCTTGGGACCTCCCCCTTCCCAAAATCCCACATTTCTGCCCAAGGAGAGCCGGGAGTTTCTCCCCCTCCCCCCCCCCAAGCTCCACCCCCGCGTTTAATCGGGATTTTTGGGAAGTTTCCATCCCTCGGGGCTCACTTTGGAATGGTTTTTTTTTTTTATGGGAAGGAGAAAGGGGTGAAACCGCTCGGGGATTCCTTCCCATTCCCTTTGGGAATGGGCTCAGAGCTGGAATTTCGACATTTCCCCCCCGCACCTGGAGCAGTTTTTGGACCAAAAGCAGATTTTTTTTCCCCCACACCCCCCACCCTCCCCCGGGGAAGGTTTTTAGGGAATAATCCAAGGAATTCCTCGCCCCTCCCTGCTGATGCTCGGCCGTGTCCCGAGGGCGTGGGGGGGTTTTTTTTTTGGGTGGAATTCTCGTGCTTTTCGCGTCTGTCCCGAGGTTGTTAATAAAGTTTCCCTTTTTTTTTCCTGCTCCTCCCGGTCCCGACTGAGTTCTTTGTGCTTGGAATTCTCTGGGAATGTTTTCCAGAGCCTACCCCGGCTCACCTGGAGCAGGGACGGGGCGGGATTTGGGATTTGGGATTTGGTGCCTCCCCCGGGCTCGTTCCCGGCAGGATTTGGGATTTGGGATTTGGTGCCTCCCCCGGGCTCGTTTCTGATGGGATTTGGGATTTGGGATTTGGTGCCTCCCCCGGGCTCGTTCCCGGTGGGATTTGGGATTTGGGATGTGATTCCTGCTCCCTTCTGGGGGAGAGGGTGCTTCGGGGAGGGGGAATTCACCCTTAAAAAAAGGTGAATTTTGGGGTAAATTGAACTAAATTCCCTCTTCCAAAAAGGTGCATTTTAAAGTAAAATTGAACCAAATTCCCTCTTCCAAAAAGCTTCGATTTTTAGGTAAAATGAACCAAATTCATTGTTCCAAAAATTTCGGGGTAAATTGAACCAAATTCCCTCTTCCAAAAATGTGCATTTGAAGGTAAAATTGAACCAAATTCACTTCCAAAAAGCTGCAATTTTCCAAATCCCCTCTTCCAAAAACCCTTTTAGGGTCTCCAGACATTCCCAAAGGGACAAACTCCCCCCAAAACTGACCCAGCCGAGGGGGGGGAGGGGGTGGAATTCCCCTTTTTTAATGCAAATCTTCCCAAAAATTGGCTCGGAGGTCCCTCGAGAGGGAAAGGGAGAGGGAGAGGGAGACTCCTCCTCCTTTTCCAGCCCCATCGGCTGCTGCTCCTCCCCCCAGACAACTTTACCTGACTCTGCAATTCCTCAGGGCTTCAGTTCACACATTTTTGGGCTGTTTCCTCCCTCATGGGGTGATTTTGTCTCTACCTGAGTCTGCAGTTCCTCAGGGCTTCACTTCACCAATTTTTTAGGCTGTTTCCTCACTCATGGGGTGACTTTGTCTCTACTTGAGTCTTCAGTTCCTCAGGGCTTCATTTCACACATTTTTGGGCTCTTTCCTCACTCATGGGATGATTTTGTCTCTACCTGAGTCAGTAATTTCTCAGGGCTTCACTTCACCAATTTTTTAGGCTGTTTCCTCACTCAGGGGTAATTCTGTCTTTGCCTGAGTCAGCAATTCCTCGGGGCTTCACCTCTGTAGATTTTTGGGCTGTTTCCTCATCCATGGTATGACTTTGTCCTTACCTGGGTTAGTGATTTCTCAGGGCTTCACTTTTGCCTATTTTTGGGCTCTTTCCTCACTCGTGGGGTGACTTTGCCTTTACCTGAGTCTGCAGTTCCTCAGGGCTTCATTTCACAGAATTTTTGGGCTGTTTCCTCCCTCGTGGGGTGATTTTGTCTCTGCCTGAGTCTTCAATTCCTCGGGGCTTCACCTTTGCAGATTTTTGGGCTGTTTCCTCACTCATGGGGTGATTTTGTCTCTACTTGAGTCTTTAATTCCTCTTTACCTGAGTCTTTAATTCCTCAGGGCTTCAGTTCACAGATTTTTGGGCCCTTTCCTCACTCAGGGGGTGATTTTGTCACTGCCTGAGTCTGCAGTTCCTCAGGGCTTCACCTCTCCAGATTTTTGAGCTGTTTCCTCACTCAGGGGGTGATTCTGTCTCTGCCTGAGTCACCAGTTCCTCAGGGCTTCACTTTTGCCTATTTTTGGGCTCTTTCCTCACTCGTGGGGTGACTTTGTCTCTACTCGAGTCTTCAGTTCCTCAGGGTTTCATTTCACAGATTTTTGGGCTCTTTCCTCACTCATGGGATGATTTTTGCTCTACCTGAGTCAGCAATTCCTCGGGGCTTCACTTCACCAATTTTTTGGGCTGTTTCCTCACTCAAGGGGTGACTTTGCCTTTACCTGAGTCTTTAATTCCTCAGGGCTTCATTTCACAGAATTTTTGGGCTCTTTCCTCACTCGTGGGGTGACTTTGTCTCTACTTGAGTCTTCAGTTCCTCAGGGTTTCATTTCACAGATTTTTGGGCTCTTTCCTGACTCATGGTATGATTCTGTCTCTGCCTGAGTCACCAATTCCTCGGGGCTTCACCTTTGTAGATTTTTAGGCTGTTTCCTCATCCATGGTATGACTTTGTCTCTACCTGGGTTAGTGATTTCTCAGGGCCTCACTTTTGCCTATTTTTGGGCTCTTTCCTCACTCAGGGGGTGATTTTGCCTCTGCCTGACTCTGCAGTTCCTCAGGGCTTCATTTCCCAGATTTTTAGGCTGTTTCCTCATTCGTGGAGTGATCTTGTCTCTTCTTGAGCCTGTGATTTCTCAGGGCTTCATTTCCCAGATTTTTGGGGCTCTTCCCTCCCTCATGGGGTGATTTTGTCTCTACCTGAGCCTGTGATTTCTTAGGGCTTCACCTTTGTAGATTTTTGGGCTGTTTCCTCCCCTCATGGGGTGATTTTATCTCTGCCTGAGTCACCAATTCCTCCTGGAGGGGCAGGAGAAGGGCCTGGAGGAATCCCAGGAGAGCTGGGGGGGCTCAACCTGGGGGAAAAGGAGTTTTGGGAGGGACCTTTTCCCTCCCTGCCAGGAAGGAGAATCTGAGGGGGGGCTCACTCTGCTCCCAGGGGGACAGAGACAGGACAAAAAACCACCTCAAACCACGCCAGGTGGGACATCAGCAGGAATTTCCTCGTGGAAAAAGTTGTTAAAACACTGGAAGGGGCTGCCCTGGGAGGTTTGGAATCCCCCCCTCCAGCCCTGGGGGTGTCCAGGGAATGCCTGGATGTGGCACGGGGTGGGATCCACGGGCTGGGAGGGCTTTTCCAGCCTCGGGGGGGATCCCGGGATTGTCGGGTTTTGTATCCTGGTGGTTGCTGCTTCCCAGGAGCCGCACGGAGAGGACCCACAGCTGATTTTTTTTTTTTTTCCCTGGAAAACCGCTGGTGTCCAAGGAAAACCTCCACCCAGCCCGGCATTCCAGCCCTTCCCGTGTCCCAGATCCGGGAGTGTTTCCCTAAAATAAAAAAGCTCCTCGTGAGGGGGCTGGGAATGTTTCCTCCTCAATTCAGCGACGCTTCGGCTCCTCAATTAACTCAATTTTTGGCTTCTCAATTAACTCAACCTTTGGCTTCTCAATTAACTTTTGGCTCCTCAATTAACTCAACTTTTGGCTCCTCAATTAACTCAACTTTTGGCTTCTCAATTAACTTTTGGCTCCTCAATTAACTCAACTTTTGGCTTCTCAATTAACTCAACTTTTGGCTCCTCAATTAACTCAACTTTTGGCTCCTCAATTAACTCAACTTTTGGCTTCTCAATTAACTTCTCCTCGTTAGTCAGAGCCACCTCTCAAACCTCCACCCACCCACCCCTCCTCTTGGGTTCTCTGCCCAAAACGTGGAAAAAAAAAGTGGGATCTTGAAGATTTTCCATCAGTGAGAGCTTTTTCTTGGTGTTTTTTTTTTCCCCTAATTTCTCTGATTTCAGTGCAGGGGGGTTGAATTCTGGAGAGCTTTTTCTTGGTGCTTTTTTTCCCTAATTTCTCTGATTTCGGGGCAAGGGGGTTGAATTCAGGAGAGCTTTTTATTGGTGGTTTTTTTCGCCTAATTTCTCTGATTTCGGGGCAAGGGGGTTGAATTCTGGAGAGCTTTTTCTTGGTGGTTTTTTTCCTAATTTCTCTGATTTCAGGGCAGGGTGGTTGAATTCTGGAGAGCTTTTTCTTGGTGTTGATTTTTTCCTAATTCCTCTGATTTCAGGGCAGGGGGGTTGAATTCTGGAGAGCTTTTTCTTGGTGTTTTTTTCCTAATTTCTCTGATTTCAGTGCAGGGGGGTTGAATTCTGGAGAGCTTTTTCTTGGTGCTTTTTTTCCCCTAATTTCTCTGATTTCGGGGCAGGGGGTTGAATTCTGGAGAGCTTTTTCTTGGTGCTTTTTTTCCCCTAATTTCTCTGATTTCAGGGCAAGGGGGGGTTGAATTCTGGAGAGCTTTTTCTTGGTGTTTTTTTTCCTAATTTCTCTGATTTCGGGGCAAGGGGTTTGAATTCAGGAGAGCTTTTTCTTGGTGCTTTTTTTCCCCTAATTTCTCTGATTTCAGGGCAGCTCCCACTTTTCCCCCCCTCTCCTGCCTGGGGATTTCGCTCCCAGTTTTTTTATTTTTTAACCTGGAATATTGAAATTTAAGCTGAAATATTGAAAGCCCCGCTCACCGCGGGCTCTGCCCTGCCGGTGCGTCCTGGATACCGATGGAGAAATTCCCTGAAATCCCAGAGAGCAGCGAAAAAAACTCCGAGCTCTGAACCCTCCCCCCCGGGTTCAAAGCGCTCCTCGCCCTCTCATTTGCATTCTTTAATTAAAGGGCCCCGCCCCATCGAATAAATTACACGTGAGTTTCTTTCTCTTTATTATTATTATTATTATTTATTTTTTTAATTTATTTTTTTTAATTAGACGAACAGCAGAGCGAGAGGAGAGAGAGAGAGACCAACAGGACGAGGACACGTTTTATGTACAAAAAAAACCAAAAAAAGAGAAATAACCCCCACCCTGAGCTGAGCTGAACCACCAAGCGAGGAGTCCGAAAAGGGGATTTTTTTTTTAAAACACCCCCACTCCGGGAGGACGAGGCTTAGGAGCGAAATTTGGGGAGGGTTTTGTGTTTTTTGGGTGATGAAAGTGTCGATTGGAGGGAGGGGCGTGAATCGGGGTCGGGTTTAGCTCCGGTAGCTCCTTCTGGTGGAGGAGGTGGAGACGAACTTGACGCTGGAGCTGCTGCCGGAGTTGCAGATCCCCCCGGCCACGCTCAGGTTGCTCCCCGCGCCGTACCCCGACCCCACGGTCGTCCTGGTGACGGCTGCGAGGAGGAAAAGAAGAAGGGAAAAAATAAAAAAATAAGGAGAAATTAAAGGTTTTTATATTTAATTTTTTTTTAGGGACTTATAGATAATGTTTAAATTTATATTTAATTTTTTTTAGGGACTTATAGATAATGTTTAAATTTATATTTAATTTTTTTTTTTTTAGGGACTTATAGATAATGTTTAAATTTATATTTAATTTTTTTTTTAGGGACTTATAATGTTAAAATTTATATTTAAATTTTTTTTTTTAGGGACTTATAGATAATGTAAATTTATATTTAATTTTTTTTTAGGGACTTACAGATATTCACGGGGACGCCGTCTCCGGCCAGCCTGTTTGGGAAGAGGAGGGGGAAAGGGAGCACAAGGAGAGAGGATTAGAAATCTGGTGACATTTTGGGACACACACACACAAACAGGACACGTTTCCCCACACTTTTTTGGGGAGAAAACCAAAAATCACGGCACAGGTCCAGGTTGTGGATTTGGGATCTGGGGAGTGGATTTGGGATCCATGGTGTGGGATTTGGAATCTGGGGAGTGGATTTAGGATCTGGGGTGTGATTTGGGATCCAGGGTGTAGGATTTGGGATCTGGGTGTTTGATTGGGGGTCCAGGCTGTGGGATTTGGGATCTGGGGAGTGGATTTGGGACCCATGGTGATGTGATTTGGGATCTGGGGTGTAGGATTTGGGACCCAGGTCATGGGATTTAGGATCTGGGGGGTGTGATTTGGGATCTGGGGTGTAGGATTTGGGACCCAGGTCATGGGATTTAGGATCTGGGGGGTGTGATTTGGGATCTGGTGAGTGGATTTGGGACCTGGAGTGTAGGATTTGGGACCCAGTTCATGGGATTTAGGATCTGGGGTGTGATTTAGGATCTGGGGTGTGTGATTTGGGATCTGGATGTTTGATTTGGGATCTGGGTGTAGGATTTGAAATCCAGGGTGCAGGATCTGGGATCCAAGGCATGGGATTTAGGATCTGGGGGGTGTGATTTGGGACCTGGGGTGCAGGATTTGGGACCCAGGGCATGGGATTTAGGATCTGGGGTGTGTGATTTGGGACCTGGGGTGCAGGATTTGGGACCCAGGTCATGGGATTTAGGATCTGGGGTGTGTGATTTGGGATCCAGGCTGTGGGATTTGGGATCTGAGGAGTGGATTTGGGATCCAGGCTGTGTGATTTGGGATCTGGGGAGTGGATTTGGGATCCCAGGTCATGGGATTTAGGATCTGGGGGGTGTGATTTGGGATCTGGAGTGTAGGATTTGGGATCTGGGGTGTAGGATTTGAAATCCAGGGTGTAGGATCTGGGACCCAGGTCATGGGATTTAGGATCTGGATTTGGGACCTGGGGTGCAGGATTTGAAATCCAGGGTGTAGGATCTGGAATCCAGGTCATAGGATTTAGGATCTGGGGGTGTGATTTGGGACCTGGGGTGCAGGATTTGGGACCCAGGTCATGGGATTTAGGATCTGGGGGGTGTGATTTGGGACCTGGAGTGTAGGATTTGGGATCCAGGTCATGGGATTTAGGATCTGGGGGGTAGGATTTGAAATCCAGGGTGTAGGATCTGGAATCCAGGTCATGGGATTTAGGATCTGGGGGGTGTGATTTGGGACCTGGGGTGCAGGATTTGGGACCCAGGTCATGGGATTTAGGATCTGGGGGGTGTGATTCGGGGTCCGGGCTGCACCATTCGGGGTCTGGCCAGTCTGGATCGGGGCTTGTGGCCCCCCCACCTGCACTCCTCGCCCTCCAGCAGCTTCCTGTAGGTGGCAATCTCGATGTCCAGGGCCAGCTTGACGTTCATGAGCTCCTGGTACTCGCGGAGCTGCCGGGCCAGGTCAGCCTTGGCTTGTTGGAGCGCGTCCTCCAGCTCGGCCAGCTTGGCCCGCGCGTCCTTCAGGGTGAGCTCCCCCCGCTCCTCGGCGTCGGCGATGGCGGCTTTCAGGTTGGCACACTGAGGGGGCAGGGAGGGAGGGCAAATCACACACGCACGAACCACCACGTTTATCCCAGCACCCTCAGTTTTATCCCAGCACCAGCAGGTTTATTCCAGCACCCTCAGCTTTATCCTGGTACCATCTTAATCCCAGCACCATTTTAATTCCAGCACCCTCATCTTTATTCCAGCATCCTCATCTTTATTCCAGCACCCTCAGATTTATCCCAGCACCCTCAGGTTTATCCCAGCACTCTCATCTTTATTCCAGCACCACCAGGTTTATCCCAGCACCCTCAGTTTTATCCCAGCACCCTCAGTTTTATCCCAGCACCCTCAGTTTTATCCCAGAACCATTTTAGTTCCAGCACCCTCAGGTTTATCCCAGCACCCTCAGCTTTATCTCAGCACCCTCAGTTTTATTTCAGCACCCTCAGTTTTATTTCAGCATCCTCAGCTTTATCCCAGCACCACCAGATTTATTCCAGCACCCTCATCTTTATCCCAACACCCTCATCTTTATTCCAGCACCACCAGGTTTATCCCAGCACCCTCAGTTTTATCCCAGCACCACCAGGTTTATCCCAGCACCACCAGGTTTATCCCAGCACCCTCAGCTTTATCTCAGCACCCTCAGCTTTATCCCAGCACCATCTCTATCCCAGCACCAGCAGGTTTATCCCAGCACCCTCAGTTTTATCTGAAAACCCTCAGCTTTATCCCAACACCATCTTAATTCCAGCACCCTCAAGTTTATCCCAGCACCCTCAGTTTTATCCCAGCACCACCAGGTTTATCCCAGCACCATCTTAATCCCAGCACCCTCAGCTTTATTCAGCACTCTCAGATTCATCCCAGCATGCTCAGATTTATCCCAACACCCTCAGTTTTATCCCAGCACCACCAGCTTTATCCCAGCACCCTCCTCTCTATTCCAGCACCCTCAGCTTTATCCCAACACCCTCAGCTTTATCCCAGCACCCTCAGATTTATCCCAACACCCTCCCCTCTATCCCAGCACCCTCATCTTTATCCCAACACCCTCAGCTTTATCCCAACACCCTCTCTATCCCAGCACCAGCAGCTTTATCCCAGCACCCTCATCTTTATTCAGCGCCCTCAGATTTATTCCAGCACCCTCAGTTTTATCCCAGCACCACCGGGTTTATCCCAGCACCCTCAGTTTTATCCCAGTACCATCTTAATCCCAGCACCCTCCTCTCTATTCCAGCACCCTCATCTCTATCCCAGCACCCTCAGATTTATCCCAGCACCCTCCTCTCTTTCCCAGCACCCTCAGCTCTATCACAACACCCTCAGCTTTATCCCAGCACCACAAGTTTTATCCCAGCACCCTCAGCTTTATCCCAACACCCTCAGCTTTATCCCAGCACCCTCCCTCTATCCCAGCACCCTCAGATTTATCCCAACACCCTCCCCTCTATCCCAGCCCCCTCATCTCGACCGCTTTTAGCGCCACTTCTCCTTCCCAGCAAAAAAGCATCAAACCTGGAAAAACATTCCCAGGTTGGCTCCCACCTTTTCCTTCCCTTCCCCGCCGAGTCGGGGGGGGTTCAACTGGCCGAGACCTCGAGGGGGGGGGAGCTTCCCTTCCCTCCCTTCCTCACCTGCTTCTTGACGCTGTCGATCTCGGAGCGGAGCCGCTGGACGTGCCGGTTGAGCTCGGAGATCTCCTGCTTGGTGTTCCTCAGGTCGTCCCCGTGCCTGCCGGCCGTGGCCTGCAGCTCCTCGTACTGTCACGGGTGGAGGGGAAGAGAGAGGGGACGACCCGTCAGGGCCACCCCCACCCCCTTTTTGGAGCGATTTATCCCCACCCCACCCTGGGAGTGGTGAGAGTCCCGTCCCGGAGCGGCGCCGGGGCAAGACCAGACCCCCCCATCATCCCCCCCGAGGAGGGTTTTCCTTGGAAAACCCGGGCTTGGCCTATCTCTGTCCCACACGGGACGAGGAGAAACGAGCACGGGAAGCCCCCCCCGGGGTCTTCCCCCCCCTCACCTTGGTCTGGTACCAGGACTCGGCCTCGGCGCGGCTGCGGTTGGCGATGTCCTCGTACTGCGCCTTCACCTCGGCGATGATCCCGTCCAGGTCCAGGTTCCGGTTGTTGTCCATGGTCAGCACCACCGAGGTGTCCGAGATCTGCGTCTGCATCTGGGACAGCTCCTGACAAGAGCACAGGGGTGGGGGTGGGGGGTGAGATAATTCCGCCCCACACCGGGGAGATGCCTTTTCCTTTATCCCAACACCTTCAGATTTATCCCAACACCATCTTAATCCCAGCACCCTCAGGTTTATCCCAGCACCCTCAGCTTTATCCCAGCACCCTCAACTTTATCCCAGCACCCTCAGATTTGTCCCAACACCCTCAGCTTTATCTCAACACCCTCATCTCTCTCCCAGCACCCTCATCTTTATCCCAGCACCTCATCTTTATCCCAGGACCCTCGGCTTTATTCCAGCACCCTCAGATTTGTCCCAGCACCCTCATCTCTCTCCCAGCACCCTCATCTCTCTCCCAGCACCCTCATCTCTCTCCCAGCACCCTCATCTCTCTCCCAGCACCCCCATCTTTATCCCAGCACCTTCATCTCTCTCCCAGCACCCTCATCTCTCTCCCAGCACCCTCATCTTTATCTCAACACCCTCATCTCTCTCCCAGCACCCTCAGATTTATCCCAGCACCCTCAGATTTATCCCCGTACCCTCAGATTTATCCCAGCACCCTCAGCTCTCTCCCAGCACCCTCAGATTTATCCCAACACCTCATCTCTCTCCCAGCACCCTCAGATTTATCCCAGTACCCTCATCTTTATTCCAACACCCTCATCTCTCTCCCAGCACCCTCAGATTTGTCCCAGCACCCTCATCTCTCTCCCAGCACCCTCAGATTTATCCCAACACCCTCCTCTCTCTCCCAGCACCCTCAGATTTATCCCAACACCCTCCTCTCTCTCCCAGCACCCTCAGTTTTATCCCAGCACCCTCAGATTTGTCCCAGCACCCTCAACTTTATCCCAACACCCTCATCTCTCTCCCAGCACCCTCAGCTTTATCCCAGCACCCTCAGATTTATCCCCATACCCTCAGCTTTATCCCAGCACCCTCAGCTTTATCCCAACACCCTCAGATTTATCCCAACACCCTCAGATTTATCCCAGCACCCTCAGCTTTATCCCAGCACCCTCATCTTTATCCCAGCACCCTCATCTCTCTCCCAGCACCCTCATCTTTATCCCAGCACCCTCAGATTTATCCCAGCACCCTCAGATTTGTCCCAACACCCTCCTCTCTCTCCCAGCACCCTCATCTTTATCACAACACCCTCATCTTTATCCCAGTACCCTCATCTTTATCCCAGCACCCTCATCTTTATCCCAGCACCCTCAGATTTATTCCAGCACCCTCAGCTTTATCCCAGCACCCTCAGGTTTGTCCCAGCACCCTCAATTTTATCCCAGTACCCTCCCCTCTCTCCCAGCACCCTCAGCTTTCCCCCCCGAGGGAGGGGGCAGAGCTGGGAGGGGTCTGAACATCTCGGGCTCGGCCCTGCCCTGACGAGGGAGAGGATTTGGCACCACCTCGAGTGGGAGGGATGTGGAGAAACCTGAGGCTTTCGGGGGAACGAGGGGGGAGAGGGGAGCTCCTGAGGAGGGCTGGGGGTGGTTTTGGACTCACGGCCTCGTAGAGGGTTCTCAGGAAATTGATTTCTTCGGTCAGAGCGTCTGCCCTGGCTTGGAGTTCCACTTTGTTCATGTAGGACCCATCCACGTCCTGGGGGAGGGGGAGAGATAAATATATATATATTTTTTTGGGTGCTTTCAACCCCTTAGCAGCGAACCAGCAGCGGGCAGAGCTGCGGGAACAGCGCGGGGGAAGAACCAGAAAATAAATAAAAAATTTAAAATAAAAAATAAAAAATAAAAATAAAAAAAAAAAAAGGGGAGGGGCTGGAATAGGAAGGGACGGATTTGTGCCTGGGGAAGGGGTTGGGTTCTGGAAGGTTCCCTCACCTTCTTGAGCGTCACAAACTCGTTCTCCGCGATGGTCCTGCGGTTGATTTCATCCTCGTACCTGGGGAGGGGGGAGAGATGATTTTACCTGGCAGGAATGAACTTCCTCGGGAGCGATTTTCGCTCTTTTCTCCTCCACCAGAGAGGCCAGTTAAAACAAGACATCAAACCCCATCCGGGCACCTCCCTCAGTATTATTATTATTATTATTTTATTTTTCCCATCGTTTCTGGCCATTAGTCACCCTCCCGCTGCTGACTTCAGCAAACCCCGACCGCGCTGCCCCGAAACTCCCCACACTGCAGTTGTTGTTTTTCTCTCTCCCGGGAGGTAATTTAGGTTAATGAGCCTTTGATCCTGGTCTAAATTACCCTCCCCCCTTCGCTTAAAAGGCTGGTGTGTGTTTTGGGATGTTTGTCACACACGCACACCTCCAGTTACTGGGGGAAAACTCGTCCAGGAGAAAAATCCCTCCTGGAGTTTAAAAAAAACTAAAAATAATAAAAAAAAAACCCTAAAAAAAATTAAAATAAATTTAAAAAAGAAAAAAGGAAAAAGAAAACAAAAAAAAACAAACAAAAAAATCCACAAACCAACCAAAAATAAAATAAAATAAAATAATAAAAAACCACAGAAAACCCCCACAAAACAAAACAGAAAAATTAAAATAAATAAAATAAATAAATAAATAAATAAATAAAAAATAAAACTAAAAACCAAAAACAAAAAAAGAAAACAAAGGAAAAAAACCAAACAAAAAATCCACAAACCAGACCAGAACTAAACTAAGATAAGATAAAAACACATAGACTCCCCAGAGACCCCAGAAAGATAAAGATAGATAGATGGAAGATAAATAGATAGATGAAAATAAAGATAGAACCATCAAAGACCAGAAAGAGAAAAGTCCACGAATCAAACTAAGACTAAACTAAATAAGATAAAAACACACAAGAACCTCCACAAGCCGAAAATAGAAAATAGAATGGATAGATAATAAGATTAAGATAAAGATAAAGATAGATAAGACCAAAAACCAAAGACAGAACAGAAAATAAACAGAAGAATCCATAAATAGATAAAATTAAAATAAAATAAAATAAAAACACAAAAAAACCACCCACAAAACAAAACAGAAAAATAAAATAAAATAAAAAAATAAATAAATAAAGATAAAAATAAAATAAAATAAAGATAAAAATAAGAATAAAAATAAAATAAAACCCCCCACGTCCCAACTTTCACTGCTGGAAACCCCCATTTTCCTGGGGTCTCCTCTCCCCACCCCTTGAAATGATCTGAGAACGATGACATTGGGAGGCAAGACTACACCCACCCCAGATGGGGGTGGTGGGGGGCGGAGGGAAAGGAACAAAACCCCTCCCAAACCCCCTCGATATTTACTTCTTCTTGAAGTCCTCCACCAGGTACTGGGTGTTGACGAGCTCGCCCTCGAGCCGCCCCTTGTCGCCCAGCAGGCTGTTGAGCTGCGCCCGCAGGTTGTTGATGTAGCCCTCGAAAAGAGGCTCCAGGTTGTTCCTCACCGTCTTCAAACCCTGCTCCTGCAGCAGCCCCCACTTGGTCTCCAGCACCTTGTTCTGCTGCTCCAGGAACCGCACCTGGAAAAGGGAGAGGGTTGGGAAGGGAAAGGAGGGGGAAAAGGATTCTCCTTCCAGCTGCGTTTTCCCGCTGCGAACCCCGAAACCACCCCCGATTTCCTCGCCTTTCCCTCCGTGGCTTTGCTAAAAGTACGAGGATTTTATGTTAGGAGTGCGTGTAAAATCAGAGAAGGATTTGATCTTTTATTAAAATAACGTTTTGAGGCGCTTTTTTTTTTTCTTTTCCCTCCTCCTTCCCTTCATTAAGAGCTCCCCCACCCCATTAAAAGCTCCAAAATATCCTCCAGAACGAAGAGCTGCTCAGCCAGAGCAGATTTCTGGTGCATCGGTGACGATGTTGGGTCAGATTTGACCCTTTTGAGCCCAAAAAAATCAACTATTGTGGTGCTGTGGCCGTGATTTAAATGCTTCCGAGGGAATTCAAGCAGCAGAAGCTGCTTCTCCCCTTGTGCCGATTTTTTTGGGTCGTTTTGGGTTATTTTGGGTGGGTTTCTCGCGTCATCTCACTTTCACCAGCTAAAAGACCGTTCCCGAGGCTCCAGAAGGGGTGGGATTGTCCCTCTGGGGCTTTCCTTCCCCTGCGGGGCCGCCGAGCAGCGGGCGAGGAGGATTAAACGAGGTGATTCATCCACCTCGCGTGGCAGGTGCCATCCATCCCCTGGGAGTTCCCGGGGCATCTCTCAGCCTCACCCCTCTCATCTTTTCCTCCTTGAGCACGAAAAAAAACCACAAGGAATGATTTTAGGGGGAAACCCCCCCCACACCCCCCTAAGTTCTCACCTTGTCGATGAAGGAGGCGAACTTGTTGTTGAGGGTTTTGATCTGCTCCTTCTCCTCCTTGCGGATCCTCTGGATGTTGGGGTCGATCTCCAGGTTGAGGGGCTTCAGGAGGCTCTGGTTCACCGACACCTCGTGGATCCCCCCGGCCGGGAAGGCCCCGTAGCCGAAACCCAGGTTGGCCGGGACGCCAAAAACGCTCCCGGCCCCGTAAAAACTCCCACCCCGGCCGGCCACGGAGATTTTCTTGCAGCCGCCCACGCTGTAGAGGCTCTTGCTGCCGAAACCCCCCGCGCCCACCCTGGCGAAGCCGCTGCCGGCGCCGCAGCCCCCCAGGCGGGTGAGGGAGCAGGAGCTGAAGCTGGTCCTGCACGCCGTGGGAGCCGCGGCTGAGGCGGCGCTGAAACCGCTGCGGCCCCTCTGGATCCTCACGGTGGACTGGCGAGACATGGCTGGGTGGTTTTTTGGGAATTGGGGTGGATGCTGAGATAGAAACGGAGCCGGCCCGGAGCGAGGATGGGAGGGAGAGGAGTGGGGGTGAAGCTGCGCCGCGAACGGGGCTGGGGGGAGAGGGAGAGACAGAGCCCTTTTTATGCCGGGCTGGGGCTGGGATGGGATGGGATGGGATGGGTTGGCTGAGGTGGCTCCGCTCTCTGATTAATTCGGCTTGGCATGTCCGACAGCATTCTGGAGGGTGAACTCACCCCCCGCGCTCACACACGCCCTGCTGAGACAATGCGGGCAGGTTCTCGTTTGGGAATAACTGTCGGGCCCCTTCTCCTGCCTCTGGAGACATCCAGACTCGTCCCAGCCCTGGAAGGTGCCGATGAGTCACGCCGGGCACGGGGAGGAAAACACCGTTCCAAAGCGCCCGTCACTCGGCACCGCTGCCTCGGCCCGCGGGCTTCGCTCTCGTCACTCCTTTTGTTCCCAGGCAGGGCTTGGCAAGGCGCAGATCCCTCTGGGATGAGGGGCAGGGGTCGGGGGAACGCCCCACAGACAAACCCGCAGAGAGTTCCCCCTGTAAATGCACTCTGAATTCAATTCGCTCTGCACTGAATTAAATTAATTCTGCACCGAATTCAATTCACTCTGCACTGAATTCACTTCACTCTGCACTGAATTCAATTCACTCTGCACTGAATTCAATCCATTCTGCACTGAATTCAATCCATTCTGCAGTGAATTCAGTTCACTCTGCACTGAATTCCCCCTGTGGTAAATTCACTTTGCAGAGAACTCAATTCGTTCTGTGCTGAATTCCCCCTGCACTGAATTCCCCCTGCAGCGAATTCCTGCTGCAGGAAATTTACCCTGCAGTGAATTCAATCCTTCCTGTAGTGAATCCAATTCCACCCAAACATCCACTTACCCAACCATCCCCTCACCCAACCAACCACCCAACTACCCACCCACCCAACCAACCACCCAACCAACCACCCACCCACCCACCCAAACAACCACCCACCCACCCAACCAAGCAACCACCCAACCAACCACCCACCCACCCAACCACTCAACCAACCAACCAACCTCCCAACCAACCACCCAACCACTCACCCACCCACCCAACCACTCAACCAACCAACCAACGACCCAACCACTCAACCAACCACCCACCCAACCATCCACCCAACCACTCAAACAACCACCCAACCAACCACTCAATCACCGACCCAACCAACCAACCACTCAAACAACCACCCACCCAACCAAACACCCACCCAACCATCCACCCAACCACCCACTCAAACAATCACCCAACTACCCAACCAACCACCCACCCAAACAACCACCCAACCAACCACTCAAACACCCACCCAACCAACCACCCATCCAACCATCCACCCAACCACCCACTCAAACAACCACCCACCCATCCACCCAACCTACCAACCAAACACCCACCCACCCAACCACCCAAAACCCACCCAACCACTCCCCACCCACCCAACCACCCAACCAATCACCCACCCAAACAACCACTCAAACAACCATCCAACCACCCAAACACCCCACCCACCCACCTAACCACCCACCCAACCACCCAACCAATCACCCACCCAAACAACCACTCAAACAACCATCCAACCACCCAAACACCCACCCACCCACCCAACCACCCAAAACCCACCCACCCACCCAACCACCCAAAACCCACCCAACCACCCACCCACCTACCCACCCAAACACTCAAACAACAACCCAAACATCCACCCACCCACCCAACCACCCAACCAATCATCCACCCACCCACCCAAAAACCACCCACCCACCCACCTCACCCACCCAACCACCTTGCAGGCGGTTGGAGCAGCAGATTAATCAGAAATTCCAAAAAAACCCCTTTATTCTGAGGGGACTGGGAAGCGTTTCTGGATGTCCAGGAAGGGGGGGAAAAGATGACCCACATTTAATTTGTTTAAACAAATTAAAGAGGGGGGGGGGAGACTTGTAAATGTCCCCCAACTCCAGCACAGGAAGAACAAAATAATGAGGAATCCCCACCATAAAACTGAGGAATTATCACGGGGGGGAGGGGGGTGGTGGGTGGTTGGAGCAGGAGATTCCCAGAAATATTCCCTATCCCGTCGTTTCAAGGCTAGAAATTGAGGTTTTTAAATGAAAAAGGCGGGGGAATAAACAGCGATTTTAGGTTGGGTTTGGTGTTTTATTTCCAGGCTGAGCTTCCACACCCGCGGGGAGCTGGAAGGAGAGGGATTTACAAACCCCGGGGCCGCGTCCGGGAGGTGTTTTTTAATTTTTTTTTGGGGGGGAGGAAGGATTATTGACCGGTTTTGGGGTTTCCCGGTGAGGAGCTGGCAGATGACGTCAGGAGCTGAAGGCACGAGGTGGATTTTCCCACCCCCGACACAAAGAATTCCAACTGAAAGAGGGGAAAGTTATGGATGGAATCCCCCCCTGGGAGGGATTTCCCAGAGGATTCCCCATTTCTGGGAGTCCCCAAGGCCCGGTTGGAGCCCCCCTGGGGTGGTGGGAGCCCCGTGGAAAGCTGGGATGGGACGACCCTTCCCACCCAAAAAAACCCTTCCACCCCCAGATGGAATTCCCCCCTACGTGGGATCTGCTCCTCTCTCCCCCTTCCATCCACCTCACCTCACCCTGACCGCCCGAAAAGCCTTTCAAACCCCCAAATTTTCCCCACCACGCCATCCCAGCCCCCCAAAAAACGTCATTTCCCCCCCCCCCTGTACCCAGCGAGTCAGGACGTGCGAGGGCCGAAAATCCCACCCCTTTTCCAAGAGCCTGTTGAGTCAGTGCTTTCCCCTTCCCCCCCCCACCTCGGGCTCCTTTTCCACAAGAAACTTTCTCTTTTCTCTTTTCTCTTTTAATTTTATGATTATTTTTCGGCCCAACAACGCGGCGGCCGCGTCGGGCCCCGCGGTTAATTAATTAACAGTAATAACACGGCTCCTGCAGCCCCGGCGAGAGAGAGAAAGAGGAAAAAAAAGAGAGAGTGGAATTCGTTTTGCTCCCCCTCCCGTGCCCCGCTCCCTCCCCGGGGTGGAGGTGATGCGGTCGCCGCTCACCTGGAAGGAATTTCGCGGGTGATTTTTAATTACAGGGAAGGCGGCAGCGGCAGCGCCAGGAGCTGCAGCGGCAGGTCCGGGGGGATGGCGTGGTGGGAACGAGGGGAGGGGGTGGTGGGAATGAGGGGAGGCGTCCCCACCCTGCGCTCTGTTGGTCAAACAAGCCGCGTTTCCAGGTGGCTCCTCCCGCGGGGAGCTGGGCACGTCACGGGCCTGCTGCTCCGGGGAGCAGGAATTGTCTCCTTTCCCCTCTCCACGGGCCGGTCCCGAATTCTCTGATTTTCCCTCTCCATGGCCTGGTCCCGAATTGTCTCCTTTTCCTTCTCCACATGCCGGTCCCGAATTCCCTCCTGTTTCCTTTCCTTTTCCCTCTCATTTTCCCTTTCCTTTTTCCCTCTCCTGTTCCCTCTCCACGGGCCGGTCCCGAATTCTCTGATTTTCCCTCTCCATGGCCTGGCCCCAAATTGTCTCCTTTTCCCTCTCCACATGCCGGTCTCGAATTCTCTCCTTTTCCTTCTCCTTTTCCCTCTCCAGAGGCTGGTCCTGAATTGTCTCCTGTTTCCTTTCCTTTTCCCTCTCCTTTTCCCTTTCCTTTTTCCCTCTCCTGTTCCCTCTCCACGGGCTGGCCCCAATTTCTCTCCTTTTCCCTCTCCTTTCCCCTCTCCTTTTCCCTTTCCTTTTGCCTCTCCTTTTCCCTCTCCTTTTCCCTCTCCACGGACCGGTCCTGAATTGTCTCCTTTTCCCTTTCCTTTTCCCTTTCCTTTCCCCTCTCCTTTTCCCTTTCTTTTTCCCTTCTCCTTTTCCCTCTCCTTTTCCCTCTCCACAGGCCGGTCCCGAATTCTCTCCTTTTCCTTCTCCTTTTCCCTCTCCTTTTCCCTTTCCTTTTCCCTCTCCTTTTCCCTCTCCTTTTCCCTCTCCTTTTCCCTTTCCTTTTCCCTCTCCTTTTCCCTCTCCTGTTCCCTCTCCACGGGCTGGTCCCAAATTCTCTCCTCTTCACTCTCCACAGGCCGGTCCCGAATTCTCTCCTTTTCCCTCCTTTTCCCTCTCCTGTTTCCTTTCCTTTCCCCTCTCCTTTCCACTCCGTGCCTCGCGTCCCCCGCTTTTCCTCTGCTTTTCCCTCTCCTTTTCCCTCTGCTCCTTTCCACTCCTCCTTCTTCCTCTCCTTTTCCCTCTCCTTTTCCCTTTCCTTTTCCCTCTCCTTTTCCCTCTCCTGTTCCCTCTCCACGGGCTGGTCCCGAATTTTCTCCTCTTCTCTCTCCTTTTCCCTCTCCTTTTCTCTTTCCTTTCCTTTCTCTCTCCTTTTCCCTTTCCTTTTCCCTTTCCTTTTCCCTTTCCTTTCCCTCTCCTTTTCTCTCTCCTTTTCTCTTTCCTTTTCCCTTTCCTTTTCTCTCTCCTTTTCCCTTTCCTTTTCCCTTTCCTTTTCTCTCTCCTTTCCCCTCTCCACAGGCCGGCCCCGAATTCCCTCCCTCTCAACTCCCTCATAACTCTCCCCCGGCGTTCTGAAGCGAGTTCTGACCCTGCCAGGGCAACAAACGCAACTCCAGCCCCTTCGGTGACCAATCTGACCCTTTTTTTTCCCTTTTTTTTTCCTGAGTTTCGATGACCAGGGACAACTCCAGCAGCTTTTCACCGCTCCCCCTCCCAGCTCTGCTGCTCCTCTGGGAATCCTCCCCCTGCTGCAGCTCCTCGGGCACGGCAGAGGTTTCTGGGGCCGCGCCTGTGCGAGCGTTTCCTTTGCAAAAGGAAAAAAAAAAAGCGTTGTTTTCTTTGCACACAAAAAAGTGGTTTTGGGGGTTTTTTTTGGTTTTTTCTTTGCCCCGCATTTGTAAAACCAGGAGCGAGCCGAGCTCCCGGTTCACCTGCGCTGCTCAACCTCGCCTTAATTACCGGCCGAGCCGGGGCTGTAATTCAGCTTAATTGCTGTAAATTAAAGCCTTTGGGTTAAACTCGGGGCTCCTCTCGCCCGTCATTTTCGCTGTTTCATCCCCCAGCCCTGCTGGGCCGATTCCAGGGGGGACTCCCCTCTGACACCTCCCCGGGTGGGGTTGGAGCGTCCCCCGGCCCCGTTTCCCCCCCGGGGTTGGGTCGGGAGGGGCTGCTCGGCCCCTTTCCCACGGGAGGGTGTCCCGTGCCGGCTGTCCCGTTCCCGGTGGTGCCCTCAGGGCCAGCCCAGCCCCGGCTGCTGCCCGGCTTTGAAGTGGAGGCTTCAGTGACCTCCTTTCTGCTCGGAGTTGTTTGCTGGGCCGGCGCGGGCTCCGGGGAGAATTCGCAGCTGCCTCGCACGGGGAGGGGTGGGAGTGGGAGGGGATTCCTTTTGGCCGGGGTTTGGCGCGCCTTGAAGGACCCTCCGAGCTTTGGTGGGGTCTGAAACCTCCTTTATCCAGTTCTGGTTCTCCTTTATCCCCTTCTGGTTCTCCTTTATCTCCTTTTGCTGCTCCTTTATCCTTTTCTGGTGTTCCTTTATCCCCTTCTGGTGCTCCTTTATCCCATTCCTGGTGCTCCTTTATTCCATTCCTAGTGCTCCTTTATCCCCTTCTGGTTCTCCTTTATCCAGTTCTGGTTCTCCTTTATCCCATTCTGGAGCTCCTTTATCCCATTTTGATGCTCCTCTATCCCATCCTGCTGCTCCTTTATCCCATTCCTGGTTCTCCTTTATCCAGTTCTGGTTCTCCTTTATCCCTTTCTGGTGCTCCTTTATCCCATCTTGCTGCTCCTTTATCTTTTTCTGGTACTCCTTTATCCTGTTCTGCTGCTCCTTTATCCCATTGTGGTGCTCCTTTATCTCATTATGATACTCCTTTATTCCATTCTTATACTTTATCCCATTCCTGGTACTCCTTTATCCAGTTCTGGTTCTCCTTTATCCCTTTCTGGTGCTCCTTTATCCTATCCTGTTGCTCCTTTATTCCACTCTGATGTTCCTTTATCCCATTCTGGTTCCCCTTTATCCCTTTCTGCTGCTCTGTTATCCCGTTTTTATGCTCCTTTATCCCATTTTGATGCCCCTCTATCCCATCCTAGTGCTCCTTTATCCCATTCCTGGTGCTCCTTTATCCCTTTCTGCGCTTCTCTCTTTCTCTCTTTTGGTTCTCCTTTATCATTCTTTACTCCTTTATCATCCTGGTACTCTTTATCCATTCTGTTCTCCTTTATCCTTTCTGGTGCTCCTTTATCCTATCCTGTGCTCTTTATCCCACTCTGATGTTCCTTTATCCCATTCTGATCCCCTTTATCCCTTCTCCTCTGCTATCCCGTTTTCAGCTCACTATCCCACCTCGATCCCTCATCCCACCCTCTTTCCCCTCCCAGCCCAGATGCTCTCCCACCCTCTTGCCTCTTATCCCATTCTGGCTCCTTTTCCTCTGGCTACTTATCCCACCTGCTCTCCTTTACCCATTCTGGTTCTCCTTTCCAGCTCTCTTCCCATCCCATTTTGATGCTCCTTTATCCCACCTTCCATCACCCCAGCTGCTCATTCCACCCTCCTTCCCTCTCCCACCCCCCCAGGCCGAGCACAGAAGCGAACCCAGCAGGTTTTAAAAATGACCAAAATGCTCTTTTATTGGACCCTGAGGTTTCTTTGGGCCTCCGGAAGGGGTTTCAGAAAGAACCCACGAAGCAAAGCCTTTCCCACAAGAGCCTGAGCGAGCAGAGGGGCCGGGGTGGGGATGGGGGGGAGTGTGAATGGTGGTGAAAAAAATTCCCGTTGCGGAGAAAAACCTTTGGAAGTTGAAGTTGTAACACAGAGGTGGTTTTTTTGGGAGCTGTTTCCACCTCCCAGGAGCCGGGATCGTGGCTCCACGGAGCGGTCAGACCAACATAAAACCTCGTCCCAGGGTTTTCCCCTCCCCTTTAAGAGGCGAGAATCCAAAAGGGGGGGAGGAAAACGAGGAATCGAGGAGGGTCGGGACCTGCAGCTCCAAGCGCTGCCTCAGCCAAAGGCGCTCCGGATTCCGGGCTGGGGGGGTCCCGCAGCCCCCTCCCCACGCTGCCCCGGAGTGGAAGGAGGGAGGAAGGAGAGGGTTTAGCGCAGCTATTTACACCCCGGATCCGCAGGGCACGGAGGGAGGGGAGGGGAGAGAGGCGGGACCCTCTCCCGACCACCCCCGCCCCCCTCGGATTGGGGGAGGAGGGGGCCTCTCTCCGGCTTTATCTGATGGTCTTTTTGCTGGTGGTGGTCTTGGAGACGATCCTGACGCTGCCGCCCGTGCTGGAGCTCAGCCCTCGGCTGCTCCCGGAGCTGAAGGCGCTGCCCCCGCCGTAGCTGAGCCCCCCGAAGCCGCCGCTGCCCCCGCCGAAGCCGCCGCTGCCCCCGCTGCTCCCCCCGAAGGCGCCGCCGCCGCCTCCTCCGCCCATGCCGAGCCCTCCGCCCATTCCCAGGCAGCTCCCGCCGCCGAATCCCATCCCGCTGGAGCTGCTGACCACGGCTGGGGAGGGGGGAAACACAGCGGGAACAGCCGCGTTAGGGTCCCGCTGAACCCCCCGAAATTGGGGAGGGGAGGGGGTCTGCGCTGTCACCCCTGCGGGGGCGAGGAGGGAGGGAGGGGAGGGGGAGATGGGAGGTGGGAGAGGGGAGGTTGGAGGAGGGAGATGGGAGAGGGGAGGTGGAAGATGGGATGAGGGAGATGGGATGAGGAAGGTGGGAAATGGGATGAGGAAGGGGGGAGATGGGAGATGGAAGGAGGGAGATGGGAGGAGGGAGGTGGGAGATTGGAAGTTGGAGGAGGGAGATGGGAGGAGGAAGGGGGGAGATGGGAGGAGGAAGGGGGGAGATGGGAGGTGGGATGAGGGAGATGATGGGATGAGGGAGGTGGGAGATGGGAAGTTAGAGGTGGGAGATTGGAGGTTGGAGGAGGGAGATGGGAGGAGGAAGGGGGGAGATGGGAGGAGGAAAGGGGGAGATGGGAGAGGGGAGATGGGAGAGGGGAGATGGGAGGTTGGAGGAGGGAGGTGGGAGATGGGAGGGGGGAGATGGGATATGGAAGGAGGGAGATGGGAGATGGGATGAGGGAGGTGGGAGATGGGAGATGGGATGAGGGAGGAGGGAGATGAGGAAGGACTCACAGACGCTCACGGCTCCTACTCCTTCTCCGGCCAGCCTGGAGGGAGAGAGAGGAGGGGGGGGAAAGTGAGGAACGAGGGGGAAACCACCACGCCCGGGGGGACCACCCCGAGGAGGCTCCCGGGGGAGGGTCCTCCGTGTCGGGGCGGGGCTTTGGGACAGCCGGGAGGTGACACCCAGGGACAGAGCAGCACCGGGAGATGGGGAGACGAATCTTTCCCTTTGAATCTCGCGGTTTTCCAACTCCCTCCCCCCTCCCCTCTCTCTGCCCCGCGGGAAGGAGCTCTCTGAGCCCCCAGGAAAAGAGGGGGGTCCCCCCCACCTGCTCTCCTCGCCCTCCAGCAGCTTCCTGTAGGTGGCAATCTCGATGTCCAGGGCCAGCTTGACGTTCATGAGCTCCTGGTACTCGCGGAGCTGCCGGGCCAGGTCCTGCTTGGCTTTTTGGAGGGCGTCCTCCAGCTCGGCCAGCTTGGCCTTGGCGTCCTTCAGGGCCAGCTCCCCCCTCTCCTCGGCCTCGGCGATGGCAGCCTGGAGGTTGGCACACTGCGGGGGAGGAGAAGGAGGGGCCTGATGGACTCGGGGTGCCCCTAAAAGTGCTCTCCGGAGTGGGTAAAGGGGGTGCTGGGGGCGCCCGGGTTGGCCCCGAGAGCTCGGGGGGCCACGAGGAAGGGTCCTGATTTCAGCCAAAAAAAAAGCCAGGACACCCCCCCAAAAAAGGACACTCCAAAAAAAGCCAGGACACCTCCCAAAAAAAAGCCAGGACACCCCCAGAAAAAGCCAGGACATTCTATAAAAGCCAGGACACTCCCCCAGAAAAAAGCTAGGATACCCCCCCCCAAAAAAAAACAGGACACCCCCCAAAAAAACCCCAGGACCCCCCAAAAAAAGTCAGGACACCCCATAAAAGCCAGGACATTCCATAAAAGCCAGGACACCCTCCAAAAAAAAGCCAGGACACCCCAAAAAAAAGCTAGGGCACCTCCCAAAAAAAAAAAAGCCAGGACACCCCATAAAAGCCAGGACATCCCCAAAAAACCCAGGATACCCCCCCAAAAGAAGCCAGGATATTCTATAAAAGCCAGGACACCCCCAAAAACAGCCAGGACACCCCATAAAAAAAACCAGGACACCCCAAAAAATCCACACCCCACGCCTGAGAGTCCAAAGAGCTCCTCGAGCTCTGCCAGGCTCGGGCCCCGCTGCCCTGGACGGGGGGGTGGGGGTGGCTCTTCCCACCCTGCCCGACCTCCCCACCCTCCCCAGCCCTCCCCACCCTCCTGCCCCTCCCCACCTGCTTCTTGACGCTGTCGATCTCGTTGCGCAGCCGCTGCACCATCCTGTTGATCTCCGAGATCTCCAGCTTGGTGTTCCTCAGGTCGTCCCCGTGGCGCCCGGCCGAGACCTGCAGCTCCTCGTACTGGTGGGGTGGGGGAGGCAAGGAGAGGGATGGTTGTACCCCTGGGGGGCTCAGGGTGGTGCCAGGGGGGCTGCAGGGGCACCAGGAGGGGGTGAAGGGACGGGGGGCACACAACGATCCGCTGTGGGAAGGGGGGGTGGCACCTCCAGCAGCCTTGGGAGGGCGGGGGTCCCACACCAGACCCACCACCCCCTGGACCCCAGGATTCACCCCCAGGGGTGCCCAGGGCGGTGCCAGGGGGGCTGCAGGGGCACCAGGAGGGGGTGAAGGGGCGGGGGGACACAACGATCCGCGGGGTTCGCCCCTGGGGTGGCACCTCCAGCAGCCTTGGGAGGGCGGGGGTCCCACGCCAGACCCACCAGCCAGGGCATGGACACCCCCTGGACCCCCGGGAATCACCCCCAGGGCAGTGCCAGGGGGGCTGCAGGGGCACCAGGAGGGGGTGAAGGGACGGGGGGACACAACGATCCGCTGTGGGAAGGGGGGGTGGCACCTCCAGCAGCCTTGGGAGGGCGGGGGTCCCACACCAGACCCACCAGCCAGGGCATGGACACCCCCTGGACCCCCAGGAATCACCCCCAGGGGTGCCCAGGGCAGTGCCAGGGGGGCTGCAGGGGCACCAGGAGGGGGTGAAGGGACACAACAATTCACAATCCCACCCACCCCAACGTGGGGGGGTTAACTCTGTTAACTCTGTGATGGAAGGGTTAACTCTGGTCGTAAAAACGCGTGTGAGGGAGGCAAAACCTTCTGGTTGTAATGAAACGAGATAAAAGTTTCGCAGGCAGCTTGCTAATCGGGCAAAGTGTCAGCGAAAATGATCGCAGGCGTCTTGCTGAGCAAACAGGTATCGGTACGGGTGGGATTTACAACTGGTAAGGACCGCGGATTTCCATCTCTGACAAATCCCAGGTGGCCACCCAGCAGCGAGCCACGAGCTCAAGCCACAAAGGAGATTTGCATTCAAAACCTGGGGCTTCAAAACGTGCGAAAAGGGGCATTTTACTTCATTAAAGGGACATTTTACTTCATTTTCAGCGCGTGTGTCTCGGGTGGGGCACTTGTTCCCCCTCCTCTCCCCCCACAAGGCCACCTAGTCTTTTTTTTTTTAATTTTAATTTTATATTTATTTAATTTATTATCGCTCGCCTAATAAATTGATCGATGTTTAATTGGAATCGAGCTGTCTAAAATTCTTAGGCTGACCTATAACAGCGAGGGCGGAGTTTGCCCCTGGGGGTCGTCCCAAAACTCCCTCCAGCATCCTCGGGAAGGGAGGGGTGGGGTGGGGCGTAGGAGAGAATTAAGAGACCTTTTTTTTTTTGGGGAGGGGTTCCAAAGCTGATTCCCAGCTTTTTGGTTTCCCAGATGGGGAATTCCTCATTCCCTGATGGGAATTTGAGGAGTCTCAAGGAGTGAGTGTTTGGAGAGCTGTCCTGACAAGCGTTTTGAGAACTGGGGGGAAGGAAGGAGGATGGGAGGCTGAGCTGGACCTGCCCCAAGGAGGCTCGTAAATAAAGTCCTGTGGTTAGATTTAGGAGGGAGGAGGATTTAGAAATTAAGATACGCTGGCTAGCCAAGAATAATCATGAGAACAGTGTGTGTGTGACCAGTAATAAGCAGTCAAATATGTGGCAGTTATCGAACTGTATAAAAATAAAGAATAATTTCTAATAAAGTGGAAGCCTCCAAACCATCAACACCGGCTCTGGCACGCGGTTACAGCTGGGTATCCCCACACCAGACCCCTCAGCCAAGCACCGACACCCCCTGGACCCCCAGGAATCACCCCCGGGGGTGCCCCCCCGATCTCCCCTCACCTTGTTCTGGTACCAGGCCTCGGCCTCGGCGCGGCTGCGGTTGGCGATGTCCTCGTACTGCGCCTTCACCTCGGCGATGATGCTGTCCAGGTCCAGGCTCCGGTTGTTGTCCATGGAAAGCACCACCGAGGTGTCCGACACCTGCTGCTGCATCTGGGACAGCTCCTGCGGGGCGAGGCGCCGGTGTTAATTAACGCTGTTAATGACCCCCCGGTTAATGGTGTGAATGGTCTCGTTAATGGTGTGAATGGTCTCGTTAATGGTGTCAATGGCCCCGGGGTTTTGGGGTCGCCCTCCTTGAGTTTCCACCTGTTCTGTCCGTAATTTCCGCCTCATTCCTGCTCTGCCCTTCCCGAAAGGACGGGATCGCCCTCCCCTGCAGCTGCACGGCCCCAGGCACGGCTCCCGGAGCCCTGGGATGGGGGATCCATGGGGAAGGAGCTCTCCCAGGGGAATTTGGGGTCCCAGAGCTCTGGGATGGGGGGATCCATAGGGAAGGAGCTCCCCCAGGGGAATTTTGGGTCCCAGAGCTCTGGGATGGAGGATCCATAGGGAAGGAACTCCCCCAAGGGAATCTGGGGTTCCAGAGCTTTGGGATGGGGGATCCATAGGGAAGGAGCTCCCCCAAGGGAATTTTGGGTGCCAGAGCTCTGGGATGGAGGGATCCATAGGGAAGGAGCTCCCCCAAGGGAATTTTGGGTCCCAGAGCTCTGGGATGGGGGATCCATAGGGAAGGAGCTCTCCCAGGGGAATTTTGGGTCCCAGAGCTCTGGGATGGGGGATCCATAGGGAAGGAGCTCTCCCAGGGGAATTTTGGGTCCCAGAGCTCTGGGATGGGGGGATCCATAGGGAAGGAGCTCTCCCAGGGGAATTTTGGGTCCCAGAGCTCTGGGATGGGGGGATCCATAGGGAAGGATCCATGAGGATGCTCTCCAGGGAAGGTTGAATCCCAGAGCCGTGGGATGGAGGATCCATAGGGAAGGAGCTCTCCCAGGGGAATTTTGGGTCCCAGAGTTCTGGGATGGGGGGATCCATAGGGAAGGAGCCAAGAGGATGCTCCCAGGGGAATTTGGGGTCCCAGAGCTCTGGGATGGGAGATCCACAGGGAAGGAGCTCTCCCGGGAATTTTGGGTCCCAGAGCTCTGGGACTGGGGGGATCCACAGGGAAGGAGCTCTCCCAAGGGAATTTTGGGTCCCAGAGCTCTGGGATGGAGGATCCATAGGGAAGGAGCCAAGAGGATGCTCTCCAGGGAAGGTTGAATCCCAGAACCCTGGGACAGTGAGATCCATAGGGAAGGAGCCATTGAGGATGCTCTCCCAAGGGAATTTTGGGTCCCAGAGCTCTGGGATGGAGGATCCATAGGGAAGGAGCTCTCCCAGGGGAATTTTGGGTCCCAGAGCTCTGGGATGGGGGATCCATAGGGAAGGAGCTCTCCCAGGGGAATTTGGGGTCCCAGAGCTCTGGGATGGGGGGATCCATAGGGAAGGAGCTCTCCAGGGGAATTTTGGGGTCCCAGAGCTCTGGGATGGAGGATCCATAGGGAAGGAGACATGAGGATGCTCTCCAGGGGAATTTTTGGTTCTGGGGATGGAGGATCCATAGGGAAGGAGCCAAGAGGATGCTCCCAGGGGAATTTTGGGTCCCAGAACTCAGGGGTGGGGGGATCCATAGGGAAGGAGTTGTCCCACAGGAATTTTGGGTCCCAGAGCTCTGGGATGGGGGATCCATAGGAGAAGGAGCCAAGTGGATGCTCTCCAGGGGAATTTGGGGTCCCAGAGCTCTGGGATGGGAGATCCACAGGGAAGGAGCTCTCCCAGGGGAATTTGGGGTCCCAGAGCTCTGGGATGGAGGATCCATAGGGAAGGAACTTCCCCAAGGGAATTTTGGGTCCCAGAGCTCTGGGATGGAGGATCCATAGGGAAGGAGCCATTGAGGATGCTCTCCCAAGGGAATTTTGGATGCCAGAGCTCTGGGATGGAGGATCCACAGGGAAGGAGCTCCCCCAAGGGAATTTTGGGGTCCCAGAGCTCTGGGATGGGAGATCCACAGGGAAGGAGCTCTCCAGGGGAATTTGGGGTCCCAGAGCTCTGGGGATGGAGGATCCATAGGGAAGGAACTCCCCCAAGGGAATTTGGGGTTCCAGAGCTCTGGGATGGAGGATCCATAGGGAAGGAACTCCCCCAAGGGAATTTGGGGTTCCAGAGCTTTGGAACAGTGAGATCCATAGGGAAGGTGCCAAGAGGATGCTCCCCAGGGGAATTTTTGGTTCTGAGGATGGAGGATCCATAGGGAATGATCCCTGAGGATGCTCTCCAGGGAAGGTTGAATCCCAGAGCCCTGGGATGGAGGATCCATAGGGAAGGCTCCATGAGGATGCTCCCAAGGGAATTTTGGGTCCCAGAGCTCTGGGATGGGAGGATCCATAGGGAAGGAGCTCTCCCAGGGGAATTTGGGGTCCCAGAGCTCTGGGATGGAGGGATCCATAGGGAAGGAGCTCTCCCAGGGGAATTTGGGGTCCCAGAGCCCTGGGATGGGAGATCCACAGGGAAGGAGCTCTCCCAAGGGAATTTTGGATCCCAGAGCTCTGGGATGGAGGGATCCACAGGGAAGGAGCTCTCCCAGGGGAATTTTGGATCCCAGAGCCCTGGGATGGGAGATCCACAGGGAAGGAGCTCTCCAGGGGAATTTTGGGTCCCAGAGCTCTGGGATGGGGGTATCCATAGGGAAGGAGCTCTCCCAGGGGAATTTTGGGTCCTCACCGCCTCGTAGAGCGCCCTCAGGAAGTTGATCTCGTCTGCCAGCGAGTCTGCCTTGCCCTGCAGCTCCACCTTGTTCATGTAAGCACCATCCACGTCCTAAGGGAAGGAAAACAGGGATTTCTGGTGGAAAACCAGGAGCCAGGACACCAATGGCTCTGCTTCCAGCTCTGTTATTCGTGGAATTGTGGAATCGTGGGATGGTTTGGGTTGGAAGAGACCGTAAATCCCATCTCATTCCAACCATGCCACGGGCAGGGACAACCCCCCCACTATCCCAGGGGGATCCAGCCTGGCCTTGGACACTCCCAGGGATCCAGGGGCACCCTCTGGGAAATCCATTCCAGGGCTTCACCTCCCTCCTAGCGAGGGATTCCTTCCCAGCATCCCATCCAGCCGCTCTGGGATTCCCTCTGTGCTCCGTCCCCTCATCCCCAAATCCCCTCTCCAGCTCTCCCTGCAGCCCCTCCAGGCCCTGGGAGCTGCTCCGAGGTCTCCCTGCATCCCTTTCCCTTCTCCTCCCACCCTCGGGAGAAGGTCGGGCCCATCCTGGGGTGTCCCAAAATCACATCCCGACCCCGCCCGTCCGTTCGGGGCGAGGGGTGGGACAATTCCCTTCCCACTCCCACAATTCCCAGCCCTTTTCCACACCTTTTTGAGGACCACGAACTCGTTCTCGGCCCCGGTGCGCCGGTTGATCTCATCTTCGTACCTGCGAAGGGGATGAAGAGGGGAGAGGGAGGGTTTGGGTGGGAACATCCCCTCCCCTCCCCTCCCCGAGGCGGAGCCGCCCCCGTTTCCCCCCTCACAGCCCTCAGTTGTGGCTCTCGGGGCGGGTTCCACCCTCCCACCAGGCTCGCCCGCAGCAGATGTTGCTGCCTTTGAAATCCCCCGGCCCGCCCGGCGTGAATTAAAATGTTTTTATGGCCCTAAAAAAAGCCCCAAACGCGCCCGCCCCCAGCGGCGGCTCCTCCAGGTGACCTCCGGTCCCAGCAGAGATCCAAATCATCCCCCCACAAAGGCGTTAATTAAGGAGCCATTTGATATCTGAGGTGCTAATGAGGGTAATGGCTGTGAGGAAATTAATTAAACGCGACAAAAAGCCGGGCCAAGGGGAGGATCGTCAGCCCCGGCTCCCAAAGGGGCCTTCTGGGGAGCTTTTCGTGGCTCTGAGCGATGTCCTGACATCAGAGGAGCAGGGCAGGGCTCTCTCTGAGGCCGCTTTGGAGGGCAGGTTCGTGCCAGCCCTCAGAGCAGCGCTGGCTGAGGGCGCCCTGAAATCGGGGAGAGCCCGGGAGGAGCCGCTGCACGGGGAGCTCTGGGCTTGAGGAACTCCAGACCGGGCATAAAATACATAAAAAAAACACATAAAATGTGTTCTCCCTTCCCAGGTGGCAGCTCTGAAAGATGGGAACTGATTCTAGACCTGAAATAAAATCTGTTCCCTTTCCCAGGTGGAAGCTGGGAACCAAACCTAGACCTGAAATCCAAGCTGTTCCCTCTTCTCTCCTTCCCAGGTGGTAACTTTGAAATGTGGGAACCAACCCTAGACCCGAAATCCAAGCTGTTCCTCTTCCTTCCTTCCCACATGGCAGCTCTGAAACTTGGGAACCAACCCTAGACCCGAAATTTAAGGTGTTCCCTTTCCCAAATGGCAGCTCTGAAATGTGGGAACTGATTCTAGACCTGAAATCCAAGCTGTTCCCTCTTCCCTCCTTCCCAAGTGGCAGCTCTGAAAGCTGGGAACCAACCCTAGACCCAAAATAAAAGGTGTTCCCTTTCCCAGGTGGCAGCTCAGAAACCAACCCTAGACCTGAAATCCAAGCTGTTCCCTCTTCCCTCCTTCCCAAAGAGCAGCTCAGAAACCTGGGAACCAACCCTAGACCCAAAACGTGTTCCCTTTCCCAAATGGCAGCTCTGAAAGATGGGAACTGATTCTAGACCTGAAATCCAAGCTGTTCCCTCTTCCCTCCTTCCCAGGTGGCAGCTCTGAAAGCTGGGAACCAACCCTAGACCTGAAATTTAAGATGTTCCCTTTCCCAAATGGCAGCTCTGAAATGTGAGAACTGACTCTAGACATGAAATCCAAGCTGATCCCTCTTTCTTCCTTCCCAAATGGCAGCTCTGAAACCAACCCTACACCCAAAATAAAAGGTGTTCCCTTTCCCAAATGGCAGCTCTGAAAGCTGGGAACTGATTCTAGACCTGAAATCCAAACTGTTCCCTCTTCCCCCCTTCCCAAATGGCAGCTCTGGAACCTGAGAACCAATCCTAGACCCGAAATTTAAGATGTTCCCTTTCCCAAATGACAACTCTGAAAGATGGGAACTGATTCTAGACCTGAAATCCAAACTGTTCCCTCTTCCCTCCTTCCCAAATGGCAGCTCTGAAAGCTGGGAACCAACCCTAGACTCGAAATTCAAACTGTTCCTCTTCCCTCCTTCCCAAATGGCAGCTCTGAAACCAGGGAACCAACCCTAGACCCGAAATAAAAGGTGTTCCCTTTCCCAAATGGCAGCTCTGAAAGCTGGGAACTGATTCTAGACCTGAAATCCAAACTGTTCCCTCTTCCCTCCTTCCCAAATGGCAGCTCTGAAACCAACCCTAGACCCAAAATAAAATCTGTTCCCTTTCCCAGGTGGCAGCTCTGGAACTTGGGAACCAATCCTAGACCCTAAATCCAAGCTGTTCCCTCTTCCCTCCTTCCCAAATGGCAGCTCTGAAACTTGGGAAGTGACTCTGGACCCAAAACAAAAGGTGTTCCCTTTCCCAAATGGCAGCTCTGAAAGATGGGAACTGATTCTAGACCTGAAATCCAAGCTGTTCCCTCTTCCCTCCTTCCCAAATGGCAGCTCTGAAACTTGGGAAGTGACTCTGGACCCAAAACAAAAGGTGTTCCCTTTCCCAAATGGCAGCTCTGAAAGATGGGAACTGATTCTAGACCTGAAATCCAAACTGTTCCTTCTTCCCTCCTTCCCAAATGGGAGCTCTGAAACCTGAGAACCGACCCTACACCCAAAATAAAAGGTGTTCCTTCTTTCCTCCTTCCCAAATGGCAGCTCTGGAACTTGGGAACCAACCCTAGACCCAAAATAAAAGGTGTTCCCTTTCCCAGGTGGCAGCTCAGAAACCAACCCTAGACCTAAAATCCAAGCTGTTCCCTCTTCCTTCCTTCCCACATGGCAGCTCAGAAACCAGGGAACCAACTCTAGACCTGAAATCCAAACTCTTCCCTCTTCCCTCCTTCCCAAATGGCAGCTCTGAAACCAACCCTACACCCAAAATAAAAGGTGTTCCCTTTCCCAAATGGCAGCTCAGAAAGCTGGGAACCAACCCTAGACCCGAAATAAAAGTGTTCCCTTTCCCAAATGGCAGCTCTGAAATGTGGGAACTGATTCTAGACCTGAAATCCAAGCTGTTCCCTCTTCCCTCCTTCCCAAATGGCAGCTCTGAAAGCTGGGAACCAACCCTAGACCCAAAATAAAAGGTGTTCCTTCTTCCCTCCTTCCCAAATGGGAGCTCTGGAACTTGGGAACCAACCCTAGACCCGAAATTTAAGGTGTTCCCTTTCCCAAATGACAACTCTGAAAGATGGGAACTGATTCTAGACCCAAAATCCAAGCTGTTCCTTCTTCCCTCCTTCCCAGGTGGTAACTTTGAAATGTGGGAACCAACCCTAGACCCGAAATAAAAGGTGTTCCCTTTCCCAGGTGGTAGCTGGGAACCAACCCTAGACGTGAAATCCAAGCTGTTCCCTCCTCCCTCCTTCCCAGGTGCCAGCTCTGCAACCCACACCATCTGATGAGTCATTTTTTGAGGGGTTCTGATCCGTGTTTCTGAGAGCCCAAAGCACATTCCGAGGCCCCAAACTCGCCCCAAACCGCACCGGGAGCCGCTTCGGTGCCTCCTGTGGGATGAAAGCTCCTCACACCACCCCCCCCTCCCAAAAATCTGTCTCTTCACAGCCCTAATTACCCGGTATTAACAAATTTCAGCCCTCGGGGGTGACTCTCAAACCCTCACTTGGCCGGCTCTGGTTCAAAGACAACTTAAAAAAAAGAAAAAAACAACGACGGCCCCGCCTAAAAAACCCACCCAAAAACCCCAAAAAATCACACCTACACAAAGAAAAAAAAATAAAAATCCCTTTCAGGTGCCAACCGGTGTGTCCTGAAAGGGGTGAATTCCCTCCCCAGGGCAATAAAATGCTGACCATCCCTCTCGGGGGGGTGGGAGCTGAGCACTCAGAACTCTGGAAAAGCTGGAATTCCCTTCAGGGAGCGAGGAAGGGGAGGATTTGGGAGCTGAGCACTCAGAGCTCCCTCTGGAAAAGCTGGAATTCCCTTCACAAAGCGAGGGAGGATTTGGGAGCTGAGCACTCAGAGCTCCCTCTGGAAAAGCTGGAATTCCCCTCAGGGAGCGAGGAAGGGGAGGATTTGGGAGCTGAGCACTCAGAGCTCTGGAAAAGCTGGAATTCCCTTCAGGGAGCGAGGAAGGGGAGGATTTGGGAGCTGAGCACTCAGAGCTCTGGAAAAGGTGGAATTCCCTTCAGGGAGCGAGGGAGGGGAGGATTTGGGAGCTGGGCACTCAGAGCTCCCTCTGGAAAAGCTGGAATTCCCTTCACAAAGCGAGGGAGGATTTGGGAGCTGAGCACTCAGAGCTCTGGAAAAGGTGGAATTCCCTTCAGGGAGCGAGGAAGGGGAGGATTTGGGAGCTGAGCACTCACAGCTCCCTCTGGAAAAGGTGGAATTCCCTCAGGGAGTGAGGAAGGATTTGGGAGCTGAGCACTCAGAGCTCCCTCTGGAAAAGGTGGAATTCCCTTCAGGGAGCGGGGAAGGGGAGGATTTGGGAGCTGAGCGCTCAGAGCTCCCTCTGGAAAAGCTGGAATTCCCTCAGGGAGCGAGGAAGGGGAGGATTTGGGAGCTGGAAGTTCACGGCTCCGTCTCATTCCCTGCCTGCCCACCCATCACCCTCTGGATTTCCTCGTTTCTCCGAGTCCAGGGGATATTTTTTGGGACACAGCAGCGTTTTCCCAGCAGTTTTTCCCTGGAATCCGTGCCAGGCACTGACCTCGCACTTGACAAACCCGACCCAGCCCGAGGTAACTCCGAGACCGAGACCGGGCTTTGCTTTTCGGGCAGGGAAGAGGAAAAACCCGGGGCGGAGCCGAGATGTGAACCCACCAATTCTCGGCAGCACCTGGATTTTCCCACTTATTGGGGGTTGTTCCCGCTGCAGGAAACGATCCCTTACTTGTTCTTGAAGTCCTCCACCATGTCCTGCATGTTCCTGAGCTCGGAGTCGAGCCGGCCCCGCTCGCCCAGCAGGCTGTCGAGCTGCCGGCGCAGGTTGTTGATGTAGGACTCGAAAAGGGGCTCCAGGGATTTCCTGGTGACGGTGTGACCCTGCTCCTGCAGGAGGCTCCACTTGGTCTCCAGCACTTTGTTCTGCTGCTCCAAGAAGCGCACCTGAAAAAGGACACAAAAAAAAAAAACCAAAAAACCCCCCCAAAAAACAAAGATCTGTTAAAACCCACGGGAACGAGCAAAAATTCCCTCTCCTGACTGCCGGGAAAAAGTGGGGCCATCAACACCTCTCCATCAACACCTCTGTTGATCAAGGTCAAGGGACAGGGGACAATCCAGCCAAAATTATTGGGAATATCCTTCTTTCGGCGCCAGAAGCGTCTGGACACGCTCAGAGGGAGCTTTCCCAGAGTTTGGATCGGGTCACACCCCTGAATTTGTCACTTTGGGTGCCTTTTCCCCCCCCACCCCACTGGATGCTCAGCCCACCTCGCTGGTCCAGGCTGCTGTCACCCCACGGGAGACCCGCCGTGATTCCACGCGGCTGGAATTTTACAGCCAGGAGAGGACCCATCCAACCCCCGGGACGTGTTTTTTTTTTACAAGGACTAGGTGTGTGGGGATTTACTGTGCCAAAAAAAAGGCACTGAGAGCTCATCCTGGCGGAGAGGAAACATCAAAGGGGGTTTTATTTCCCAAGCCAAGCCGGGATCCGTCCAGGGCAAGTCCCCCACGATCCAAGCGAAGCTTCTTCCCGAAGTTTCGCGTGTTTTTTTTTCCCCCCCTCTCGAGGCAGCCAAAAACCAACCCCTTTTTTTTACCTTGTCGATGAAGGAGGCGAACTTGTTGTTGAGGGTCTTGATCTGCTCCCGCTCCTGCGTGCGCACCTTCTGGATCTCGGGGTCGATGTCGAGCTTCAGCGGGGCCAGCAGGCTCTGGTTCACCGTCACCTCGTGGATCCCTCCCGGGGGGCACGCGGGGAACCCTCCCCGGACTCCAAACCCGGCGCCCCCCAGCCCGAATCCTCCTCCGACACCTCCGACACCTCCTCCGACACCTCCCAGCCCGAAAGCGCCGCCGGCGCCGGCTCCTCCGAAGCCGAAAGCGGCTCCTCCCAGCCCGAAGCCGCTGCCGCGGAGCCCCCCCCGATGGCCGAGGAGCCGTAGGAGATCCTTTTGCTCCCCCCGAGGTTGTAGAGGCTCCTGCTGCCGAAGCCCCCGCCGGCCCCGAAGCCTCCGGAGCCGCCTCCGGCTCGTCCTGCCCCGACCCTGGAGACGGAGATGGAGCTGAAGCTGCTGCGGGTGCCTCCTCCTCCTCCTCCTCCTCCTGCCACGATGGCAGAGCCCGAGCTGAAGCCCCTCATGCCCCCTCCGGTGGATGATCGGAAAGAGATCCGGCTCATGGTCGGTGCGAGAAGAGATGAAGATGAAGACGAAATAAAAATAAAGAGCTGAAGAATCGAAGCCGAGCTGGGCGAGGGGGGGAAGATAAAAAAAGGAGCGGCGAGGGCGAAAGAGAGAAACCCCCGTGATGGGAGAAGCTCCGGGAGCGTCTCCCTTTTTATCTGCTTGGGAAAGGGGAAAAAAAAAAACCAACCAAAAAAAAAAAAACCAACGAAAACTTGGCACGGGAATCGGGAGGGGAGAACTTGACGTGCCTTGCAGCGACTTGTCCTGTGCCCAACACACCTCGGCAGGCGCCGAAAAATGCATTGTTTGCAGGCAGGGAAGTAACGGGAAGAGGAGCTCCCTCCCCACCCCCACTCCCAACCCCAAATCCCCCTCGGGCGCCTCTGAGTCATGGGAGGAGAATTGAGCGGGATCAGCGGGGCAGGATCCAACACGAGTCCCGATTCCCGGGACCCTTCGGGAGCCGCTCCCCCCGCGGGGCTCGCTGGGTTGAGCAAGAGCGCTCATTCCATCCTGGAATCCATCAATCCCATCCCATCCCAAATATCCCATTCCATCCATCCCATCCCAAATATCCCATCCCATCCCATCCCATCAATCCCATCCCATCCCATCCCATCCCATCCCATCAATCCCATCCCATCCCATCCCATCAATCCCATCCCATCCCATCCCATCAATCCCATCCCATCCCATCCCATCAATCCCATCCCATCAATCCCATCCCATCCCATCCCATCCCATCAATCATCCCATCCCATCCCATCCCATCCCATCCCATATCCCATCCCATCCCATCCCATCCCATCCCATCCCATCCCATCAATCCATCCCATCATCCCATCCCATCCCATCCCATCAATCCCATCCCATCAATCCCATCAATCCCATCCCATCCCATCCCATCCCATCAATCCCATCCCATTCCATCCCATCCCATCCCATCCCATCAATCCCATCCCATCAATCCCATCCCATCCCATCCCATCCCATCCCATCCCATCCATCCCATCCCATCAATCCCATCCCATCCCATCCCATCCCATCCCATCCCATCAATCCCATCCCATCCCATCCCATCCCCATCCCATCCCATCCCATCCCAAATCCCATCCCATCCCATCCCATCCCATCCCATATCCCATCCCATCCCATCCCATCCCATCCCATCAATCCCATCCCATCCCATCCCATCAATCCCATCCCATCCCATCCCATCCCATCCATCCATCCCATCCCATCCATCCCATCCCATCCATCCATCCCATCCCATCCATCCCATCCCATCCCATCAATCCCATCCCATCCCATCCCATCCCATCCCATCCCATCCCATCAATCCCATCCCATCCCATCCCATCCCATCAATCCCATCCCATCCCATCCATCCCATCCCATCAATCCCATCCCATCCCATCCCATCCCATCCCACCCCCCCCGGGAAAGGTTTGGAGGGTTGGGGTTTTTGGGGTTTTTTTTTAGGGTTTGAGGAGTTTCGTAAGTGGCAAAAATCGGATTTTTTTTCCCAGGTTTGCAGCTTTCCAAGGGGATTGGACGTGGTTCGGGGGAGTTGGGTCTGAGGGTGGTTTGGGCGATCAGAGCAGATGTTTTGATTTTTTTTATTATTTTCTTTTTTTTTCCTTTTATTTTCTTTTTTCTTTTTCCCCCCCTTTTTTCTTTTTTTTCTTTTTTTTTCTTTTTTTCCCTTTTTTTCTTTTTTTTCTTTTTTTTTCCTTTTAATCAAATTTAAAAATCAAATTTTAATTTAATTTTTTTTTTTGGATCCAGGTGATCACGGGCTCGAGGGGACGAGCCGAGTGGAATTCTCCTCATGGCACTATTTTTTTGGGATCTTACCAAAAACTCATCTCCCCACCCTTTGCAGGGCTAGCTGAGGTTTTCCAAGTTGGGTTTTAGGGTTTAACAAGTTTCATAAGTGGCAAAAATCGGGTTTTTTTCTACAGTTTCTAGCTCGGGGACTGGACATGGTTTGGGGGAGTTGGGTCTGAGGGTGGTTTGGGTGATCAGAGCAGATGTTTCGATTTTTTTCCCCCTTTTTTTTTTCCTTTTTCTTTTTCCTTTTTTTTTTCCTTTTTTTTTCTTTAATCAAATTTAAAAATCCAATTTATTTTTCTTTTTTTCTTTTAATCAAATTTTAAAATCCAATTTATTTTTCTTTTTTTTCTTTTTTTTCTTTTTTTTCTTTGAATCAAATTTAAAAATCCAATTTTTTTTGATTTTTTCTCTTTTTTTCCTTTTTTTTTCTTTTAATCAAATTTAAAAATCAAATTTATTTTGATTTTTTCTTCCTTTTTCCTTTTTTTCTTCTTTTAATCAAATTTAAAAATCAAATTTTTTTCCTTTTTTTTCTTTTAATCAAATTTAAAAATCAAAATTTTTTCCCTTTTTTTTTCCTTTAATCAAATTTAAAAATCAAATTTTTTTCTCCTTTTTTTCTTTTAATCAAATTTAAAAATCAATTTTTTTTCCTTTTTTTCCCTTTTAATCAAATTTAAAAATCAAATTTATTTTGATTTTTTCTTTTTTTTTTTCCTTTTTTTTTCCTTTTAATCAAATTTAAAAATCTTTTTTTTTTTAATTTTAGGGACGAGCCGAGTGGAATTCTCCTCATGGCACTATTTCCCTGGATTTTACCCCCAAAAATCACACCCCCCCATCCTCATTTCTCCCTCTAAAGTGGAATTTTAGGGCTTTTTTTCCCCCCCTCCACACACAAAGGGTTTATCCAACATTTCCCACGTCATTCCTGGCTCTCCCAGGCAAATCCACCCACTTTGCTGAGACAGGAAAATCAAATTAAAAAAAAAAATTGTTTCTAAAACAGGTTTTTTTTTTAAGTCTTTTGATCTCGGCCCGGGGTGAACCCTCGTGGGTTTGGGGGGTTTTTATTACTCATCAACGTGAGGAATAAAATAAAATAAAATAAAATAAAATAAAATAAAACACTCCCTAATTCAGCAATGTGAGCGATAAAATAAAATAAAATGAAATAAAATAAAATAAAATAAAATAAAATGAAACCCTCCCAAATTCACCGACGTGAGTAATAAAATAAAATAAAATAAAATAAAACCCTTCCAAATTCACCAATGTGAGCAATAAAATAAAATAAAACCCTCCCAAATTCACCAGCGTGAGCAATAAAATAAATTAAAATAAAACCCCTCCCAAGTTCACCAGCGTGAGCAATAAAATAAAATAAAATAAAATAAAATAAACCCCTCCCTAATTCACCAATATGAGCAATAAAATAAACCCCTCCCAAATTCAGCAACGTGAGGAATAAAATAAAATAAAATAAAATAAAATAAACCCCTCCCTAATTCAGCAATGTGAGCAATAAAATAAAATAAAATAAAATAAAATAAAACCCTCCCAAATTCACCGACGTGAGCAATAAAATTAAAAAAAACACACCCCTCCCAAATTCACCTGAGGAATAAAATAAAATGAAATAAAATAAAATAAAATAAACCCTCCCAAATTCACCTAAGTGAGGAATAAAATAAAACTCTCCCAACTTCACCAGCGTAATAAAATAAAATAAAATAAAATAAAATAAAACCCTCCCAAAATCACCTACGTGAGCAATACAATTAAAAAAAAACCCCCCCCAAATTCACCTGAGTGAGGAATAAAATAAAATAAAAAGAAACCCCTCCCAAATTCACCGACGTGAGCAATAAAACAAAAGAACCCCTCCTAAATTCAGCAATAAAATAAAATTTAAAAACCCTCCTAAATTCACCTACTTGGGCAATAAAATAATAATGAAAAAAGTCTCCCAAATTCACCTACGTGAGCAACAAGAAAAACACAAAAACCCCTCCGAAATTCGCCGGCACGAGCATTAAAATGAAATAAATAAAACCTCCTAAAAAATCACCTACGTGAGCAGATAAAGTAAAAAAAAAATCATAAAATCACCTACGTGAGCAATAAAGTAAAACAAAACAAAACAAAAACAAAAAACCTCCCAAAAATCACCTACGTGAGCAATAAAATAATAACGAAAAACACCCTCCGAAATATCACCTACTTGGGCAACAAGAAAAACACAAAAACCCCTCCGAAATTCGCCGGCACGAGCATTAAAATGAAATAAAACCTCCTAAAAAATCACCTACGTGAGCCATAAAGTTAAAAAAAAAATCCTAAAATCACCTACGTGAGTAATAAAATAATTAAAAAAAAAACCCTCCCAAAAATCACGTACGTGAGCAATAAAATAATTAAAAAAACACCCTCCGAAATTCACCTACGTGAGCAATAAGAGCGGCCAAAAAAGGAGCAGCTCGAGGGGATCGTTTGTGTTGACGTCTTTCCAACTTTATTTTATTTTTTTTTTTATTATTATTTTCCAGTCTGGGGAACTTGAAAGGGCCTGAAAAGCAGAAAAAGGGGTTGGGCCGGTTCTTTTTTTTTTTTGGTTTGGTTTGTTTTTCTTCTCTTCTTGTCGGGTTTTGCCCGGCCGCGATCGCGAAACGCTCCCTCAAAATAAAAAAAAAACACAAAATAATAATCCCGATTGCCAGGGATGAATCACCCGGGCTGGAAAAAAAAAACCCAAACACCCAAAAAATCGGTAGGAAGGGGGTGCTCTCGCCCCGAAAATGGAAATTTGGGAACACTCCTGGCTGCTCTGAGGGAAAAAAAACCACCCGAAAGTCGCGACCACCTCAAAAATTCCACGAAAAAACGGAGATGTTGATGGTGAAAGGAGAAAAATTCGGCAGCCCGGGGGGGTTTTTGCTCGCCGTGGACGTGGATTGGAGCATCCCCCGTGGGTTTGGGGGGGCCAGGTGAGAAAAAAAAACCCCCCCGGGAAGCCGAGCAGGGCACGGGGAGGGGTTAATTAAGGGAAAAAGGGGTTAATTAAGGCAGGGAAAAAAGGGTTTAATTAAGGCAGGGAAAAGGATCCTTCACCACCTCTCCCTCCCCGTGGCTCTTCCAGGAGAGGCTGTGGATGCAGGGGGGGTAAATCAGGTGGGATATCACAGAGGGATTGGGAGAAATCTGATTTTTTTCGGTTTTTTTCCCCCCCCCGGGGTTGGAATTTCGATGTTCAGAGCTCTCCAGGTTGGGGCGTTCTGAGCTGCCCTAAATCCCCACACCCACCCTGGGCGGTTCCCACAGAAATTCAGGGCGCTCCTGGGTTTTTAATCTCTTGTTTTTTAACCTTCCCTGCTTTTTTTTTTGGTCTGTCTGGGACCAAACAGGGCAGCCAAGGGTGACAAAGTTGACTGTGAGGTGGCAGCGATGTCCTGGAGCCAGGAGGGCCGTGGGATCCTGGGATTCTTCGGGAAAAAAACGTGGCCAGCAGGTCGGGGAGAGGATCCTGACCCTTTTTCCACATGTGGGGTGTGGGTGTTCAGCTCCGGCCTGCACAGGTTCAGAAAGGACAAGGACGCTCCTGGGGAGGGTCCAGAAGAGGCCACGAGGATGAGGAGGGGTCTGGAATGTTTCTCTTACGGGGAGAGAGACTGGAGGGACCTGGGCCTGGTTTGTCTGGGGAAGAAAAGGCTGGGAGGGGACCTCAACAGTCCTCCTTCTCCTCCTTCTTTTACTTCTCCTCCTTCTTCTTCTCCTTCTCCTCCTTCTCCTTCTCCTTCTCCTCCCTCTCCTCCTTCTCCTCCCTCTTCTCCTTCTCCTTCTCCTCCTTCTCCTTCTCCTTCTCTTCTCCTGCTTTTCCTCCTTCTCCTCCTTCTCCTTTTCCTTCTTCTCCTTCTCCTCCTTTTCCTTCTCCTTTTCCTTCTCCTCCCCCTTTTCCTCCTTCTCCTCCTCCTTCTCTTCTCCTGCTTTTCCTCCTTCTCCTCCTTCTCCTTTTCCTTCTTTTCCTTCTCCTCCTCCTTCTCCTCCTTCTCCTTTTCCTTCTACTCCTCCTCCTTCTCCTCCTTTTCCTTCTTCTTTTCCTTCTCCTTTTCCTCTCCCTCCTCCTTTTCCTCCTCCTCCTCCTCCTTCTCCTTCTCCTCCTCTCTCCTCCTCCTCCTCCTTCTTCTCCTTCTCCCTCTGTCTCCAACTCCTCCATTTATTTGGGGACAACCCATTTCGAGCTTTCCACCAGGATTTTTATCCGTTAGGATTTTATCTCAGAAAGGGTGACCCTCCAGCTCACCCCTGCTTGAAGGTTGGGAACTTTTCAGGCTGCTGGTTCTGAACATAAAAAAAAGGCAAATTAACAAAAAAAAAGGCAAATAAAAACAATAAATAAATTACAATTTTTACTGGACACGTTCCAAAAAAAAAAAAATAAAAAGGGGGGGGAGAGAGAGGACCTTGCTTTCGAGGGACTCTCAGCCCCACACGTCATCCAGTACTTTTTTAATCCTGTAATTTAGAAAACCAGCCCCCTTTTCCCTTAATTTTTAAAGCTGAACCCTCTGATGAAACACCCACGGGGAAGGAAAAGAAGGGGAAGGACAGGAACGGGAGAGAAACGTGGAAAAAAAACCTTTGGAAAAGCTCGTGGCAAGTTGAATCCACCCCCTCCACCCCCAAGGGTGGCACCCCAGGCTGCTTCCCTGATTTTATCCCTCCAAACCCTCGTGGTCCTGAGGGATCCCGGTTTCCCAACACCCCCTGGCTGTGTGAAGGGTTGGAAAAAGGAGGGATTTTTCCATCCCATCCCATCCCATCCCCCTGGAGCTGGCTCCCAGCGGGGCTCCGAAAGTGCTCTGGATGATCAGAGCAGACGTTTCGATTTATTTTTTTGGGATGTTTCTTTTTCTGAATAAAATTTAAAAATCAATTTTTAATATTTTTTTTGGAGGGGGGGATCCAAGCAATCACGGGGGAGGGAAGAGCAGGAGAAGGGGGGCAGGAGCAGGACAGGGTGGTGACGTGGGAAGGGCCTGGGTTTGGTGTTTGGTTTTTTTTTTTCACTCAGGCTCCTTCAGGCTCTGGCTCTTGATGCTCTTCTTGCTGGAGGAGGTTTTGGAGACGATTTTCACCCCGGGGTTGGCGCCTTTCGCACTCCCGGAGCTGAAATTCCCTCCGCTGGTGCTCAGGCTGCTGCTGCCGCCTCCACCCCCGAGTCCGAGTCCTCCTCCTCCGCCTCCAAAGCTTCCTCCTCCTCCTCCTCCTCCTCCTCCTCCTCCGAGACCGAGACCGAAACCGCTCCCTCCGCCTCCTCCGAGGCCGAAGCTGCTTCCACCTCCTCCTCCCCCGAGGCCAAATCCGCTTCCAGCTCCTCCTCCAAGGCCAAATCCGCTCCCTCCTCCTCCTCCTCCGAGGCCAAATCCGCTCCCTCCTCCTCCTCCTCCGAGGCCGAAGCCGCTCCCACCTCCCCCGCTCAGGCTCAGCCCCCCAAATCCTCCTCCCGCGCCGGAGCTGGAGCTGATCACGGCTGCAAGGAAAAAGCCAAACCAGAGGGCTTGGAAATCTGGGATCCTGGGATGGGGTTGGGATTGGAGGGGATCTTAAAAAGCCCGTCCAGTTCCAGCCCCTGCCAAGGGCAGAAGGGACCGGCGGGTTCCTCTTCCCGGTCAATAAATCAGGGAATTGTGGGATGGTTTGGGGTGGAGGGACCTTAAAAAGCTCATCCAGGGACACCTTTCCACGGGTAGGGATGCTTCCCACCATCCCAGGGGGATCCAGCCTGGCCTTTGGACACTCCCAGGGATGGGAAATCCTCTGGGAAATCCCTTCCAGGGCCTCCCCACCCTCCCAGCCGGGAATTCCTTCCCAAAATCCCACCTAACTCCCCCCCTTTCCCAGTGGGAAGCCATTCCCTGTGTGCTGTCCCTCCATCCCAAATCCCAAATCCCTCTCCAGCTCTCCTGGAGCTCCTTCAGGCCCTGGAAGGCTCTCCAAGCTCTCCCTGGAGCCTTCCCTTCTCCAGGGGAACACAGACTCATCCCATCCCACCTTTCCCCGGGCAGGGACCCCTCCCACCATCCCAACCTGCCCCTGGACCCTCCCAGGAGCCTCAACTTCCCTGGGCAATCCCCAATTTCCAGGAGGCACCACCGGCAGGACCCTCACCCCCCTTGGGACCTGATCCCAACTTCCATCCCCAGTCCTGTCAGGGGCAACCCCTCCCTCGTCCCCAAGGACCCTCCCAACCCATCCCTTGTCCCCGAGGTCCCTGTCTTGTCCCCGAGGTCCCTCCCTTGTCCCCAGGGTCCCTCTCACCCCCTCCCTTGTCCCCAAGGACCCTGTCTTGTCCCCAAGGTCCCTCCCTTGTCCCCAAGGACCCTCCCAACCCCTCCCTCATCCCCAAGGTCCCTCCCACCTCTCCCTTGTCCCCAAGGTCCCTCCCTTGTCCCCGAGGTCCCTCCCACCCTCCCTTTGTCCCCGAGGTCCCTCTCTTGTCCCTAAGGTCCTTCCCTTGTCCCTGAGGTCCCTCAAGGTCCCTCCCTTGTCCCCAAGGACCCTCCCAACCCCTCCCTCGTCCCCAAGGTCCCTCCCACCCCTCCCTTGTCCCCAAGGTCCCTCCCTTGTCCCCAAGGTCCCTCCCTTGTCCCCAAGGTCCTTCCCTTGTCCCCAAGGTCCCTCAAGGTCCCTCCCTTCTCCCCAAGGACCCTCCCAACCCCATCCCTTGTCCCCAAGGTCCCTCCCTTGTCCCTGAGGTCCCTCCCAACCCCTCCCTTGTCCCTGAGGTCCCTCTCACCCCCTCCCTTGTCCCTGAGGTCCCTCTCACCCCCTCCCTTGTCCCTGAGGTCCCTCTCACTCCCTCCCTTGTCCCCAAGGTCCCTCTCACCCCCTCCCTTGTCCCTGAGGTCCCTCTCACCCCTCTCCTTGTCCCTGAGGTCCCTCTCACTCCCTCCCTTGTCCCCAAGGTCCCTCCCTTGTCCCCGAGGTCCCTCCCACCCCTCCCTTGTCCCCAAGGTCTCTCCCTTGTCCCCAAGGTCCCTCCCTTGTCCCCAAGGTCCCTCTCACTCCCTCCCTTGTCCCCCAGGTCCCTTCCTTGTCCCCAAGGTCTCTCCCTTATCCCCAAGGTCCCTCTCTTATCCCCAAGGTCCCTCTCTTGTCCCCAAGGTCCCTGTCTTGTCCCCGAGGTCCCTCCCAACCCCTCCCTTGTCCCCAAGGTCTCTCCCTTGTCCCCAAGGTCCCTCCCACACCCTCCCATGTCCCCAAGGACCCTCCCAACCCATCCCTTGTCCCCAAGGTCCCTTCCTTGTCCCTGAGGTCCCTCCCACCTCCTCCCTTATCCCCCAGGTCCTCTCCTTTAACCCAAGGACCCTCCCATCCATCCCTTGTCCCCAAGGTCCCTCCCTTGTCCCCAAGGACCCTTTCTTGTCCCCGGGGTCCCTCCCCCCCTCTCCCCGGTCAGGACGGTGCCACCAAGCCCCCCGTGGCACTCACAGTAGCTGATGGGGTTCAGTCCCTCCCCGCTGAGCCTGTGGTGGGGGCAGAGGGAGAGCAGATCAGAAGATCAGAGCCAGATGAAGGACGGGATTTGGGGGGCAGAGGAAAGGGGAGGGGAAAAACTGAGAGGGGAATCCCACCCTGCCACCCCCACCTGCTCTCCTCGCCCTCCAGCAGCTTCCTGTAGGTGGCAATCTCGATGTCCAGGGCCAGCTTGACGTTCATGAGCTCCTGGTACTCGCGGAGCTGCCGGGCCATGTCGGCCTTGGCTTTCTGGAGGGCGTCCTCCAGCTCCATCACCTTGGCCTTGGCGTCCTTGAGGGCCAGCTCGCCCCGCTCCTCCGAGTCGCCGATGGCCGTCTGGAGGGTGGCACACTGGGGAGGGGAAAGGAGGAGGGGGGTTGGGGTGCCAAAACTGCTTTGCTTTTTTATGTTTGGTTGGGTTTTCTTTTTTTTTTCTTATTTTTTTGCCTTTTTTTTGCCTTTTTATGTTTTTTGCCCTTTTTGCAGTTTTTGCCTTTTTTTCTTTTTTTTTCTTATTTTTTTGCCTTTTTTTTTTGCTTTTTTTGCCTTTTTTTGCAGGTTTTTTTGCCTTTTTTTCTTTCTTTTCCTTTATTTCCTTTTTTTTGCCTTTTTTGCCCTTTTTTTCTTTTTTTTCCTTTTTTTGATTTTTTTTGTTTTTTCCTTTTTTTTCTTTTTTTTTGCCTTTTTTTGCCTTTTTTTTCCTTTTTTTGCCCTTTTTTTGCTTTTTCTTGCTTTTTTCCCTTTTCATTGATTTTTTTTGCCTTTTTTTACTTTTTTTTGCTTTTTGCCTTTTTTTGCTTTTTTGGGGTTTCTTTGCCTTTTTTTCCTTTTTTTTGCCTTTTTTTCCTGTTTTTTTGCTGGTTTGCCTTTTTTTGCAGTTTTTTTTGCTTTTTTCTTTTTTTTCTTTTTTTTTGCCTTTTTTTGCCTTTTTTCCTTTTTTTTCTTTTTTCTTTTTTTTGCTTTTGCCTTTTTTCTTTTTTTTTTGCTTTTTTACCTTTTTTTCCTTTTTTTCCCTTTTTTTTTCTCTTTTTTTTTTTCTTTTTTTTTCTTTTTTTTTCCTTTTTTTTCCTTTTTTTTTCTTTTTTTTTTGCCTTTTTTGCCTTTTTTTTTCCTCTTTTTTTTCCTTTTTTTCCCTTCTTTTTCCCTTTTTTTTTTATTTTTTTCTACTTTTACCACCCCGAGGCAGACAAAAACCCCAGTTCTACTTTATTTTTCAGGGCACATTTCTTTGCGTTCCTTCCCCCACGCCCGAGATCCCTCACCCAGCGTGCCAGGAAGAGCTGGATGATCCAACAAAACAACCTGGAGCCTTTTCCAGGGGGGAATTTGGGGCTCCCCGGGCTCACCTGGTTGCGGGTGTTCTCGATCTCGGAGCGGATCCTCTGGATCAGCCGGGTGAGCTCCGAGATCTCCCCCTTGGTGGTGCGCAGGTCGTCCCCGTGGCGGCCGGCGGTGGCCTGGAGCTCCTCAAACTGAGGGGGAAAAGGAAATGTGAACCCTCTGGATCATCCCAAGGGACTGGAGCTCCTCAAACTGAGGGGGAAAGGAAATGTGAACCCTCTGGATCATCCCAAGGGACTGGAGCTCCTCAAACTGGGGGGGAAAGGAGATATGAAACCTTCTGGGGTGTCCCAAGGGCCTGGAGCTCCTCAAACTGAGGGGGAAAAGGAGATATGAACCCTCTGGATCATCCCAAGGGAATGAAACCCCTCAAATTCAAGGACACAAAAACCACTGGGGGTCCCAATGTCCTGGAGCTCCTCGAACTGAGGGGGAAAGGAGATATGAAACCTTCTGGGGGGTCCCAAGGGACTGGAGCTCCTCAAACTGAGGGGGAAAGGAAATGTGAACCCTCTGGATCATCCCAATGGACTGGAGCTCCTCAAACTGGGGGGGAAAGGAGATATGAAACCTTCTGGGGGGTCCCAATGGCCTGGAGCTCCTCGAACTGAGGGGGAAAGGAGATATGAAACCTTCTGGGGGGTCCCAAGGGACTGGAGCTCCTCAAACTGAGGGGGAAGAATGTGAACCCTCTGGATCATCCCAAGGGACTGGAGCTCCTCAAACTGAGGGGGAAAGGAAATATGAACCTTCTGGGGGGTCCCAAGGGACTGAAACCACTCAAATTCAGAGGTAGAAGGGAGAATCAACACTCTGGGGTGTCCCAATGGCCTGGAGCTCCTCAAACTGAGGGGGAAAAGGAAATATGAACCTTCTGGGGGGTCCTAAGGGAACTGCAGCTCCTCGGACTGAGGGGGAGAAGGAAATATGAACCCTCTAGGGGGTCCCAAGGAACTGAAACCCCTCAAATTCAGGGGCAGGAGGGACAGGGAATCCTCTGGGGTGTCCCAATGGCCTGGAGCTCCTCGAACTGAGGGGGGAAAGGAAATGTGAACCTTCTGGGAGGTCCCAAGGGACTGGAGCTCCTCAAACTGAGGGGAAAGGAAATGTGAACCCTCTGGATCATCCCAATGGCCTGGAGCTCCTCAAACTGGGGGGGAAAGGAGATGTGAATCCTCTGGATCATCCCAATGGCCTGGAGCTCCTCAAACTGAGGGGGAAAGGAGATATGAAACCTTCTGGGGTGTCCCAAGGGACTGAAACCACTCAAATTCAGGGGCAGAAGGGACAGGAACCCTCTGGATCATCCCAATGGCCTGGAGCTCCTCAAACTGAGGGGGGGAAAGGAAATGTGAACCTTCTGGATCATCCCAAGGGACTGGAGCTCCTCAAACTGAGGGGGAAAGGAGATATGAAACTCCTGGGGGGTCCCAATGGCCTGGAGCTCCTCAAACTGAGGGGGAAAAGGAAATGTGAACCTTCTGGGGGGTCCCAAGGGACTGAAACCACTCAAATTCAGGGGCAGGAGGGACAGGGAACACTCTGGGGTGTCCCAATGGCCTGGAGCTCCTCAACCTGAGGGGGAAAGGGAAATATGAAACCTTCTGGGGGGTCCCAAAGGATTGGAACCCCTCAAATTCAGGGGCAGGAGGGACAGGGAACCCTCTGGGGGGTCCCAAGGGACTGAAACCCCTCAAATTCAGGGACACAAAACCACTGGGGTGTCCCAAGGGACTGGAGCTCCTCAAACTGGGGGGGGAAAGGAAATGTGAACCCTCTGGGGCGTCCCAAGGGACTGGAGCTCCTCAAACTCAGGGGCAGAAGGAGATATGAACACTCTGGGGTGTCCCAATGGCCTGGAGCTCCTCAAACTGAGGGGGAAAGGAAATGTGAACCCTCTGGATCATCCCAAGGGACTGGAGCTCCTCAAACTGGGGGGGAAAGGAATGTGAACCCTCTGGATCATCCCAAGGGACTGGAGCTCCTCAAACTGGGGGGAAAAGGAAATGTGAACCCTCTGGATCATCCCAATGGCCTGGAGCTCCTCAAACTGAGGGGGAAAGGAGATATGAAACCTTCTGGGGGGTCCCAAGGGACTGAAACCCCTCAAATTCAGGGGCAGGAGGGACAGGGAACACTCTGGGGTGTCCCAAGGGACTGGAGCTCCTCAAACTGAGGGGGAAAGGAGATATGAACCCTCTGGATCATCCCAATGGCCTGGAGCTCCTCCAACTGAGGGGGAAAAGGGAGAGTGAACCTTCTGGGGGGTCCCAAGGGACTGAAACCACTCAAATTCAGGGACACAAAAACCACTGGGGTGTCCCAAGGGACTGCAGCTCCTCAAACTGGGGGGGAAAGGAAATGTGAACCCTCTGGGTCATCCCAAGGGACTGGAGCTCCTCAAACTGGGGGGAAAAGGAGATATGAAACCTTCTGGGGTGTCCCAAGGGCCTGGAGCTCCTCAAACTGAGGGGGAAAAGGAAATGTGAACCTTCTGGGGGGTCCCAAGGGACTGAAACCCCTCAAATTCAGGGACACAAAAACCACTGGGGTGTCCCAAGAGACTGGAGCTCCTCAAACTGAGGGGCAGGGGGGACACCGAACACTCTGGGAGGTCCCAAAGGATTGAAACCCCTCAAACTGAGGGGGAGAGGGGAGAATGAACCCTCTGGGGGGTCCCAAGGGACTGAAACCCCTCAAAATGAGGTGTAGAAGGAAAAGTGAACCCTCTGGGGGTCCCAATGGCCTGGAGCTCCTCAAACTGAGGGGCAGAAGGGACAGTGAACCCCCTGGGTCATCCCAAGGGACTGAAACCCCTCAAACTGAGGGGTAGAAGGAAAAGTGAACCCTCTGGGGTGTCCCAGTGCACTGAAATCCCTCGAACTGAGGGGCAGGAGGGAGAACGAACCCTCTGGGGTGTCCCAATGTCCTGGAGCTCCTCGAACTGAGGGGTAGAAGGAAAAGTGAACCCTCTGGGTCATCCCAAGGGACTGAAACCCCTCAAACTGATGGACAGAAGGCAGAATGAACTCCCTGGGGTGTCCCAAGGGACTGAAACCCCTCAAACTGAGGGGCAGGGGGGAGAATGAACCCCCTGGGGTGTCTCAACGGACTAAAACCCCTCAAACTGAGGGGGAGAGGGGAGAATGAACCCTCTGGGGGGTCCCAAGGGACTGAAACCCCTCGAAGTGAGGGGCAGAAGGGACAGTGAACCCTTTGGGGTGTCCCAATGGCCTGGAGCTCCTCAAACTGAGGGGCAGAAGGAGAAGTGAACCCTTTGGGGTGTCCCAATGCCCTGGAGCTCCCCAAACTGAGGGGCAGGGGGGAGAATGAACCCTCTAGGGGGTCCCAAGGGACTGAAACCCCTCAAACTGAGGGGGAAAAGAAAATGTGAACCCTCTGGGTCATCCCAATGTCCTGGAGCTCCTCAAACTCAGGGGCAGGGGGGAGAATGAACCCTCTGGGGTGTCCCAAGGGACTGGAGCTCCCCAAATTCAGGGGCAGAAGGCAATATGAACCCCCTGGGTCATCCCAATGTCCTGGAGCTCCTCAAACTGAGGGGCAGGAGGCAGAATGAACCCCCTGGGTCATCCCAAGGGACTGAAACCCCTCAAATTCAGGGCCAGAAGGGAGAATGAACCCTCTGAGTGTCCCAATGCAGTGAAACCCCTCAAACTCAGGGGCAGGGGGGAGAATGAACCCCCTGGGGTGTCCCAAGGGACTGAAACCCCTCAAACTGAGGGGCAGAAGGGACAACAAACCCTCTGGGGCATCCCAAGGGACTGAAACCCCTCAAACTGAGGGGGAGAAGGAAAAGTGAACCCCCTGGTTCATCCCAATGGCCTGGAGCTCCTCAAACTCAGGGGCAGGAGGGACACTGAACGCTCTGGCTCATCCGAAGGAACTGAAACCCCTCAAACTGAAGGGCAGAACCAAAAGTGAACTCTGTCATCCAGGGAAAAGTGAACCCTCTGGGGTGTCCCAATGTCCTGGAGCTCCTCAAAGTCAGGGGCAGGAAGGAGAATGAATCCTCTGGGGTGTCTGAACGGACTGAAACCCCTCAAACTGAGGGGCAGAAGGGACAACATGAACCCTCTGGGTCATCCCAAGGGACTGAAACCCCTCAAACTGAGGGGCAGGAGGAACAGTGAACCCTCTGGGTCATCCCAAGGGAAAAGTGAACCCTCTGGGGTGATCCCAAGGGACTGGAACCCCTCAAACTGAGGGGCAGAAGGAAATATGAACCCCTGGGTCATCCCAATGTCCTGGAGCTCCTCAAACTGAGGGGCAGGAGGCAGAACGAACCCCCTGGGTCACACCATCATCCCCCAGCTCCCCCTCCCGGAGGCGCCACAGGCAGAACAAACCCCCATGGAGGGGGGTGGGTTTTTTGGGGGTCCCCTCCCCCTCCCCTCACCTTGTTCTGGTACCAGGCCTCGGCCTCGGCGCGGCTGCGGTTGGCGATGTCCTCGTACTGCGCCTTCACCTCGGCGATGATCCCGCCCAGGTCCAGCTCGCGGTTGTTGTCCATGCTCAGGATGACGGCCGTGTCCGACGCCTGGGCGCTGAGCTGGGCCAGCTCCTGGGGGGAGAAACACCCCGGGGGGGTCACTGCCATCCTTCCCCAGGGTTGGGGAGGGGGGCAGTGCCCGCTCTGGGGGGTGGCAGGGTGGGATGGGGCGGGTACCGCGTCGTAGAGGGCGCGTAGGAAGTGGAGCTCGTCGCTCAGCGCGTCCACCTTGGCCTCCAGCTCCACCTTGCTCATGTAGGCGGCGTCCACGTCCTGAAAAGGAGGGTGCCACGAGGCTCTTCTCAGCCCCAAAAGGCCCAAAAGGCCCTAAAAAGGCCCTAAAAAGGCCCTAAAAAGGCCCTAAAAAGGCCCTAAAAAGGCCGTCTTGGGACGGGTGGGGCGGGATGTGCTCGGCGCAATCATCTCCCTGCCACCGGCACAGCACCCCTCAAACCCCTCACTTTGAGGGGTTCCAGTCCCTTTGGGACACCCCAGACGGTTCACTGTTCCCTCCTGCCCCAGAATTTGAGGGGTTTGAACCCCTTGGGACACCCCAGAGGGTTCATTCTCCTTCCTGCTCCTCACTTTGAGGGGTTCCAGTCCCTTGGGACACCCCAGAGGGTTCACTTTTCCCTCCTGCCCCTGAATTTGAGGGGTTTCAATCCTTTGGGACACCCCAGAGGATTCATTCTCCTTTCTGCCCCTCACTTTGAGGGGTTCCAGTCCCTTGGGACACCCCAGAGGGTTCAGTTTTCCCTCCTCTCCCTGAATTTGAGGGGTTTCAGTCCTTTTGGGACACCCCAGAGGGTTCATTCTCCTTTCTGCCCCTCACTTTGAGGGGTTCCAGTCCCTTGGGACACTCCAAAGGGTTCACTGTTCCCTCCTCTCCCTGAATTTGAGGGGTTTCAGTCCCTTTGGGACACCCCAGAGGGTTCACTGTTCCCTCCTGCCCCTGAATTGGAGGGGTTTCAATCCCTTGGGACACCCCAGAGGGTTCATTCTCCTTCCTGCCCCTCACTTTGAGGAGTTCCAGTCCTTGGGGCACCCTGGGGTGGGGGTTGGAGGGGCAGCTCTTGCCCTTCCCTCAACCCCCCACCAAAAAAAAAGTGATTTGGAAGGGGATGAGGAGAGAAATCCCAGCTGTTTGGCCTTGGCACCTGGAATTCCTGGCACTTCTGACCCCCCCCTGGGGTCTGTTCTGCCCTGGGTGTGTCTTGGGGACGGGAGTTGGGGGGAGATTTTCGTGGAGTCCGCTCCTTTTTCCCCCCCCTCCAAACCCCACCATCCAAAAGCGGGGTTGAAAGCCCTTCTGAAAGACCAGGAAGCAGCTCCATGAGATTTCCCACCCTTTGGGAGGTTCCTAGGGCTGGGTAACCCCACCCTTTCCCCATCTCACCCACCTTTTTGAGCACCACGAAGTCGTTCTCGGCCGCCGTGCGCCGGTTGATCTCCTCCTCATACCTGTGGTGGGGGAAAGAATTGCTCAAATCCCACCCTTGGGGAGCAGAAGAGGTGCCCAGGGAGGGCTGAGAGGGGATTTGGGTGCCCCCAAATCAACCTGCAGGCTCAGAGGTGTGAAAATCCCTTTTTCTCCAAGGGTATTTTCGATTTGAGGCTGGAGGGACAAGGAGGGTGAAGGAGGTTTGGGGGGGGGATTTAGGGGGGGATTTCCATCTGCAGGTGCCTCCACAGGGTGTTGTGTCCTTTTTCTGGTGGGAAAAACGTCCTTGGACCCCTTTCTGGGGGTGCTGCAGGGGCAGAAACCTCGGAGCAGTGGAGATTTGGAGGGATTGATGAGCACAAACTGGAGATGCTTTTCCCCCTTTCCCACAGAAAATTCCATGATTATCTCAACATTTACCTTCCAGAAATGTACATTTTTGGGATCAACCACAGAATCACAGAGAGGAGAAAAAAAAACCAACCCAAATCTGCTGAGTTGGAAAGGAGGACCACCCAACCCAACCCTTTGTGCCCCCAAAAATCCCATTAATCCCCAAAAATCCCAACCCCTGAGGGCGGGTGCTCCAAACAGGGGCAAGGGGGGTTGGGACCAAACCCCTTTCCACCCTCTTTTGGGGCTCCAAACTCCTGCATCCCGAAGCCATCCCCCACAACTCACTTGTTCTTGAAATCCTCCACCAGGTCCTGCACGTTCCTCAGCTCGCCCTCCAGGCGGCCCCGCTCGCCCAGCAGGTTGCCCAGCTGCCTCCTCAGGTTGCCCACGTAGGCCTCGAACAGGGGCTCGAGGCTGCCCTTCCCCGAGCTGCCCTTCTGGCCCTGCTCCTGCAGGAGGGCCCACTTGGTCTCCAGCACCTTGTTCTGCTGCTCCAGGAACCGCACCTGGGGCGGTGGGGGGAGAGGTTCGGGTGATTGTCGGGTCAATCCCCGGGGATAAAGGGGTTAAATCCAGGCGGGAACACCCCCTGGATCAGCCAGGGCTGTGTCGGCTCCTCCTGCCCCTGAACGACCCCACCCTCGGGGGGCGGATCTCTGAATTTGGGGAGCCAACGAGCAGTGATTACAAAATGAGGGTTCAGCTCTTTCCCCACTGGTTTTCCTTTAATATCCATAAAAAATGAGGGTCCAGCTCTTTCCCCACTGCCTTTCCTTCAACACCCTTAGAAAACGAGGGTTTCCCCACTGTTTTTTCTTTAACATCCTTAGAAAATGAGGGTTCAGCTCCTTCCCCACTGGCTGTCCTTTAACAGAAAACAAGGGCTCAACTTTCCCCACTGGTTTTCCTTTAATATCCATAAAAAATGAGGGTCCAGCTCTTTCCCCACTGTTTTTTCTTTAACACCCTTAGAAAATGAAGGTTCAGTTCTTTCCCCACTGGCTGTTCTTTAACAGAAAATGAGGGTCCAGCTCTTTCCTCACTATTTTTTCTTTAACATCCTTAGAAAATGAGGGTTCAGCTCCTTCCCCACTGCCTTTCCTTCAACACCCTTAGAAAACGAAGGTTCAGTTCTTTCCCCACTGTTTTTTCTTCAACATCCCTAGAAAATGAGGGTCCAGCTCTTTCCCCGCTGGTTTTCCTTTAATATCCATAAAAAATGAGGGTTCAGCTCTTTCCTCATTGGCTGTTCTTTAACAGAAAACAAGGGTTCAGCTCTTTCCTCACTATTTTTCCTTTAATATCCATAAAAAACGAGGGTTCAGCTCTTTCCCCACTGTTTTTTCTTAAACATCCTTAGAAAATGAGGGTCCAGCTCTTTCCCCACTGGTTTTCCTTTAATATCCATAAAAAATGAGGGTTCAGCTCTTTCCTCGCTGGTTTCCCTTTAACATCCTTCGGGTTTTGTTTTTTGGTTTTTTGTTTTTGGGGTTTTTTTTCCTCCCGGGAAGATTTTTATTTTCCTTCCCCAGAGCCAAGAGCCCGAGCGCTACAGCGAGAAGATTCCCTGCCTTCCCCTTTGCTCCCACGTGCTCCAGGTTTATCCAGTGAAACGCCAAGGGAAGGGCTCAAGCCGAGCCCTAATATAAAAGGATCTGATCCTGCAACAAGACCAACCCCTCCTGATTCCCCTACAGAAAGAGACGCTCGCACCCGGCCCTAAAACTGCCTTTATCCCGTCTAAATTCACCCGTGCCGTTTCTCAGGCACAAAAACCCGGCTCTAACCCCGCTCCTGCGAGCCTCAAACCTCGTTTTCTGCCTCGCAGCCTTTCAGAAAATACTTTATTTTCTGAAAATACTTTTATTTTCTGAGGGCTTTAACCGAGACCCGCAGGCAGGAGAAGGGTGGAGCTGCGTGGGGTTGGATTTTTGCGCCCACAGGGCTCGTTCTCGCCCTCCCCCGACCCCCAGGGGGGCCTCACCTTGTCGATGAAGGAGGCGAACTTGTTGTTGAGGGTCTTGATCTGCTCCTTCTCGTCCTTGCGCACCTGGTGGATGCTGGGGTCGATCTCCAGGTTGAGGGGGGCCAGCAGGCTCTGGTTCACCGTCACCTCCTGGATGGTGCCCACCCCGGAGGGGCCGCCGGCGAACCCCGCCGGGCCCCTGCCCGCCCCCAGCCCCGCGGGGAACCCCCCGAGACCCCCAAAACCGAAACCCCTCCTGCTCCTGGTCCTCCTGCGTGCCCGCCCCCAAAACCCAAAGCAGAGAAGCCGAACCCGCCTCCTGCTCCGCCGAGCCCGAGCCCCAGCCCGGTACCGACCCCTCCTCCTCCTCCTCCTCCTCCTGCTGCTCCTCCACCAAGCCCCATCCCCATCCCAGCCCCACCTCCAAAAGCAGCCCTGAAGCTGCTCCCCACCCCGATGGAAATCCTCTTGCTGCCCCCCAGGTTGTAGAGGCTCCTGCTGCCGAAACCTCCCCCTCCTCCCGCACCTCCAGCTGCCCCCACGAGCCTCCCAAAGCCTCCCCCCATTCCCGCTCCTCCTCCTCCTCCTCCTCCTCCTCCTCCTCCTCCTCCTCCTCCTCCTCGAGCCAGGGACGCGGAGCCGAACCCAGCCCTGCTGATGCTGCCGCTGCTGCTGGGCACGATGGCCGAGGCAGCGCTGTAGGAGCGGCCCCCGGGCCCTGCCCTCACGCTGAAGGTTCTGTTCATGGCACCGAGGAGGGGAACAAACACCCAGGCCCCTCTGAGGGGCAGAGAGAGCGGCCCCGACCTTTTTATCCCAAACCCGGCGGCGGCGGAGCTTGGGCTGGGCCGCCTGGGAAGTGCAGCGATCAACTCGCTGCCTTCATGGTTTTGACGTGCCCTCCCCCTCCCCACCGTCACCCCCGCTTCCCCCGGGGGGCCAGGTGTCTCCCTGAAACTCGGGCACGCCCGTGGGGATGGATGTGCTCGGCTGGAAGGGGTTACCTAACGCCGGGAGTTTGGGGCGGGCAGAGCTCCCCCAGCCCCGGGGCAGAACCCCGGCAGGGACGGCAGGGTTTGGGGGTGGGGTGGTTTGTGCACAACCCTGGAAGGGCTCAGGTTCCAGGTTGGAGCGGGGTGGGAGGGTGGAAGGTGTGCCTGGTCCAGTGGAAGGTGTCTCTTGTCCTATAAAAGGTGTTCCTGGGTCCTAGGGAAGGTGTCCCTGGTCCTATAAAAGGTGTTCCTGATCCAATAAAAGGTGTCCCTGATCCAATAAAAGGTGTTCCTGATCCAATAAAAGGTGTCCCTGATCCAATAAAAGGTGTTCCTGGTCCAATAAAAGGTGTCCCTGGTCCAGTGGAAGATGTCCCTTGTCCAATAAAAGGTGTCCCTGGTCCTATAAAAGGTGTCCCTGGTCCAGTGGAAGTTGTGCCTGGTCCAATAAAAGGTGTTCCTGGGTCTAGGGAAGGTGTCCCTGGTCCTATAAAAGGTGTCCCTGGTCCTATAAAAGGTGTTCCTGGTCCTATAAAAGGTGTCCCTGGTCCTATAAAAGGTGTCCCTGGTCCTATAAAAGGTGTTCCTGATCCAATAAAAGGTGTCCCTGGTCCTATAAAAGGTGTTCCTGATCCAACAGAAGGTGTCCCTGGTCCAGTAGAAGGTGTTCCAAGTCCAATGGAAGGTGTTCCAGGTTCAAGGGAAGGTGTCCCTGGTCCAACAGAAGGTGCCCCTGGTCCAGGGAAAGGAGTCCCTGATCCAACAAAAGGTGTCCCTGATCCAATACAAGGAGTCCCTGGTACAATAGAAGGTGTCCTGGCCTAGGGAAGGTGTCCCTGGTCCTACAAAAGGTGTCCCTGTTCCAGTGGAAGATGTCTCTTGTCCTATAAAAGGTGTTCCTGATCCAATGGAAAGTGTCCCTGGTCCAATGGAAGGTATCCTGGTCTAGGGAAGGTGTCCCTGATCCAATAAAAGGAGTCCTTGGTACAATAGAAGGTGCCCCTGGTCTAGGGAAGGTGTCCCTGATCCAATAAAAGGTGTCTCTGATCCAACAGAAAGTGTCCCTGATCCAGTAAATGTCCCTGGCCTAGGGAAGGTGTCCCTGATCCAATGGAAGTGTCCCTGGTCCAATAGAAGATGTCCCTGCTCCAATAGGAGGTGTCCCTGGCCTAGGGAAGTTGTCCCAATTATCCAGGGAGGATAATTGATTGTCCTGTGAGATATCTGATTATCCAGGGGGATATCTGATTATCCCGAGGGGATATCTGATTATCCAGGGGGATATTTGATTATCCAGGGGGATATTTGATTATCCCAGGGGGATATCTGAGTATCCAGGGGGGATATCTGATTATCCGGGGGGATATCTGATCATCCAGGGGGGATAATTGATTATCCTGTGAGATATCTGATTATCCAGGGGGGATATTTGATTATCCAGTGGGATATTTGAGTATCCAGGAGGGATATCTGATTATCCAGGGGGATATTTGATTATCCCGAGGGGACATTTGATTATCCAATGGGATATTTGATTACCTAGGGGAATATTTTAATATCCAGGAGGGATATCCGATTATTCAGGGGAATTTCTGATTATCCCAGGGGGATATTTGATTATCCAGGGGGTTATTTGATTATCCAGAGGGAATATCTGATTATTCCGAGGGGACATTTGATTATCCAGTGGGAATACCCGATTATCCAATGGGATATTTCATTTTCCCGAGGGGATATTTGATTATCCAAGAGGGAAAAACGCTGCCAGGGAGGCTCCAACAGCCCCGACAGCGAATCTCCCTCTGCAGGGCAGGGATTATTCCCGGTTTTGGGAATTCCCGGTGTTCCCCTACCCGGGATCGCCGCTGGGAATTCCCGAGGAGCCTCCGCCTTGGGGGGTGGGGTGGATTTTTCTCCCAAGGGGCCCCCTGGGAAAAGCAGGGTTTGTCTTTCACGGTTCTTTGAGCTCCGGGGAAGGGAAAAATCGGCCTTGAAGCTGAAAAACGAGTTGGGAGCGGCTGAGGGAGCTGAGCGAACGTGATGGGATTAAAGGTGGGGCTGCCAAAAAAAGGGGGGGAAACGTCAAATTGTCACTCGGGGCTGGCCAGGAGGGGTGAGAGCCACACAAAGGCCGAGGGAGGGGGGAAAAAAACACCCCCTTGTCCCTCCTGGGGTGGTTTGTGGAGTGGAGGAAAGGAGGGTTGGGGGCAGGGGGAGATTGGGGGGGTTCCATCTGTCCCAGTAGGATCAGCCCTGCAGGACTGGGGAGACTGGGGGGGGTTCCATCTGTCCCAGTAGGATCAGCCCTGCAGGACTGGGGAGACTGGGGGGGTTCCATCTGTCCCAGTGGGATCAGCCCTGCAGGACTGGGGAGACTGGGGAGACTGGGGGGGTTTCCATCTGTCCCAGTGGGATCAGCCCTGCAGGACTGGGGAGACTGGGGGGGTTCCATCTGTCCCAGTAGGATCAGCCCTGCAGGACTGGGGAGACTGGGGGGTTCCATCTGTCCCAGTAGGATCAGCCCTGCAGGACTGGGGAGACTGGGGAGACTGGGGGGTTCCATCTATCCCAGTAAGATCAGCCCTGCAGGACTGGGAAGACTGGGGTGGTTTCCATCTGTCCCAGTAAGATCAGCCCTGCAGGACTGGGGAGACTGGGGGGGGTTCCATCTGTCCCAGTGGGATCAGCCCTGCAGGACTGGGGAGACTGGGGGGGTTTTCATCTGTCCCACTGGGATCAGCCCTGCCGGACTTCCCGTTTTCCAGGTGGAAAAATGGGGGTTTGGGAGCCAAAGGGACGGAATAAATTCCTCCCCCGGGAGGGTGGGGAGGTCCTGGCGTGGATTTGCAGAAGGATTTCCATGCCTGGAAGTGTCCAAGGGCAGGTTGGAGCGAGCTGGGACAGGAGGGAGGTGGAACTGGACGGGTTTTAAGGTCCCTCCCAACGCAACCATTCCAAGGATTCCACCAATCCAGGCTCCGCCAGGCGATAAAAGGAGAGATTTCCAGAGCGGATTTGGCCTCAAAACTCCACCCCTGGATTTTTTTCTCTCCAAAACACCTCGATCCGCTGGGAGGACTGAGGGAGACTGGGGCTGTCCCATCAGTCCCTGTGGAGACCTCCCTGGAACATTGCAGGACCTCAGGGGAGACTGCGGGGGGCTCTGCATCCAGAACTGCAGCGCCAGCACGGGATAATGAGGGTTCAAAGGGAAACAGGGGGATTGAGAGTTAAATATACAGAGTAAATTCCTCCCGGGGAAGGTCCTGGGATGGATTTCCCAGAGAAGCTCTCCGGATCCCTGGAAGTGTCAAGGCTGGGTTTGGAGCGACCTGGGCAGGTGGGAGGTGGAACTGACCGTGCGGAGATCCGACTGGATGAGGTTTCAGGTCCCTGCCACGTGGAAGGTGGGACTGGCATGGGTTCAAGGTCCTGCCCGGATTTGGTTCAAAGCACCTGCCGTGGGAAGGTGGGACTGATGGGTCCTAGGTCCGCTGGGAAGGCTGGGACTGGATGGGTTCTAGGTCCCTGCCCGTGGGAAGGTGGGACTGGATGGGCTCTGCATCCAGAACTGCAGCGCCAGCACGGGATAATGAGGGTTCAAAGGGAAACAGGGGGGGGAATTGAAGTTAAATATACAGAATAAATTCCTCCCGGGAAGGCCCTGGGATGGATTTCCCAGAGAAGCTCCCCCCGGATCCCTGGAAGCGTCCAAGGCTGGGTTTGGAGCGACCTGGGCTGGTGGGAGGTGTCCCTGCCCGTGGGGAAGGTGGGACTGGATGGGTTTTAAGGTCCCTGCCCGTGGGGAAGGTGGGAAGGTGGGACTGGATGGGTTTTAAGGTCCCTGCCCGTGGGACTGGATGGGTTTTAAGGTCCCTGCCCGTGGGGAAGGTGGGAAGAAGGGACTGGATGGGTTTTAAGGTCCCTGCCCGTGGGAAGGTTGGGACTGGATGGGTTTTAAGGTCCCTGCCCCTGGGAAAGATGGGACTGGATGGGTTTTAAGGTCCCTGCCCGTGGGAAAGGTGGGACTGGATGACTTTTAAGGTCCCTTCCCACCCGATCCCACAATTCCGGGCTCTTGTCGACCTGCAAAGGGGGCACACCCAGAGCTCTGCCCCGTGCAGGGTTTGGGGCCTCCGATCTGCCCCCCAAAACCGCACTCCCGGCCTTTTTGTGTCTCTCCAAAGCTCCGTGATCTACATGAACAATCCCCCCCCGGGGCAGGCGGCAGCGATCCCAGGGTTTCCCAACAGCGGGGAGTGGAGGACGGCGATGATTAAAGGTTTTTCTCCCCGAAAAGGCAAGAGCTGCCGGGCTGCTTCGGTGCCCTGGGGGCCTGGCTGGGTGCTTGGAGGAAGGAACGCCTGGCAGGGAGATGATCAGCGTGAATTACGAGCCGTCGGGGCACCTGGAGCTTCTCGTCTGGGCGTTTCTGCTGCTTTATTTACATGGAAATGAGGCCGAAAAACCACGGGAGAGAAAAGGAGTTCAAAAAAAACAAACAACAAAACATCTGCAGGTTGGGTGAGTTTTTTGCCTCCTCGCCAAGGGTTGGTCCGCGTGGTTTTCACCACCCCCACCCAGCCCGGGCATCGCTGCAGTTGTTGAGGGCTCGTTATTGATCTGTTCCCACACTGATCTCGGTGATCAATCAGCGGGGAGGCACTGGCTGGGGGTGGGAGCGCGAAGGAAACGCGCTCCGTGACGGGGCAGGACCGGGGGTGGGGTCATCAGCACAGAACCAGAAAATCAGAGAGTCAGAGAGTCAGAGAATCATGGAATTAGAGAATCACAGAGTCATGGAATCACAGAATCAGAGAGTCAGAGAATCGTGGAATTAGAGAATCACAGAGTCATGGAATCACAGAATCAGAGAGTCAGAGAATCACAAGAGTTGTGGAATCAGGGAATCACAAAATCAGAGAATCAGAGAATCGCAGAATAAGAAAGAGAATCAGAGAATCACAAAATCCTAGAATCACAAAATCAGAGAATCACACAATGAGAGAAACAGAGAATCAGAAAGTCAGAGAGTCAGAATCAGAGAGAGAATCAGAGAATCACAAAATCAGAGAATCACAGAATCATAGAATTATAGGATCATGGAATCCCAGAATCATGGAATCCTAGAATCACAAAACCAGAGAATCAGAGAATCACAGGATCAGGGGATCATGGAATCCCAGAATCATGGAACCAGAGAATCATGGAATCATAGAATTGTAGGATCACAGAATCAGAGAATCAGCGGGGTTGGAAAAGCCCTCTGAGCCCGTCCAGTCCGACCCTCGCTCTGACCCCGCCGTGGTTCCCAACCCGTGGCGCTGAGGCCACATCCAGCCTGTCCTTCCACCCCTCCAGGGACAGGGAATCCACCCCCTCCTCTGGAATCAGACATTCCAGGGGCTGAGTGAAGAATTCCCTCCCGATATCCAACCCCAAACCTCCCCTGGCACAGCCTGGAGACCTTTCCTGTCCCGCTGCCGCTTCCTGGAGCAGAGCCCGACCCCAACCCGGCTCCATCCTCCTGTCAGGGGGTTGTGGAGAGCGCTGAGTCCTCCCCTGAGCCTCCTCCTCCTCCTCCCCCAGCCCCCTTCCCGGTGGGAATTGCGCTCCAAACCCTTCCCTGTCCCTGTTCCAGCCCCTCCCGAGCTGAGGGTGGCCCAGAACACCCAGGGGTGACCTCACCGAGCCCGGCAGGAGGGTTGGGCGCGTCCTCCAGCCCTGCGAAGAAGCGCTGAGTCAGCAGGGACGGCCGGGAGGCCAAGCCGGGGGGAATAAATGACCGTGAATTAGCGCCGTGAATTAATTAGCGCCGGGCTCGGGGGGGTTTGGGGGGGGAATAAATGACCGTGAATTAGCGCCGTGAATTAGTGGCGGGCTCGGGTTTGGGAATAAATGACCGTGAATTAGCGCCGTGAATTAATTAGCGCCGGGCTCGGGGGGGTGGTGGGGGAATAAATGACCGTGAATTAGCGCCGTGAATTAATTAGCGCCGGGTGAACCTTTCCCCTGGGGGGGGGAAACGAAGCTGCCCCCGCCCTGTTGCTGCTCCCAGACCTCCCAACCCGGGGCGTGGGGGGCGTGGGGGGCGTGGATGGCTCCGAAGGGCGGCTCAGAGAGGGGAGGGGGGCTCGGCTCAGGATTTAGGGAGCCGTGGGAAGGGAGAAGCCGCGGGGCCGGTTGGTTTTCCAGCTGTGTCACCCTGAGTGTCACCCTGAGTGTCACCCGGCTTTGTTGTAGGGTCAGAGGGGCGCTGGGAACCGGGGGGGGATTTTTGGGGTGTCCTGGGCAGGGCCAGGACGCTTGGACTGGATGATCCTGGTGGGTCCCTGCCCACTCAGGATATTCCCTGGTATTGTTGTGGGTGGGTTCACACGGTTTTTTTGGGTTATTTCGCCCGTTTTTGGGGTGGGTTCACACGTTTTAGGGTGAGTTCACACATTTTTGGGTGGATTCATACATTTTAGGGAGGGTTCACCCGTTTTTGGGTTGTTTCACCCGTTTTTAGGTGATTTCACACGTTTTAGGGTAAGTTCACCCGTTTTAGGGTGAGTTCACACATTTTAGGGTGAGTTCACACGTTTTGGGGTGGGTTCACACGTTTTAGGGTGGATTCACACATTTTAGGGTTGTTTCACCCGTTTTAGGGTGAGTTCACACGTTTTAGGGTTGTTTCACCCGTTTTTGGGTGGGTTCCTACGTTTTAAGGTGGATTCACACATTTTAGGGTTGTTTCACCCGTTCTAGGGTAAGTTCACCCGTTTTAGGGTGAGTTCCACATTTTAGGGTGAGTTCACACGTTTTTTGGTGAGTTCACACATTTCAGGGTGGCTTCACAGACACCGTGGGAGATCCCAGGAGCCCCTCACACCCCAAACCCTCTGTCCGAACTCTTCTCGAAGCTCCAACCCCCACCCCGCCCCCTTTTAAAATCCGTCTCCCAAATCCTCCCGAGGAAATCTGCGGTCCCCAGGGAGGGAAATCAAAACCCGGCGTGTGAATGATGCGTTCGGTTTATTGAAGGTACAGCTGAAAGGCGGAGAAGGGCGATCGACCCCGCTCGTTTAACACATGAAAAAAAAAAAAAGCTTTTTAAACCCGTCTGGGAAAGAACAAACAAACCAGCTCATGCATTATTAACCCACAGGAACGTAAGGTGCTCTCGCCGGGCCGTAATTAAAACTCTGCTCTGCCCAAACCCGGTGTAGCAACTCGGACCGATTTACATGGAAAGTGTTCCCGACCCTCCGGGAAATAGGGAAAAAAAAAAAATAATTGCCTTTTCTGCTTGTTCATTAAAGGAGCTTAAATTACAGCTTCGCCTCGGACAATTAAACCGCGGCTTTTCTCTCTCTGTCTCTCTCTGTCTGTGAAGTCGGGATGACCCAAAAAAATAAATTTCTCATCCTTTTGCAAGAAGGGGTTGAAGGGGGAAGGGAGGAAAATCCCTGCCGGGAAGGGGTGAGGGCAGGGAAGGGCCACTCGGGACGCGTGGAGAGAGGGATGGGCTGTGAAATGAAAACCTCGCCTGGCTGAGGGCGCGGGAGGGGAAGGTTCGGGAGGGGGAGAGGGAGGAGGACGCGACGGGGAGGGCGGGTTTTGGTCACGAGAAGAAGAAGAAGAAAAGAGTTCGTGGCAGAGCGTGGTTGTGATGCCTGGAGCTGTCTTGGGGTGGGGAGATCGGGGAAAGGGGGGGGGGACACAAAACACTGATTTATTTATTTATTTTTAACGATGCCGGTCCTTTTCTCTACCGGCTCGTCCTGACCACGCGCACGGCCGTGCCGAACCTGCCCGCCGCCCCGCACAGCCCCGCGCCGGGGATCAGCACCGCGCCCGGCCCGCACTGCTCCACGCCGCCGCCGCCGCCGCACACCAGGTTGCCCACGGCGCCCCCCAGGTTGCCCACGGCGCCCCCCAGGTTGCCCACGGGCGGCCCGCACTGCACCCCTCCGTCCACCACGCCCGGCATCACCTCGCGGCCCACGCAGCCCACGGAGCTGCGGGCGCCGAAGCCGCCGCCGCCGCCGCCCACCTTGGGCAGGCAGTCCACGCTGCGGGCGCTGAACCCCGCGGCGTGGGCGCCGAACCCCGCGGCGTGGGCGCCGAACGGCGAGCCCAAAGCCAGCCCCAGGCCGGCCCCAGCCCCGCCCGCCTTCACCGAGCATTTGGTGCCGCCCAGCCCCGACAGGGAGCGGCACTCGCCGACGGTGCCGCCGCCGCTCACCACGGCTGCGAGGGGAGAGGAAATAAAATAAATAAAATAAATTAAAAAAAAGGAATTAAACAAAATAATTAAAAAAAAAACACAAAAAACCCCCCAAAGAATAAATTAAAATTAAATTAAATTTAAAAAAAAGAAATTAAACAAAATAATAATAAAAAAAAAAAACACAAAAAAACCCCCCAAAGAATAAATTAAAATTAAATTAAATTAAAAAAAAAGAAATTAAACAAAATAATTTAAAAAAAAACCCACAAAAAACCCCCCAAAAAATAAATTAAAATTAAATTAAATTTAAAAAAAAATTAAACAAAATAATTAAAAAAAAACCACAAAAACCCCAAAGAATAAATTAAAATTAAATTAAATTTAAAAAAAAATTAAGCAAAATAATTAAAAAAAACACAAAAAAAACCCCAAAGAATAAATTAAAATTAAATTAAATTTTAAAAAAAATTAAGCAAAATAATTTAAAAAAAACATTAAAAACCCCAAAGAACAAAAAAAAAAAAAAAAAACAAAAACCACCACACAAAACCAAAACGCGCACACACACAAAAACAAAACAAAAAAACCCAAAACAAAAGCTACAAAAAATCCCCACACAAAAAAACCAACCAAAAAAACCCAAAAACAAGCCACAAAAAACCCACACACGCAAAAAAAAAAAAAAAAAACCAAGCCACGAAAAAAACACACACGCAAAAAAAACACCCAAAAAACCCCCCCCCCAAAAAAGCAAAAACAAAAAACCCCAAACAAACAAACAACAACAAAAAAAACAAGCCACAAAAAACACACACACGCAAAAAAAAAAAAAAAACCCACGAAAATAAAAAAAACCCACACATAAAAAACCTCCCCCAAAACCAAACCAAACAAAACGCCCAAAACAAAGAGAACAAAAAAAACCAAACAAAAAACCAAAAAAACCCCAAACCGAAACAAAAAAATGCCCACAAAAACCCCCCAAAATCACCAAAAAAACCCCGAAAAATAATAATAAAAAAGCAAACAAACAAAAAAAACCAAAAAATACCCACAAAAAACCCCCCCCCACACACAAAAAAAAACCCCAAAACACAAAAAACCTCAAACCCAAAGCAAAAACCCCACAAACAAACAAATAAAAAAAAACAAGGCTCGGTCACTCGCAGGAAGGGCAAAAACCCCGCTCGGTTCGGGGGAGGGGGATTTAAATCGGGGTTTAAGCGGTGGGATTTGGGATTTGGGGATTCGAGGGAAATGAAGAGGGCGTGGGATTCCACTCACCTACGCTGACGGGGTTGCCGGTGCATATCCTGTGGAGAGGGGGGAAAAAAAGACGTCTCAAGGGAAATATTCACCAAATAGGGGGATGTTCAGAGCGAATCGAGGTCCTTCAGCACCTTCGGGGCTGGTTCGGATGGCCCGGACAGGGGGTGGGGTCCCAAAATGTCGCGGACATCCCGAGCATCCCACGTTCCTTTTGGATGGGGGGTTAAAGTGTTTGGGGTGGGGGGTCTGAGTGCAGAGGGAGTGGAGCTCGGGGAGGAGGAGGAGGAGGAGGAGGAGGAGGGAAGGGGGTCGATGGTCCCCTCTGCACCCACAGGGTGAGAAAAGGGATGAAAATACACCCAACTCTGCACCCAGGGGGTGAGAAAAGGGGACAATGCACCCCTCTGCACCCCAGGGTGGGAAAAGGGATAAAAATACACTCAACTCTGCACCCACGGGGTGAGAAAAGGGGACCCTGCTCCCCTCTGCACCCATGGAGAGAGAAAAGGGACCCTGCTCCCCTCTGCACCAACAGGGAGAGAAAAGGGATAAAAATACACCCAGCTCTGCACCCATGGGTGAGAAAAGGGATAAAAATACACCCAACTCTGCACCCATGGGGTGAGAAAAGGGACCCTGCACCCATAGGGTGAGAAAGGGGACCCTGCTCCCCTCTGCACCAACAGGGTGAGAAAAGGGATGAAAATACACCCAACTCTGCACCCATGGGGTGAGAAAAGGGGACCCTGCTCCCTCTGCACCCATGGAGAGAGAACAGGGATAAAAAATACACCCAACTCTGCACCCAGGGGGTGAGAAAAGGGACCCTGCACCCACAGGATGAGAAAAGGCACCCTGCTCCCCCTCTTGCACCCCCGAGGTTCATCCTTTCCCCCCTTTCCCGCGGGGTTTTTCCCATCCACCCTCACCAGGCGTATCCCGACCGCTCCCACCTGCTCTCCTCTCCCTCCAGCAGCGTCCTGTACGTGGCGATCTCGATGTCCAGGGCCAGCTTGACGTTGAGCAGCTCCTGGTAGTCCCTGAGCAGGCAGGCCATCTTGTCCTTGGCCTGCTGCAGGGCGGTCTGCAGGTCCACGTGCTTCTGCCGCGCGTCCTTCAGCGCGCAGTCCCCGCGCTGCTCGGCGTCGCAGATGGCCGTCTGCAGGGCCGAGATCTGGGGGTGCAGGGATAGGGGGGACAGAGTTCCGGGTCAGAAGGCACCTCCAAGCCCCTCTGATCCCACCCCCAGCGTTTTCTGAGGCGGTTTCAAGCCACGTCCAAACCGGCCTTGGGGGGCGTCAATGGGGATGTCCACGGGGTTGTTCCTCTACTCCTCATTTCTCAGTGAGGAAGTGCCAGGGAGCCTGGATTTTGGATGGATTGGTGGTGGCCAGTGGGGATATCAACAGGGACCTCCACAGGGTTGCTGCTGTAACCCCTCATTTCTCAACTAGAAAGTGCCAGAGAGCCGGGATTTTGGATGGATTGGTGGTGGCCAGGGGGGATGTCAACAAGGATCTCCACAGGTTTGCTCCTTCACCCCTCATTTCTCAGCCAGAAAGTGCCAGGAAGCCAAGATTTAGGCTGGATTGGTGGTGGCCAGAGGACATCAACAGGATCTCCACGGGGTTGCTCCTCTACTCCTCATTTCTCAGATAGAACTACCAGGGAACCTGGATTTTGGATGGATTGGTGGTGGCCAGTGGTGATATTGAGGTATCTCCACAGGGTTGCTGCTGTAACCCCTCATTTCTCAACTAGAAAGTGCCAGGGAGCCAAGATTGGTGGTGGCCAAGGGGGATATCAACAAGGATCTCCACAGGTTTGCTCCTTCACCCCTCATTTCTCAGCCAGAAAGTGCCAGGGAGCCCAAATTTCAGCTGGATTTGGGGTGGCCAAGCAGTTTGAGAAATAAATCTGCGTTTTCGTGTGTCTTTGAAGCATTTTCGTGTGCATTTGAAGGCATTTTTGTGTGCATTTTGCGTCTTTGAAAGTCTTTTTTTGTGCATTTTTTGTGCATCTGAAGCGGTTTTGTGCACATTTGAAGCGTTTTTTTGTGCATTCTGCGCGTCTTTGAACCCTTTTGTGTGCATTTTGGGTGCATTTGAAGCGTTTTTGTGTGCGTTTTATGTGTCTTTGAACCATTTCCTGTGCACTTGGAGTGCATTTGAAGCGTTTCTGTGCATTTTGTGTGCATTTTTGTGCATTTTGTGTGTCTCTGAACCCTTTTGTGTGCATTTTGTGTGCATTTGAAGCTCCTTTTTGTGCATTTTGTGTGCATTTGAAGCATTTTTGTGTGCATTCTGTGTGCCTTTGAAGCCACAAACACTCAGTCTGCAGGCAGGGGGGTCGGTGAGGACGGGTGGGACCCGGTGATGACGAAACCCCTTTGATGGAGGAGTTTTCCCACCTCCCACCCCACCCTCCCCCGTGGGACCCAAGCCCTTTTTGTCCCTACCTGCTTCTTGACGTTGTCAGACTCGCACTGCAGCTTCTGGATCATCCTGTTGAGCTCGGCGATCTCGCTCTGGTTGTTCCTCAGGTCGTCACAGAACTTGCCCCGGCTGCTGTGCAGCTCCTCCAGCTGTTCAGGACGATGGGAACGTGCCCAAATTGTCCCCTTTCCAGGGCCATCCTCCACCCCACCTCACCCACCGTCCCTCCCAGGGATTCCGGGCACAACCTCGACCTCAAACCGCCTCGAGATGTCGGGTTTGGGGGGGCTTTTTGGGGTTGTTGTTTTTTGGGTTTTTTTTGGCCAGGGTTTTCTTCAGGTGACACTGAGGGGGTCCAAGGTGTGACCCTGAAAGGTCCAAGGTGTGACCCTGAAAGGTCCAAGGTGTGACACTGAGGGAGTCCAAGGTGTGACCCTGAGGGGGTCCAAGGTGTGACCCTGAGGGGTCCAAGGTGTGACCCTGAGGGGATCCAAGGTGTGACACTGAGGGAGTCCAAGGTGTGACCCTGAGGGGTCCAAGGTGTGACATTGAGGGGTTCAAGGTGTGACACTGAGGGGTCCAAGGTGTGACATTGAGGGGTTCAAGGTGTGACACTGAGGGGTCCAAGGTGTGACCCTGAAAGGTCCAAGGTGTGACTCTGAGGGGTCCAAGATGTGACCTCACAGCTCTGTGTGACACCAGTGGGTCCAAGGTGTGACCCTGAGGGGTCCAAAGTATGACACTGAGGGGTCCAAGGTGTGACACCAGTGGGTCCAAAGTGTGACCCTGAGGGGACCAAGATGTGACCCTGAGGGGGTCCAAGGTGTGACCCTGAGGGGTCCAAGGTGTGACCCTGAGGGGTCCAGGATGTGACCCTTAGGGGTCCAAGGTGTGACCCTGAGGGGTCCAAGATGTGACCCCACAGCTCTGTGTGACACCAATGGATCCAAGGTGTGACTCTGAGGGGTCCAAGGTGTGACCCTGAGGGGTCCAAGATGTGACACTGAGGGGTTCAAGATGTGACCCCAAGGGGGTCCAAGGTGTGACCTTGAGGGGTCCAAAGTATGACACTGAGGGGGTCCAGGATGTGACCCTGAAAGGTCCAAGGTGTGACCCCACAGCTCTGTGTGACACCAATGGGTCCAAGGTGTGACACCAGTGGGTCCAAGGTGTGACCCCACAGCTCTGTGTGACACCAGTGGGTCCAAGGTGTGACATTGAGGGGTCCAAGGTGTGACCCCACAGCTCTGTGTGACACCAGTGGATCCAAGGTGTGACACCAGTGGGTCCAAGGTGTGACCCCACAGCTCTGTGTGACACCAGTGGGTCCAAGGTGTGACCCCACAGCTCTGTGTGACCCCAGTGGGTCCAAGGTGTGACCCCAGTGGGTCCAAGGTGTGACCTCACAGCTCTGTGTGACACCAAGGGGGTCCAAGATGTGACCCTGAGGGGTCCAAGGTGTGACCCTGAGGGGTCCAAGGCGTGACACCAATGGAGTCCAAGGTGTGACCCCCCAGCTCTGTGTGACACCAGTGGGTCCAAGGTGTGACCCTGAGGGGTCCAAGACATGACCCCCCAGCTCTGTGTGACACCAGTGGGTCCAAGGTGTGACCCTGAGGGGTCCAAGGTGTGACCCCACAGCTCTGTGTGACCCCAGTGGGTCCAAGGTGTGACACCAGGGGGTCCAAGGTGTGACCCTGAGGGATCCAAGACATGACCCCCCAGCTCTGTGTGATACCAGTGGATCCAAGGTGTGACCCTGAGGGGTCCAAGATGTGACACCAGTGGATCCAAGACGTGACCCCCCAGCTCTGTGTGACACCAATGGGTCCAAGGTGTGACACCAGGGGGTCCAAGGTGTGACACCAGTGGGTCCAAGGTGTGACACTGAGGGGTCCAAGACATGACCCCACAGCTCTGTGTGACACCAATAGATCCAAGGTGTGACCTCCCAGGTCTGTATGACACCAGTGGGTCCAAGATGTGACCCCACAGCTCTGTGTGACACCAGTGGGTCCAAGGTGTGACATTGAGGGGTCCAAGGTGTGACCCCCCAGCTCTGTGTGACACCAGTGGGTCCAAGGTGTGACATTGAGGGGTTCAAGATGTGACCCCAGTCAGTGTGACCCAGGGGTCCAAGGTGTGACACTGAGTGGGTCCAGGATGTGACATTGAGGTCTAGTGTGACCCAGTCAGTGTGACCCACTCAAGGTGTGACACCAGTGTGTGACTCCAGTGGGTCCAGTATGACCTAGTCGTGTGACCCAGGGGTCCAAGTGTGACACAGGGGTCAAGATGGACCCTGAGGGGCCAAGGTGACACTCATAGCCATGTGACACCAGTGGGTCCAAGGTGTGACATCGAGGTCAGATGTGACCCAGGGGTCCAGTGTGACACCAGTGGATCCAGGTGTGACCCTGAGGGGCCAAGGTGTGACACTGAGGGGTCCAAGGTGTGACCCCCAGCTCTGTGTGACACCAGAGGGTCCAAGGTGTGACCCCCCAGCTCTGTGTGACACCAGTGGGTCCAAGGTGTGACATTGAGGGGTCCAAGGCATGACCCCCCAGCTCTGTGTGACACCAATGGATCCAAGGTGTGACTCTGAGGGGTCCAAGGTGTGACCCCACAGCTCTGTGTGACACCAATGGGTCCAAGGTGTGACCCCAGTGGGTCCAAGGTGTGACCCCACAGCTCTGTGTGACACCAATGGGTCCAAGGTGTGACCCCCCAGCTCCAAACCGCAGCGTGGGGAGCGCCAGAGCCGCTTTGGGGGCGGGGGCGTCCCCAAAGCTTTGCTAACTCTATCTGGGAGGTGGAGCTCACTCACCCTGGTCTGGTAGAAAGCCTCCACCTCGGCCTTGCTCTTCTGGGCGATCTCCTCGTAGCAGCACTCCACGCTCTTGATGATGCCCTCCATGTCCAGGTCGCGGCTGTTGTCCATTTGCACGATGACAGAGGTGTCACACAGCTGGCAGTCCAGCTGGGCCCTCTCCTGGGGGGGGAACACGGGGGGGGGGGCGTCAGTGCTGGCCCTGGGCACCCAGTAACCCCAGTAATCCCAGTACCCCAGTAATCCCATCCCTGACACCCCCAGTACCCCCAGTCCCATCCCTGACACCTCCAGTACCCCCAGCACCCCCAGCACCTCCAGCCCCATCCCTGACACCCCCAGTACCCCCAGCACCATCCCTGACACCCCAGTACCCCCAGTACCCCCAGTAATCCCATCCTGGCCCTAGTACTCCAATAACCCCATCCTGACACCCCCAGTACCCCCAGCCCCATCTCTGACACCCCCAGTACCCCAAATAACCCCATCCCTGACACCCCCAGTACCCCAGCCTCCATCCCTGACACCCCAGTACCTCCAGCTGGTACCCCATCCCCAGACATCCCTCAGCACCTCCAGCTACCTCCCAGTACCCCCAGCCCTGGCAGCCTCAGCACCTCCAGCACCCCAGTACCCCATCCCCATCCTGACACCAGCACCCCAGTAACCCCATCCTGACACCCCAGTACCCCCGCACCCCCATCCCTGCACCCAGTACCCCCAGTACCCCAGTACCCCATCCCTGACACCCCCAGCACCCCAGTACCCCCAGTACTCCATCACGACACCCCAGTATCCTCGGCACCCCGGTACCCCAGCCCACCCTTGACACCTCCAGCACCCCAGCCCTGGCACCCATCCCCCAGCCCTCGGCAACCCCAGTAATCCCATCCCTGACACCCCAGCACCCCAGTACCCCAGTACCCCCATCCCTGACACCCCCAGTATCCCCAGCACCCGGGTACCCCATAGCCCAGCCCTTGGCACCCCCAGCACCTCCAGCCCCTGACACCCCAGTATCCCTCAGCCCCAGCACCCCACTGACCCCCAGTACCCCCAGCCCCATCCCTGACACCCCAGTACCCCAGTCCCCCAGCAATCCCTCCTATACCCCAGCACCCCGGTACCCCCAACCAGCCCTTGGCACCTCCAGCACGTCCAGCACCTTGGCACCTCAGTACCCCCAGCCCTCGGCAGCCCCAGCACCCCCATCCCTGACACCCCAGCACCCCCAGTACCCACAGTAACCCCATCCCTGACACCCCCAGTATCCCCAGCACCCCGGGTACCCCAAAACCCAGCCCTTGGCACCTCCAGCACCTCCAGCCCTGACACCACCAGTATCCCCAGTTAACCCCAGTCCTGGTCCTTGGTACCCCAGCACCCCTCAGTACCCCCAGTAGCCCCAGCACCCCCATCCCTGACACCCCCAGTACCCCTAGCACCCCAGCCCCGACCCTTAGCACCCCCAGCACCTCCAGTACCCCCATCCCTGACACCTCCAGTACCCCCAGTACCCCAAGGACCCCCATTCCTGACACCTCCAGCACCCCCAGTACCCCAGCCCTCGGCATCCCCAGCACCCCCAGTACCTCCAAGCACCCCCAGTACCCCCAGCTCTGGCACCCCAGCACCCTCAGTACCCCCGGTACCCCCAGCACCCCAGTACCCCATCCCTCGGCACCCCCAGCACCCCCAGTATCTCAAGCACCCCAGTACCCCCAGTTCTGGCACCCCAGCACCCTCAATACCCTCAGCACCCCAGTATCCCCAGTACCCCCAGCCCTGGCACCCCCAGCACCCTCAGCACCCCCAGCACCCCCAGTACCCCCAAACCCCAGCCCTCGGCACCCCAGCCCTGGCCCTTGGCACCTCCAGTACCCCCAGTACCCCAAGGACCCCCATCCCTGACACCTCCAGCACCCCCAGTACCCCCATCCCTGGCACCCTCAGCCCTGGCCCTCAGCACCCCCAGCACCTCCAGTACCCCCAGTCCCGGCTCTTGGCACCCCCAGCACCTCCAGTACCCCCAGTACCCTCAGCACCTCCAGTAATGTAAAAAAATATTTAGAAAGTAAAAAAAAAAAAAAAAGGAAAAAACAGTAAAAAAATGTAATGTAAAAAAAGTAAAAAAATAGTAAAAAAGTGTAATGTAAAAAATATTTAAAGAGTGAAAAATAATTAAAAAGTGTAATGTAATAAAATGTTTAAGAAGTAAAAAAAGAGTAAAAAGTAGTAAAAATGTAGTGTAAAGAGTATATTAAAAAAGTAAAAAAAGGTTAAAAAAGTTAAAAAAGTAAAAAATACGTAATGTAAAAAATATTTTAAAAGTAAAAAAAAAGGAAAAAAATAGTAAAACGGAATTTTAAAAGCAAAAAAAAAAGTAAAAAAATTTAAAAAAATGTATTAAAAGAGCAAAAATAAATTCAACGTTAAAAAAAAGGGACGATGCGGATTCGAATTCGGGAGCGGAGCCCGCAGCTCTTACCTCGGCGTAGATGCACTTGAGGAACTCGAGCTGCTGCCGCAGGAGCCCCACCCGCACCTCCAGCTCCTCCTTGGTCAGGTACAGACAATCCACGTCCTGCCGAGACATCGGGAACCCCCCGTCAGAGGGGCTGGGGGCAACCCCCGGCTTTCCTGATCGACCCGAGGGGAAAAAACTCCCCATTTCCACCCCTACGGGGATTTGTGTTTTAAAAAAACCCAAAACTTCCCAATTTCCAACCCATCAGGGATTTGTGTTTGAAAAAAACCCAAAAACCTCCCCATTTCCAACCCATCAGGGATTTGTGTTTGAAAAAATCCCAAAAACGTCCCCATTTCCAACCCCCCGGGGGATTTGTGTTTGAAAAAATCCCAAAAACTTCCCCATTTCCAACCCCTCGGGGATTTGTGTTTTAAAAAAACCCAAAACTTCCCACTTTCCAACCCCCCGAGGGATTTGTGTTTAAAAAAACCCCAAAAACCTCCCCATTTCCAACCCCCCAGGGATTTGTGTTTAAAAAAACCCCAAAAACCTCCCCATTTCCAACCCCCCGGGGTATTTGTGTTTAAAAAAACCCAAAAACCTCCCCATTTCCAACCCCCCGGGGGATTTGTGTTTAAAAAAAAACCCCAAAACCTCCCCATTTCCAACCCCCTGGGGGATTTGTGTTTGAAAAAACCCCCCAAAAACCTCCCCATTTCCAACCCCCCGGCGGATTTGTGTTTAAAAAAAAACCCCGGGGGATTTTATGTTTTAAAAAACCCCCAAAACCTCCCCATTTCAACCCCCCCAAGGAATTTCTGTTTAATAAAACCCCAAAAACCTCCCCATTTCCAACCCCGGAAATTTGCGTTTAAAACCCCGGGGGATTTGATGTTTTAAAAAACCCCAAAACCTCCCCATTTCAACCCCCGAGGGATTTCTGTTTAATAAAACCCCAAAAACCTCCCCATTTCCAACCCAAAAAACCCCAAAAACCTCCCCATTTCCAACCCCCCGGGGGATTTGTGTTTAAAAAAACCCCAAAATTTCCCAATTTCCAACCCCCCGGGGGATTTGTGTTTAAAAAACCCCCAAAACCTCCCCATTTCCAACCCCCTCAGGGGATTTGTGTTTAAAAAAACCCCCAAAAACCTCCCCATTTCCAACCCAAAAACCCCCAAAACCTCCCCATTTCCAACCCCCCAGGGGATTTGTGTTTAAAAAAACCCCAAAACCTCCCCATTTCCAACCCCCGGGGATTTGTGTTTAAAAAAACCCCAAAAACCTCCCCATTTCCAACCCCCCAAGGAATTTCTGTTTAATAAAACCCCAAAAACCTCCCCATTTCCAACCCCTCAGGGATTTGTGTTTAAAAAAACCCCAAAAACCTCCCCATTTCCAACCCCCCGGGGGAATTTGTGTTTAAAAAAAACCCCAAAAACCTCCCCATTTCCAACCCCCCCGGGGGATTTGTGTTTGAAAAAATCCCAAAAACCTCCCCATTTCCAACCCCCCCAGGGATTTGTGTTTGAAAAAATCCCAAAACCTCCCCATTTCCAACCCCCCGGGGGATTTTATGTTTAAAAAACCCCAAAATCCTCACGGGGGGGTCTCCGGATTGCGGGAGTCGCCTCATTTTTGGGGCTGCCCGGGTGAGGTTTTGCCCAAATCTCTCCTGGCCCTTTTTTTTCCCCCTGGATTTTCCCTCTCCCCTCTTTTATCCTCTCCCCCAGGTCGGGGTTTCACCTTTTTGAGCACCACGAACTCGTTCTCGGCCGCCGTGCGCTTGTTGATCTCGTCCTCGTACCTGCAGGGGGGAGGAGAGAGAAAATAAGGGGGGTCCTGAGCCCTGGAGGGGGTCCCACCTCCATCCCCCACGGGAAGTGAGATTTGGCTTGGCACCTCTTTTTTATTTTTATTTTTATTTTATTTATTTTTATTTTTATTTTTATTCTTGTTTTTATTTTATTTTTAATTTTTATTTTTATTTTTATTTTTATTTTTATTTCCATTATTATGATGATTTAATAATTATTATTATCACTTTTATTTTTATTTTTATTCTTGTTTTTATTTTTATTTTTATTTTTATTTTTATTTCCATTATTATGATGATTTAATTATTATTATTATCATTTTTATTTTTATTTTTATCTTTATTTTTATTTCCATTATTATTATGATTTAATTATTATTATTTATATTATTATTTTTAGTTTTATTTGATTATTATTTCTATTATTATTTATTTATTTATTATTATTTCTATTATTATTTTTTTGTTTAATTTGATTATTATTTCTATTATTATTTTTGTTTTATTTAATTATTATTCTTTCTATTATTATTATTTTAGTTTTATTTGATTATCATTAGTTCTATTATTATTATTATTGTTTTATTTAATTATTATTATTTCTATTATTATTCTTTTTAGTTTTATTTGATTATTATTTATATTATTATTTTTAGTTTTATTTAATTTCTATTTATTATTATTATTATTTCCATTATTATTATGATTTTATTATTATTATCATTTTTATTTTTATTTTTATCTTTATTTCCATTATTATTATGATTTAATTATTGTTATTTCTATTATTATTTTTTAGTTTTATTTAATTATTATTATTTCTATTATTATTATTTTTTAGTTTTATTTGATTATTATTTCTATTATTATTAGTTTTATTTGATTATTATTATTTCTATTATTATTATTTTTAGTTTTATTTAATTTTTTAATTTATATTATTATTAAATTTTTTTTTTATTTTTTTTTTTTGCTTTGTCACCGTTTTTTTTTCCCCTCCACACTTTTCACTCAGCAATTTTAAACGTTCCACACCAACGCTCGGACCGCTGGAGGGAGGGGCTGGTTTGGAGTCACAAAGGGCACAAAAATCCGCCCAAACCACGAGAATTCCAAAGGCCCCGTCCCGGGCTGGAGGCTTGGGCTGGGCTCTGCTTTGTGAGGTGTCCTTCTGAAGGACTCTGCTCGCTCAGAGGGTTTTTTTTGGGGGGTGGCCAAAACACCCCGGGAGGAAGGAGAGGGGAAAAGGGGTCAGTCAGGGGATTGAGCAAGCCCTGAAACACCCGGGGCAGGGCGAGGAAGGTCAGGCAGCGATGAATCGGTCACTGGGACCTGTCAGAGATCCCCCAGGACCAGCTGGACCTTTTTTGGGGGGATGGATCGGTAGGAAAAGGGCTGTCAAAACTGGAGTTTTTTTTTTGGGATTGGCTCAGCAGAAAAAGGGCTGTCAAAGCTGGACCTTTTTTGAGTTTGGTTCGGTAGGAAAAGGGCTGTCAAAGCTGGAAGTTTTTTTTTTGGGGTGGGGGTTGGCTCGGCAGAAAAAGGGCTCTCAAAGCTGGAGGTTTTTTGGGTTTAGCTCGGTAGGAAAAGGGCTGTCAAAGCTGGAGCTTTTTTGGGTTTGACTCGGCAGGAAAAGGGTTGTCAAAGCTGGACCTTTTTTGGGTTTGGCTCTTTAGGAAAAGGGCTGTCAAACCTGGACCTTTTTTGGGTTTGGCTCGGTAGGAAAAGGGCTGTCAAAGCTGGAGCTTTGTTTTTTGAGGGGTGGCTCGGTAGGAAAAGGGCTGTCAAAGCTGGACCTTTTTTGGGTTTGGCTCGGTAGGAAAAGGGCTGTCAAAGCTGGACCTTTTTTAGCGGGGGGGTGGCTCGGCAGGAAAAGGGCTGTCAAAGCTGGACCTTTTTTGGGTTTGGCTCGGCAGGAAAAGGGCTGTCAAAGCTGGACCTTTTTTGGGTTTGGCTCTTTAGGAAAAGGGCTGCCAAAGCTGGACCTTTTTTGGGTTTGGCTCGATAGGAAAAGGGCTGTCAAAGCTGGACCTTTTTTGGGTTTGACTCGGCAGGAAAAGAGCTGTCAAAGCTGGACTTTTTTTTGGGGGGGGTGGCTCGGTAGGAAAAGGGCTGTCAAAGCTGGACCTTTTTTTTGGGGTGGGGGTGACTCGGCAAGAAAAAGGCTGCCAAAGCTGGACCTTTTTTGGGTTTGGCTCGGTAGGAAAAGGGCTGTCAAAGCTGGACCTTTTTTGGGTTTGGCTCGGCAGGAAAAGGGCTGTCAAAGCTGGACCTTTTTTGGGTTTGGCTCGGTAGGAAAAAGAGCTGTCAAAGCTGGACCTTTTTTGGGTTTGGCTCGGCAGGAAAAGGGCTGTCAAAGCTGGACCTTTTTTGGGTTTGGCTCGGCAGGAAAAGGGCTGTCAAAACTGGACCTTTTTATTTGGGGCGTGGCTCGTTAGGAAAAGGGCTGTCAAAGCTGGACCTTTCTTAGGTTTGGCTCGTTAGGAAAAGGGCTGTCAAAGCTGGACCTTTTTTTTTGAGGGGGGTTGGCTCGGCAGGAAAAGGGCTGTCAAAGCTGGACCTTTTTTGGGTTTGGCTCGGTAGGAAAAGGGCTGTCAAAGCTGGACCTTTTTTGGGTTTGGCTCGGTAGGAAAAGGGCTGTCAAAGCTGGACCTTTTTTGGGTTTGACTCGTTGGGAAAAGGGCTGTCAAAGCTGGACCTTTTTTGGGTTTGGCTCGGTAGGAAAAGGGCTGTCAAAGCTGGACCTTTTTTGGGTTTGGCTCTTTAGGAAAAGGGCTGTCAAAGCTGGACCCTTTTTGGGTTTGGCTCGGTAGGAAAAGGGCTGACAAAGCTGGACCTTTTTTTTTGAGTTTGGGTGACTCGGTAGGAAAAGGGCTGTCAAAGCTGGACCCTTTTGGGTTTGGCTCGGTAGGAAAAGGGCTGACAAAGCTGGACCTTTTTGGGTTTGGCTCGGCAGGAAAAGGGCTATCAAAGCTGGACCCTTTTTGGGTTTGGCTCGGTAGGAAAAGGGCTGACAAAACTGGACCTTTTTTGGGTTTGGCTCGGCAGGAAAAGGGCTGTCAAAGCTGGACCTTTTTTGGGTTTGGCTCGGTAGGAAAAGGGCTGTCAAAGCTGGACCTTTTTTGGGTTTGGCTCGGTAGGAAAAGGGCTGTCAAAGCTGGACCTTTTTTCGGGGGGGTGGCTCGGTAGGAAAAGGGCTGTCAAAGCTGCAGCTTTTTTGGGTTTGGCTCGGCAGGAAAAGGGCTGTCAAAGCTGGAGCTTTTTTGGGTTTGGCTCGGCAGGAAAAGGGCTGTCAAAACTGGAGTTTTTTTGGGGGGATGGATCGGTAGGAAAAGGGCTGTCCAAACTGGACCTTTTTTGGGTTTGGCTCGGCAGGAAAAGGGCTGTCAAAGCTGGACCTTTTTTGGGTTTGGCTCGGTAGGAAAAGGACTGTCAAAGCTGGAGTTTTTTTGGGGTGGGGGTGGCTCGGTAGGAAAAGGGCTGTCAAAGCTGGACCTTTTTTGGGTTTGGCTGGGCAGGAAAAGGGCTGTCAAAGCTGGAGGTTTTTTGGGTTTGGCTCGGCAGAAAAGGGCTGTCAAACCCCCCTGGAGAAAGGGCTGTCGGGGTGGCCTTGGCTGCGGCATCCAGGGTGCCAAACCCACTCCCACTCCCACGTTCCCCCCCGGGAAAGGGGGATCGGACCCCCCAGCACCGCGTGGGGTGGAGATGAGGGGGCTGAGGGTGTTGTGGGGCGGGAGAGCCCGGGGGGATCCACAGGGGAGGGAGATGTGACGTGGGAGGGAGGGGAAAAAACAGCTCCCTGCTCCTCTTTCCCAAGGAAACCGCAGCTGAGGAGCGATCCCGCTCCACCTCCAGCGCTTGTGGGGGCAGTGCCGGGACCCCAACACAAGAAACCAGCCCGGTGTCCCGGATTTTGGACACTCCCAGTGCCACCTCCTGGGATTTCCCCCCCATCCCCTCTCGGGAGCTCAGGTTCCCCTCTGGCCGGGACCTACTTGCACTTGAACTCCTGGACCAGGTCCCGGAGGCAGCGCTCCTCGTTCTCCAGCCTCTCCCTCTCCCCCATCACGCACTCCAGCTGCTTCCTGAGGTTGCAGATGAAGTTCTCGAAGACGGGCTCGAGGTTCCTGCGGGAGGCTGGCAGGACGTACTGCTGCAGCAGCTCCCACTTGGTGGTCAGCACCTTGTTCTGCTGCTCCAGCAGCCTCACCTGGAGGTGGGGGGAGGTCGGGAGAAGGTTGGGAAAGGGCAGAAAACCCCCCTTGGGGTTTTTTTTCCACTTGGAAAAGTGGGGGGGAGGAAAAAAACCCAATCGGAATTGCAAATGGTTCAGCGCAGGGAGAGCGGGACCGGCACCCACCCACCCACCCACCCACCCAGGACTCGAATCACAGGCTGAGCAACATCAAAATCCGTGACCAGACAACCTCCCCTCCTCTTGGAGAGGATCCGCGGCCCCCCTCGGCGGGCCCAGGGCACAAAGGAACCTCTCCTGAGCACCCAAATCTCCGTCCCGGATCTGGTTTGGGTGTAGCTGATCTGAGCTCCAAACCGCGGGCACTTTAATCGTGCATTTTGAAGATTAAAGGCTCTCTCTCCCGGGTCATGAATAAGTCATTTCTCCGGCGGGAAGCTGCTCCTCCCGGGCCGGTTTGGTTTTTCCAGCTGCTCTCTGAGCGGATCAGACGCAGCAAATTTGCTTTGGAAAAAAAAAAAAAATCGTCTCCCAGAACAGGTCCCCGAACAGGCAAACCCTTAAATTTAGCCAAGGGAACAATGTTAAATTACGTGGGGTTTTTTTTAAAGAAATCATTCCCAGAGCGGAGGGACAGAGAAATTAAAATTATTCCCTTGATTTTGGCTAAATCTGCCCTTCCCCGTCTCGAAGGGGCACAGATTTAAGAATGCAAAATTACAGGTTTGGGGTTACACTCGGAATTAAAACTTCCTGGTTTTTCCTCTTTACATTCCCCCTGCCTCCATCCCTTCTCCCACGGCTCTGGATTTGCTGTATCCCTGGAGCTGCTCCTGGTGGAGCATCCCAAGGCACAGCCCTGGTGGTGCAAGGCTTAAATCCAGAGTGTCCCCAGGTCCATCAGAAGGGTTGGGGTGTGAGGCTGCCAGGAGAAAAATCTCCCAGGGAATCTCTGGATCATCTCCAGAGTCCGTTCCAACCCACCATTCCATGATTCCATGACCTTTCCCACTGGAAGGGGTCCCTGTCCGTGGCAGGGGGGTTGGAACTGGATCATCTTTACAGTCCTTCCAACCCAACCATGATTCCATGACCTTTCCCAGTGGGAATTGTCCCATGGCAAGGGGTGGAACTGGATCAACTTTATGGTCCTTTCCAACCCAAACCATTCCACTATTCCATGACCTTTCCCAGTGGGAATTGTCCCATAGCAGGGGGTTGGAACAGGATCGTCTTTAAGATCCTTCCCAACCCAAACCATTCCACAATTCCATGAGCTTTCCTTAATGGAAGGTGTTCCACGGCAGGGGTTGGAACTGGACCATGTTTAACATTCTTCCCAACCCAAACCACTCCAGGATTCCATGACCTTTCCTAGAGGGAAGTGTCCTTGTCCATGGAAGGGGTTGGAACTGGATCATGTTTAAAATCCTTCCCAACCCAAACCAAACCATTCCACGATTCCATGACCTTTCCTACTGGAAGGTGTCCCATGGCAGGGGTTGGAATGGGATCATGTTTAACATCCTTCCCAACCCAAACCATTCCATAATTCCATGATCTCTTCAAATGGAAGGTGTCCCAGAGCAGGGGGTTGGAACAGGATCATGTTTAAGATCCTTCCCAACCCAAGCCATTCCACGATTCCATGACCTTTCCCAGTGGGAATTGTCCCACGGCAGGGGTTGGAGCTGGACCATGTTTAACATCCTTCCCAATCCAAACCATTCCAGGATTCCATGATCTTTCCTAGAGGAAAGTGTCCTTGTCCATGGGAAGGGTTGAAATTGGATCATGTTTAAGATCCTTCCCAACCCAAACTGTTCCATAATTCCATGACCTTTCCAAGTAGGAACTGTCCCACAGCAGGGGTTGGAACAGGATCACGTTTAAAATCCTTCCCAACCCAAAAACCATTCCACAATTCCATGACCTTTCCTAATGGAAGGTGTCCCAACTGGCAGAGGTTGGAACAGGATCATGTTTGAGATCCTTCCCAACCCAAACCATTCCACTATTCCATGACCTTTGCCAGTGGGAATTGTCCCACAGCAGGGGTTGGAACAGGATCATGTTTAAGATCCTTCCCAACCCAAACCAAACCATTCCATGATTCCATGACCTTTGCCAGTGGAAATTGTCCCATGGCAAGGGGTGGAACTGGATCACATTGAAGATCCTTCCCAACCCAAAAAACTCCATAACTCCATGACCTTTCCTAATGGAAGGTGTCCCCACTGCAGGGATTGGAACAGGATCATGTTGAAGATCCTTCCCAACCCAAACCATTCCACGATTCCCTGACCTTTCCAAGTAGGAATTGTCCCACAGCCAGTGGAAATTGTCCTATGAGTAGCAGTGGAACTGGACTACTGAAGACCCTTCCCAGACCCAAAAAACTCCATAACTCCACGACCTTTCCTAATGGAAGGTGTCCCCACTGCAGTGGGTTGGAGCAGGATCATGTTGAAGAATCCTTCTCCCACCCAAACCATCTCCACCCATTCCATGACCTTTGCCAGTGGGAATTGTCCCACAGCAGGGGTTGGAACAGGATCACATTGAAGACCCTTCCCAAAGCAAACCATTCCATGATTCCATGACCTTTCCCCCTCCGGCAGGAGCCCCCCCGGGGGACACCCCACCCCCCGTCAGCGTGGCGGGGAGCCAGGAAAAGCCGTGCCCTCACCTTGTCGATGAAGCAGGCGAACTGGTTGTTGAGGTTCTTGATCTGCTCCTTCTCGTGGGTCCTCACTTGGCACTCCTCGGGGTCCACGCCCACGCACAGCGGCTTCAGCAGCTCGGGGTGGATGCTGACGCCGCGGATCCCCTCGGACCTGCCCACGCCGAACCCCCCGGCGGCCGCGCCGTCGCCCAGCCCGCCGCGGAAGCCGCCCAGGCCGCCGAAGGCGCCGCCGCCGCCGCCGCCGCAGACGCCGCCGCCGAAGCCCACCACGCCGAAGCGGCCCCCGCCGAAGGCCACCCCGCAGCGCCCCACGGCCGGCCCGGCCAGGAGCTGCCCGCGGCAGCTGCCCCCGAACGAGATGCGCTGCCCGCGGCCCAGGTTGCAGACGCTGCGGCTGCTGAAGCCGCCCAGGCCGCAGCGCCGGCCCGAGGGCTGGCACGCCGAGGCCGAGCTGGCGTTGGCGCGGCCCAGCCCGCACACGGCGGAGGCCGAGGAGAAGCCTCGGCGGCCCAGGATGGAGCTGGAGGTGTAGCACTGCCGGCTCATGGCGGCGCCGAGAACCTTCGGGGCGAGCGCGGAGACGTTCGGAGGAGCGAGGCGGGCAGAGCGAGGATCTCCCGTTGTGGCTCCTCTGGGGCACGGCCCTCCTTCCCCTTTTTATACCTTTCAGGAGGTGCCTGAGATGCAAAAAAAAAAAGAAATTAATTTACCCCCTCCGCTGGGTTTGGCCTGCCTGGCAGCCGGGAGCGGCTTCCAACATTCCCAACCCGCAGCGAAAACGCTCCCGTAGCTCATATGCGAAATAATGTGGAAATTAAAATAAACTGCTTTGCTTGCAAGCTTCGGTCTCAGGACTTGTATTTTACTTAATTAATCTGCTTCCTTATTGTGTAATTACAGCCCAGCGGAATAATTCAAGGGGTTTTTATTCATGGCTTGTTTACGGCCGGGTTTCACCACAGCATTTTAATTACAAACGAGCCGGGGGGAGGGGGATGTGGCGGTGCCGCCTCTCCCAGGGTCCCTGGGCAGCCTGGGGCGGGCTCTGGAGGGGTGACCAGGGCAGGGGGAAGGCGGATCCACCCCCTGGAGCTGTTGGGATCCCTTTTTTCCTCCGTGGATCCCACAGGGAATGCCGGTTCGTGGTGCTGGGAATGGGGTCGGCGGTTTCTGTGTCTGTCAATGGAGGTTGAACCGAGGACCCAGTTTGGTCATGGGGAGGCTGCTCTGGGAAACTGGGAGTGGGAGAGTGGTGGGACGGTGGAGAATTGTGGAGTTGGGTTGGAAGGGACCTTGGGGATGGTCCAAGTTCCGGACCGTGGGCAGGGGCAGCTTCCTCTAGGAAAGATCATGGAATTATGGAATGGTTTGGGGTTGGAAGAACCCTGAAGATGATCCCATCCAAAACCCTGATGTGGGCAGGGACCCCTTTCACTAGGAAAGGTCATGGAATTATGGAATGGTTTGGGTTGGAAGAACCTTAAAGATGATCCAGTTCCAAATCCCTGCTCCCTGGACAGGGACCCCTTCCAGTAGGAAAGGTCATGGAATTATGGAATGGTTTGGGGTTGGAAGAACCCTAAAGATGATCCAGTTCCAAATCCCTGCCATGGGCAGGGGCACCTTCCTTTAGGAAAGGTCGTGGAATTATGGAATGGTTTGGGGTTGGAAGAACCTTGAAGATGATCCCATCCAACCCCCTGATGTGGGCAGGGACCCATTTCACTAGGAAAGATCATTGGATCCTGGAACGGTTTGGGTTGGAAGAACCTTAAAGATGATCCAGTTCCAAATCCCTGCCATGGGCAGGGGCACCTTCCTCTAGGAAAGGTCATGGAACCATGGAATGGTTTGGGTTGGAAGATCCTGCACACCGTGAAGGTGCCAGATTTGGTGTCTGGGTGTGATGTGAATTTTGGAATTTGCTTGGGAAACAAATAAAAGCCCCTTTTTACTGCTTGTTTTGCTGCTTTTTTCCCCCTTTTTTTTTCCTTAACAAAGGGGTCCAATCACACAATCACGAGGGATTGCAGAGCTTGCCCTCCCTGAGAAATCTTTGATTGGGGCAAAAATCACCTGGTTCTGGAAGGATCCTTGAATTAAAAGTGATGCCAAAGAAAGGGGATGTTTAGAACATTTGTGGGGTCTCTCCTGGGAGGGTCTTACCTTTTTTTTTTTGTTTTTGGTGGACAGGTCTCATAATGGGCTGAAATGAAGGATCTAAAACTCTGTGTGATCACAACCAAGCGGCAGCTCCTCTGCCCTGAGAGTGTCGGGGTGAATTGTCACAAAATCAGGGAATTTTGGGGTCGGAAGGGACCTCAGAGCTCATCCCACCCCACGGGACACCTTCCCTGGATGGGGTTCCTCCCCTTTGCAGGGCGGTTGGAGAGGCCAGAGGAGCTTTTGGGAGTCCTGTCACTCTTTCCCCGAGGCAATCCCGGCCCTGGGACCTCTTTCCTGCGAGTGAAAGGGGAGATATTTTGGGAATGAGCCGCGTTTTGTGCCGGGAGGACACGGAGAGGGAAGGGTGGGGTGTGGTCTGAGGTGTGGCAGAGCTTGGGGACATTGGGGACAGGGCGTTCACAGCGGGGATGATGAAGCTTCACTCGGCCCCGGGTAGGGCCAGGAGTGACTTCCTTGCATATTTTTTTTTTTTTAGGTTGGCACCACCTGAAAATGGAGAATCCCGGCTCTAATCCTGCTTTCCCTGTGCCTGAGCCCTGCTCTGGACAGGGGGACGGGGACCAGGAGCAGCCACAACCCCCAACTCCCCTGCCCAGCAACACCAGGAGGACACTCCAGCTCCTTTCCAGGGCAGGAAAACCCACGGCCCTTCATCCCTTGGGGGTGGGGAGGGGAGGACTGGCCGGTTTTTCCAGAATTCTGGATTTGGTTGGGATCAGCTCCCTGTCACCCTCCACCCCCCTCCTCCCCCCCACATTTGGGAGCTGCAGACCCGCCAAGCCCTCAATTTTGGTTGGAAAACAGGGGGAAAAAGCCGCTCAGGGCACAACCCCCCCACCCCCTCCTCCTCCCCGGGACGGTCCCTCCTCCCCGCGAGGAGCTCTTGGGTTTTTTGGGGTTTTTTTGCTGTGTTTTTTTTTTTCCTCCCCCACCCCAAACCTGCCCTTCAACCTCCTCCAGCCCCTCCTCTCGAATCCCTAAGAAGTGGCTTTTCCGGGTGCCCAGCCTTGCACTTCAGAAGGGCCAGGGCAGCGCCTGTGGCTTTTTGTTGTTGTTTTTTTGGTTTTTTTTAGCTGCTGAGCTTTCACAAAGCCGCTTTTTGGGACCTCGTGGAAGGGGGAACCCCGAGAGCTCCTTCCCCAGCAGCTCCCACGGGATCCCGGGCTTTGCAAGGCAGGATCCAGGACTGGTTTTGTTTCCACTGGCTGTGCTCGGCTCTCCACGTCGTTCCTGGCTGGCTGAGGGGCAGAAGGTGTTGAAGAAAAAAGGGGGGTCAAGCTCCTCCTTCTCCTTTTCGGGCCCCACCAGAGCTTTAAAGCCACAGCTTTACACCCAGACCTGCAAGGGGAAAATCCCCCGAGTTCCTGGGCCCCGAAATCGTGAGATTTACACCTCTGGGATTCACATCTGCCCAGGTGAATTAATCCTGCTTGAGGAACCTGCCTGAACCACCGGGACCTGCCGAGCCACCGATGGGGAGAGAGAGAGAGAGAGAGAGAGCCTGGAGGGGTTTTTTCAACCTCCTGGTTGGAACAACCACCCAAGGGGCCACCCCAGCCTGCCCTTTCCCAGTGGAAAAGCTGCTTTTTGGAGCCCCTCTCCCTGGAGAAGGGGGGGTTGGGGGTGCTGCTCCCCCTCCCTCCCCGCAGGCCGGGTGGTTGTTGTGGCTCGGCGTGAAAAGGGACAGCGAAGCCACCCCATTAAAAAAAGGGTTAATGAGGCCCCTGGGACATCTCCCTCTGCTTTTGTGGGCCCTGCTCTCCCGAGGTGTCTCTGAAGGCACCCTGATGCTGCTCCCACATCAAAGCAGGTGGTGTGGATTGGTGGGGACCAGGATAGAGAAGATGGTCCGGGCTCCTCCCGTGGCTCCTGGGCCGCTCCTCACCCTCAGCCCGGGGTCACCCCCAGCCACCTGTGCTGCTCAGGGGTGAAAGGATGGACAGGATCATTCCTTAGGGGCTGTTCTGTGGTCACTGCCCCCTCTGCATCACCTGAATTTGAGCTGATTCCAGGTGAGACCTTCCCAAAAACCTTTCCCTCCCTTCTGCTGGGGAGGTTTTGGGGGACACCCCACATGGTGTCGATGGGCAGGGGTGGTTGCAGGGGGGTCAGGCACTTTGCTGAGCAGGAGGAATGAAGGGAAATGAGCCACCAGAGGTGCTCTGGTAGCCAGGAGGGCCACCCCATGTCCTGGGGGGCAGCAGGGAAAGCATCACTGGCCGGGCCGGGCAGGGGATTTTTGTCCCGCCCTGCTCCGAGCTGGGGTGGCCTCACCTCGAGTCCTGGGGGAGGGGCAGTTTGGGCACCACGAGGTGAAAAAAAAAGTCTAAAGCTGTTGGAAAGTGCCCACAGGAGGGACAGGGGGATGGGGGAGGACCTGGAGGAGCAGCTGAGGGCGCTGGGGTTGTTCAGCTGAGAGAACATTCCTTGGGGTCTGCAGCTCCTCCCGAGGGGCAGCTCCGATTTCTGCTCCCTGGGAGCAGGGACAGGGCCCAGGGAAGGGCTGGAGCTGTGCCAGGGGAGGGTTTTGGGATGGATTTTGGGGAAAGGTTCTTCCCCCAGAGGGTGGTGGTTGGGCACTGAAAAGGCTCCCCGGGGTTTGGTCACGACCCCAAAGCTGCCAGAGCTCCAGGAGGGTTTGGACAACTCCCACAGGAGTTGGGATTTTGGGGGACCAGGGGGATTTTTTTGGTTGTCTGTGCAGGGCCAGGAGTTGGACTCGATGATCCTGTGGATCCTTTCCAGCTCAGGACACTCCACAATCCCACAATTCCATCAACTCTCCCTCCCCGGGGTGGGATCTCCCACGAGGAACCCTCAGAGCCGCCTTTCCCAAAGGGAAAGGTCTCACCACCAACCACCCCAAAGTGTCCCCCCCGACCCTTTGGGATGTTCCCCCCCTTTGCACAGGAATTTGGGAGGCCCTCGAGCATCAACCCCACCGGATTTTTGAGCCTCGGGGCTCTGAGCAGGGTGGGGGGACCGGGGTCGGGATGAAAGCACGAGGAGTGAGCACGAGCCTTCCACTGGAAGTGGGGTTTTTGGGGGGAAAAGTGGGGGAAAAAAACCGTAAAAACAAAAAATAAAACCAAACAAAAAACCCGAAGCAAACAAAAACCAAAAACCAAACCAAACCAACAAACAAACAAAACAAAAACCAAAAGAAAAAACCCAAGCCAAATAAAAAACTGAACAAAAAACAAACAAATAAACAAAAAACACACACACACACACAAAAAACCCCACCCACCCACACACACACAAAAAACCAAACCAACAAACAAGACCAAAAAAAAGAAAAAAAAAGAAAAAAGAAAAAAAAAAAGAAAAAAAGAAGAAAAAAAAAAGCCAACCCAGGGGATTCCGAGGTGGGAAAAGAGTTTTGAACCAAAAAACCTGTTCCTTCACGCCCGGGAGCCCAGCGGGGACGGCAGGGATGCCCTCCGGGCAGCCCAGGGGAACGGGAGAGGGAGAGAGGAGTTGTGGGAGGAGGGA